CTCGTTGGCTAAATATAGTTATGGAGTTAGCCAATTGACTACTTGCCTCCTTATCACAAATATTAGCCCCCCCCCCGTTATATTAATCCTCCGTCTATATACGCTTACGATCGTAATAGCGAAAGGGTTAACACTGTTGTAGAGAATTTTTGAAAAAAATTCCAAAACGTCCTTTTGTACCTAAGCGAAATTGCACCAGTTAGCATTCCTTTTCTTTGTAATAGGAACACTTTCTAACTCGCGTCGTTTCTACGATTTTCGACTTTCGTACATCTCTAAACGACTGCTTTTAGAATAGAGCAAAAGCAGCGTAATATAATAAAAAATAAAAAGCGTCGTTAACAAAAGTCTAAGACTGAGAAGACAGTCTAAAGAGAGAATCGTAGATCTGAATGAGGCATGTCCGGTGCACTGGTTACAAAACGCACTTTACCAAGAATTCCAAGGAAATGGTAATGAACAATAGGGAAGCTCAAACAGACCCAAACACACACATGTACACGATAAGGGATGAAAAAAATATCACTCCGATGGACTGTGTATAACAAAACTTGTAGCTTTATTGGCTTCGTTTTAGGTTAGTTTTTCGAGTACACGAGCCTCAATTAGTAGCGTTGTCTAAAACACCAAATTAGCGTCTAGGTGTACTCTTGTGATACTAATAAGTTTAGACAAAAATTATTGAATCGCTTTTAGAGCGTCTCAGACGGGGTCAGCTTATTCTTTCGTGGCGTTAAAGAGCTAAACGTTACGACTAAAAACATACAGTCAAGACAATACGTTAATCGTTTTGAAAGGAGATAAAGCAAAGTGCTCGAATCTGGTTATATTTCTTTTTCATTTCTGTTCTGTTCCAAGAAGAAAGGCTCAACAATGCCTCGCCTGTTTATGCCGAAGATCATTCGTATAAATGTAATCGTTGTAACGTGAAATAAAAATATGTGTGTCTGATAGAAAAATTTTATTTTCGTTTGTTCGCGTTTCTTAATTTTTCTTCTAGGACACATTTTGACTAAACAAGCATTCGGGAGTCCTTTCAGTTTCTTCTGTTTCAATTCGAGCAAGATTTATAAATTATAATAATTTATTATTTTATTTCGTTATTAATAAAATGAACCGATCGAGCTTGTGTTACTCCTTTCAACACTGAATGTTCCATACTTTGTAATGTCTACTCTTAACAATCCTAAATTAATTTCCGATCATTGATAATTATTAGAGATTCAATTCTTTATCTAAATTTATAGTTTAAAAGGTGCTGAACAAAATTGAGACCAAACTTTAGGTAACTCATTGTCAGAAACGAATGATTTTATCATTTTACATGTCTTAAAGTGTAGCTCCAATTTTTGTCAACATTTCGTAGATTTCCTAATTAATATTTAATCAATGATTGGCTAATTACTTTTAACATAGGTGAATCAACTGCCCGAAAGAATTTAATTTCTTTTTCTATTTCATCTTCTGAACGTAGAAACGTTCTCACTACCTGTAGGTGTCCAATGGAAAATATATAAACACGCTACTGCCTCCACGATGAAAACTCCTAGACGTAGATTAATCTGTACCACGCGTTCAAATCACCGAACATAATTGTTCTGAGCCAAGGGCCGCGTTTATCCCTAGGCAAAATAGGCACGTGTCGAGGGCCCGCATAAAAATATTTGTCACTACTGCACGAGATAAATAAATCCACTAAATTTTGACTTCAAAATTTAATTAAAAAATATATACATATGTAAGGGCCCCGATTTTTATTCGCATGCCTAGGTCCCGAAATGCTCTAGACGCGGCCCTGTTCCGAGCCACTTGAAAACTTGATAAGCTTGATTAACCTTACAATACGTAGAAAATACGATCGGGTTATAAGCTGGAGGATGTTGACGAAAATCGGCGAGTTCACGTGAAATCGTAACTATGTAATCGCAAATTCGTATATATACATATACATGTATACTCGTTAGCTAAATTAGTGAACGTTAGGCGTTAAATGAGAACACGAAACCGAACGTAAGAGATGAAAATATGGGGCGAGAACAAGTTCGCTGAGACGAGGCGAGACGAACTTTCCTGGTAATACACATTGTCAATTAGATTCAGACTGATCGCAGGGATTGACGAGGCATTAAGAAATTCAATGTTCTTCGGTGTTTAGCTAGAATATTGTTGTCGTCGTCGACGTTGTTTCATGATGATCGCTGTGACACGACATCTTGCGTCTCGTGAACGATATTACGTGAAGATTCAGAAATTGATTTGCATTTTTCTTATGCAATTTTAACTCTTTATAATCGTTTCGTTCTTTTATTTCACTGTTAAGATTCTATTTTTTGTTCTGATTCTAAATATAATTTTTTTGTTGATGCATCATGTGTGTCTTCCGCTTAACGATGTCTCAGTCACAAAAATGTTTTGAATTTTTTCCAGTGTTTTTAACGATCGAAGCTTCACGCTATATCGTTTTACAACCGTAGCCCGTTTTACACGTAGAATATTATTCGTTCTCGTCTTGTATCCCTCACACACATAATCAATTTTCGAATACCTAAATCACTAACAACTTTCATAACCCAGAGAAAAACGATTTTCAATACCATTCAAGGATGTTCATCGAAATCCAAATCACACAGCATAATTAATAATAAATCAATTAAATGTACAGATGATTGGCAAAAAGGAGACTAGATTACTTGAACAATTCAGACATTGAGTAAATACGATGTCGCGTACTGATAATTTCCGTATTTACTTTTTTAACCGATAAGTTGTACATGTTTTTAATTTGATTGTTCTTATAACCTTGATGAAGATATACTATAAATATTTCATTTAGCTGTCGTACTATAAATTATGCTGTGTACTTAATTTAAAACTCGAATCTTCCATAATGCTTTACACTGGTATTAAAATACGATACGCCTATTGGCTGCCGTTGGCAAGAAGCGCTCTGATTGGTCGGCACACGGGTAGTAGTCTGATATACAGGGAGATTCTCTCAGCGCGCAACACAATAACCGTCCCGCACAATGAAACCCTGCGGTTGTTGCGGGTAAAGAGACCCAGGGGCCATATCGCCGGACCCAAGACTGCTCTGTGTGTGTTTATGGCTGAGACGAAGACAAGAAACGGAACAGCAAGGGTTCCATTGTGCGGCACGGCTATTGTGTTGCGCGCCGAGAGAATCTCCCTGTATAAACAGTCGACCGGTCCGTGTGTGCGCAGTCTCCGAAGACTTCTTGTAAACGGAAGGCAGTACAAAGCAAATTTTCGGAATAAGCACTTTTCATGATCCTGCATCGTCTTGAAGCCACGATTTCATTCTCGCTACACTTCTCGGAAAAAAAATTTTTCCTTTGAACGATCAGATCAATTTCACAAGTGTTTCGAACAATTTTTATCGCTATATCGTAGGAGATAACGAAACAATTAGACAAACTTTAACGGTGTATTCTAACTTTTCTGAAACAGAAAAGGTTAGAAATCGAATGGACTACAAAAGTTTTACCTCGAAAGAAAAAGAATAGATTTCATTCACCGACCATCATAGTTCGTCGAGCAAAAAGTACTTTATCGAAAAAAGGAAAACATATCCTCCGGTTTCGAAGCCCTTACTTACAAAGAAAAACGGGCCAACCGAGTTGTTAAATCAAAAGGAAAAATAAGAAAAGGGTCCGAGGCTACACAGGGGAGAGAAAAGACCCTCTCGAAACACATACAACTCTCTGGACCAATGTTTACACTAACTTACTAATGTACTATCGCCTAAATCATTACTTAACCGCGAAAGTGATCTCCCCGTCTCTGGATCCTCTGAAGCTATTGAAGATGCATCAGTCAGCTAACAATCATGTTCCCAAGGTTCTCACCAGTGACCTAAAATAAAAATACCACCTGACAAAACACATTGTGTGTCTATCGTAATCGTGTATTAGCCAAACTGTATACCGTAAACGTTGAATTACACGTGTGTCGAACGAGCCACAAGTAACGAGGAAAGGAAGCACGTTCGTGATTTGTTTCGAGCATATTTCACTTAAAATATATCTGCTAGGAAATAAAGATAGCGAGATGCTAAAACAATGTTTATTTATCAAGATATATTTATAAACTTTTTTGATATTTCTTTGAACATTCTAACTGTTTCCTTGCTGTTTTCAAAATAATATAATTATCGAGTGTTGTTGAAATATTTTTGTAAACTGTTAATACGATCGCAAACGTGTGTCCTTTCAAAAAGGTTTCATGTAAAAATGATCTAACCACGTTTCTCTGCTGCCACCCATGGATAAGCAGATGAGTGCGTATGTATGCATGTATATAACCTATCTATACATATACAGTACACAGTGCAGGAAACGTGTATGTGTGTGTATATACCACGCACGTGTACATTACATATACATATTATACATATACATATATAATAAAGGTTTAGCGTCGCAACGTGCATACACAACAACAACAACAACTACAACAAGAACAAAAATCGTAGCGCGAACGAGGCCACTATAAATATACATATATAAATTATAAATATATACATACGAGTAACAATTAATAATTGTAACGTTGTAAAGCTGTGAGTAAAGAAAAAGAAGAGAGAAGAATGTTTTAAGGGCTGCAACAGAGTTACTAAAGTCAAGATACAATAGGATACAGATGAGAGAAAAGGGATTTATTTTTTTGCCAACAGAGAATTGTTTGCGGTGTGTTGTACCGATAGATATAAAAATATAAGAAGAGTAAAACGAGTATTTTGCGATCATAAGTGGGAGAGCAAAATACTCTGCTGCATGTTACGTGGGCGTTATGTATGTATATCAACGTCAAAATAGTCAATCTTGTTCCCGTTTGCAAAAATGAAATACAACGCGGATCACTTTGGATGCGTGTGCGCGTATGTACGCTTTTAAGAATTGTGATATGTGTGCCGCGCACACGCATATATGTATACAAAAGATGAATATACAAAAAAAAGGATATTCAATAAAACGCCAATATTGTGAAAAAAAAGAAAGAATAATGATATCCTTTTCATCGATATATTTTTACATTTAATTTAACTTAAAACTAATCTGTCGTAAGGTTATTTAACTATCAAATTATGAAACAGAATGTGACCGAAACAGCGTGGGTCATCTTGGAGCGTCCTTGAAATATCATTAAATGGTATTGTTGCATTCATCGTAGAAGCATAAAGTTCACATATAGAACGTGCTTGAAAATTTTGTGATTCTGAACTGATCGGTTGCTTCAACTCGAACTTGTTATAATTATATTTAACACTTAGTGGATCCTCTAATTACAAGTGGCTGTAATAAGATTCGTGCTTCACCATATCCCTCGTGATCTCATCGACCGATCTGCAGCCTGCAAACGAATAGACAATGAGTAGATTAGTTATCTTTCATTCAAATGAATAGACAATGAGTAGATTAGTTATCTTTTATTCAAATGAAGTTTCGTTTATAGTGACGTACCTGTTAGCGCAAATGCTAGATCAATTTCCTTCCTGAAGATCTCAAGCACGTGTTTGGCACCTTCCTCACCACCCTGAGTCAGGCCCCACAACAAAGGTCTGGCGGCAAATGCCTGCAAAAAGAATTCAATTTATTTGCAGAGGGTGCCAAACTTTATTGCATATATCATTTCATATGTGCTTACCATTTTCGCGCCCATAGCGAGCGCCTTGAAAACGTCGATTCCTTGTCTCACACCTCCGTCCATGTATACTTCTATTCTGCCCCTTACGGCGTCTATTATTTCCGGTAAAACTTCAATCTATAAATGATACATTGCTTTTATTGCCATTACTATCCGTTAGCCAATTAACGAGAAGTTACGCGACTGCCACTGCGTCACGTGACTGACAGCGCGGTCACGTGACTGTGATTCAACCAATGAGACGAAAGCATCGAATTTGAAATGTAAAGAGGAGCAACGAACCGAAGCTGGAAGTGTGTCAACTTGACGTGCACCGTGATTTGAAACGATAATTGCTGCTGCTCCATGGTGGACTGCCAATTCAGCATCCTCAGCAGAGAGGACTCCCTTCAGGACGAGTGGCAACTTGGTAATACTGCAAAAAAGCAACGAATATGAGTACCACTTGAACGATCCATTTTCCACCGATTGGAAACTGTAGAATTCCAAACCTTTTGAGCCACGCGATGTCTTCCCATTTCAAAGAAGCGTCAAACAGGTTCATGACATATTCGCTCAAACCAGATCCATCCTTCGCAGACTTTATTTTGGTTGACATTTCACCTTGGAAATTTCCTAATCTAAAAGTATTCGTTGCAAGCATTATTAAATTGACGGTAATTTATTTTATGTTATCAAATATTCAATTCCTTATTACGTACTTCAAATGAGATGGAAGCGAGAATTTATTCCTAATGTCAGCTCGTCTGTCACCAAACAGTGGTGCATCGACAGTCAGAACGAGAGCTTTGAAACCGGCACGTTCTGCACGTCTGACTAAATTTAAGGTAACATTACGATCGATGTATATGTACAATTGGAACCATTTTATTGCATTTGGCGCGGCTTCCGCCACTTCTTCGATACTACTTGTTGATATAGTAGACAGGATATAAATGGTACCATACGCTTGGGCGGCTAAAAATGAAAAATTTTAAATTACGTTATAAGACTAAGTAACATATTGATATCGTTAGGAAATGCTAATGATAAGACTATTTGGAAAAGATAACGAATGCAAATTTACATTACTTAAGTAATGAAATGTAACGTGAATAATAAACTCTTAATATTAAGAGAAACAGGGATTATATGGCAATAAAACTATTCAAATGAATATTGGAAGATGCATTTTTTGCATATCGAATGCAACTGGTCATCGAGAGGTGCTTCGATCTCGCAGAATCGATCCTCAGTCGACGCGTGGCAACCGTGTCTGGTTGATGCCTGTTATCGTTACAAAATTTACGAAAGGTTTTAAAACGTAGATAGCAACTGATAAGCGACACTAATCAGACACATGAGGTTAGTGTTATGTAGATAGTTAACGTAGCCGGTGGCTAAGTAGCGGGTTTTCGCATGATGATGAAAAGAAATGTAGTAAGCCTGATAAAGTTCTTCTTTCTGGCGGCTTTAACTGTTTTCCTGACCGTTGTTGTGTTCCGCCGCATACGGACGTCACCTAACCATGAAGTTTCGACACCGGTAACCGCATTGTTGGTTGACAGGACTGACAGTGCGAGAAATTCCATCGATTCGAGGCAGAATATCAACGAACATCTACCTCAGGTACGGGTTAAAGACCTACTCATTATTAGCAAGGTTGGTGCAAGTGAAACAGGTTTAACAGTAGTTTTAACCTTCTGCATTCCATGCAGTACCGTACGATGCTTTCTTGTACCCTGTGCAAGTGACATCTTACTGTTTTTTACATTAAGATAATGTTACATTATAACGGTAAAATGATACTTTTCAACAGGTTTCAGATGGAAAAATAGATTGGCATGATTACAAAAAAATTGAGGAAGAAACTAAAAGGAGCGGGACAGGTGAACATGGAAAGCCAGCATTTCTTTCACCTTCTCTTGATTCGTTGAAGGAAAAATTATATCAGGTGAATGGTTTCAATGCTGCGCTCAGCGATGAGATTTCAATGAATCGTTCTGTACCTGACATTAGACATCCAGATTGTAAAAAGAAGAAATACTTAAAGAATCTTGATGCAGTCTCTGTGATAGTCTCCTTTCATAACGAGCATTTTAGTACTTTAATGCGTACTTGTTGGAGTGTTATCAATCGTTCACCAGCATCGTTGCTTGAAGAAATAATATTGGTAGATGACGCTAGCACCAAGACAGAGCTGAAGAAGGGTTTAGATGATTACGTTGCTGAACACTTGCCAAAAGTGAAGATTGTAAGATTACCACAACGATCTGGATTGATTAAAGGTAGACTAGCGGGAGCAAAAGTTGCAAAAGCAAAAGTACTTGTATTTCTGGATTCTCACAGCGAGGCAAATGTCAATTGGTTGCCACCGTTGCTGGAACCCATTGCACAAAACTATAAAACTTGCGTGTGCCCTTTCATTGACGTGATAGCTTATGAAACATTTGAATATAGAGCCCAAGATGAAGGTGCAAGAGGAGCTTTCGATTGGGAATTGTACTATAAGAGATTGCCATTGTTACCCGAAGACCTTAAACAACCAACGGAACCATTCAAGAGCCCAGTTATGGCAGGTGGTCTGTTCGCCATCAGTGCTAAGTTTTTCTGGGAGCTAGGTGGATATGATCCAGAGTTAGATATTTGGGGTGGTGAACAATATGAATTATCGTTTAAAATATGGCAATGCGGCGGTCAGATGTACGATGCTCCTTGTTCAAGAGTGGGCCATATTTACAGAAAATTTCCTCCTTTCCCCAATCCGGGCAAAGGTGACTTCCTAGGGAAAAATTACAAGAGAGTAGCCGAAGTATGGATGGATGAATATGCAGAGTATATTTACAGAAGACGCCCACACTTAAGATCATTAGATCCTGGAAATTTAATAGAACAGAAGAGTTTAAGATCAAGATTACACTGCAAACCGTTCAAGTGGTTTATAGAAAATATAGCGTTCGATCTTGTTGATGTATACCCTCCTGTAGAACCGGATGACTTTGCATCTGGAGAGATTCGTAACATGGGTGTGCCAGAATTATGTCTAGATTCTAAAAAACGAAAGAGAGACGAACTCGTGGTAGTCGACGTTTGTATAAAAGACAATCCAAAAATCGTAGGAGAACAAGAGTTCAAATTAACTTGGCACAAAGATATCAGACCAAAAGATCGGACAGAGTGTCTGGATGTATCCAGAGGAGATACAAAAGCTCCTGTTAGCTTGTATCCTTGCCACGGTGGCCAGGGAAATCAACTGTGGCGTTACAACGTTGAAAAGCAATGGTTGATGCATGGCTATTCGTCAAGGTGTTTAGACACTGATCCAGCGAGCAAGAAGGTCTTTGTAACAAATTGTGATTCATCTTCTCCAACTCAGAAATGGAGAATCGAGAAAGTAAACATGAAAGCTATTAATAATTGGGATAACGTGGGACCCAAACGACATTGATTCCTTTGCTTTTTACTGCCGTAATTTTCTTAGCCTTATTTAATTATCTAACTTCTAATTATCTAATATGTACATATAAACGTATGCCCTATTTTTAACTAGTCATACGAAGTCGTCAGTTTTGAGTTCATTTCCTTCTCCGTCATGATACAATGGAAGGTATTTTGACGATTTGAAGTTATAGAAAACAAAATGTACTTTTTATCAATCTTTACAGTATTTCAATGATGAGATCGTTTTTAATACATCTGTACGAAATGTAAATATTGTATGAACCCTCTGTTGTGCCTTATACGTATAGCTGCATTTAGATCTACATATTAATTATATTGATTACTTTGCAAAAAAGTAACTTCGCTTTACTGCTCAATTTTTATCTACTATGAATCTTTTTTTTTTGTTTTTTAATTAATACCATGTATTTAAGAACGTGTAAGAACTGATTGAATCAAGAACTTTCTTTATTGCCAAATTTTTAACAACTATTTAAATTAAGTTTCTCTTAATGACTGATATGTAATGTATGTTTTTTAACGTCATATAGATATGGTACAAGGAATAAATTGTTTCTTATCTGTCGTCAAACGACATTTTTTTGTACAAGCTATTCGAATAAACAAAAAGTTCCATTTACACAATGTTAAGTAATAATAACATTTACATAAATGAAAAAATCGCGTACATATCTTAATGAAGTTTTTTAATACAGAATCGACTCAAAATGGTGAATCTATGTTTTATTCGACTGTGATCGACGTCGATTTTACTCATTCCAATATGATGAACAGTTGCATTTGTTATTGCAACTATTTTTGTAAAACGTTTCTATAATTTAATAAACATTTTTATAATGCAATCGATGTTCAAACATATTGTTGAAAAAGAATACTCGAAGAATATTATAAGAAGATTTGAAGGAAAATATAGATTTCATTTAAGAATTAATTTGTTTATAAACTCACCTCTGGCGTTCGCACATTCTCCCTCGGGATGTGCCATACGTTGCATAGCAGCAGGGGCGATACCTAAAGGCATCGAAATCTTTTCACCCAAAATTGTGGTGCTGATATCCCTCTTCGAGACATCCCTTAAAAATCGGGGTTTGATTCTGTACCTAAAAATCATTTTGAGGAATTAGTGAAAAATTCAAACAGAATCGAGAATCAGAATTTTATTCATTAAAGAGTGAAAACAGGGTTGTGTCTAGATCGAAAATACTCTTCTACTGAATATCTATTAAGTGTAAAATATTAATGTCATTTTAAAATTGCATCATAATTGATTTGTATAATTTAGATAACGTTTAGGGATGGAATTAAGAAAGGGCAGTGAGAAGGGCACTGACTTAACACTTCTTCAAAATAAATATGAGAACACTTAGTTGACAAGTGATTCATCCTTTAAATATAGATTTTCAAGAAGTTTTCACCCTTTGTAGTTTAACAATAAGTCTTTAAATCACTCTGTCGTATTCCAAACTTTAAATTATCCTCCTCCATTTCCTTGCAAGTGACCAGCAATGCATTAACATACTTTCATTAAAAAATTCCTAATAACCAAATTAGTGAATTATTTCATCCTCTTCTATACTTACTTCCTGAAAGCTTCTGTGTTCAGCCTCAAGGTATACTGATCTCCTGCTCCGGAATTATAGTAATCCCTGATAGATGGTGTTAGGTTTGATTGAGCATGCTTCTCAAAGTCTTCGACACAGATGAACTGAGACATGTTGTCTGTGGAAACAATGCGTTCCCAATTAATTAAAATAAATTAAATAAAATGAAATAAATAAACCGTTCGCGAATGAGATCGATGAAAGTAAAGAAAGATTTTCTTCACTGCAAAAAGAGATCGTTACACGGTCGAGCACCGAGCAATAATGTGAAGAACTCTCGTTTAAAACGACGTTTATTATACACACGATACACAAATACGGAACCTTTTTATTCTTATTCGATGATACCCCGTGTGCGACGATCACTCACGAATCGACTAGACTCGTCTGTCGGGAGAGTAGCTCGTACAATTGAATATGAAGATCGTTGATCCTCCCAGCTGATCTTACAACTATCAAGTGACTGAAATTCGCGGCTGAAATCGCGACGATAACCCTCAGTGGCAAACGTGTCCACTAATGTTGCTGATAAAACTGTTTGCTCTATTTAACTTCGTCATATTGACTCATTTTATCGCTGCGGAATTAATGAAAGACTCGTGTGCGTTCCCCTGATTTCCGGATGATGAATTCCACCCTTCATTTCGATGGAGCCGAATACAAATCCGTTTTAATCGTACGAATATAATAATGAACAACAACAGCTTTGTTGGCTGATAGGTTTCCGAGAATATATGAAAATAAAACTTTATTTCGTTACGTTTGATAGGAAAGGATGAAACGTTTCTTTTTTCTTAAGTAGTATAGGTCTATTATAATGTCTTAGGTTGAGATATTTTAATCTTTACTACTATGGCTTGTATGAAATATATGGGATTTCAGGGGGTGTTAGCTGGAGTGATAATGAACAACTTTTTCCTTTACTAAAATGCTTGTTAAGGCTTAGTTTTCGAATTATTAATTAATAAAGACTGGCCAATCAAAGGGTGCCTGGCGCGCGGACTCGGCCGCTGGAGTGTCGGCTACGAGTCGAGCTTAACCGAAGTCACGGTTACTGCGTTACCGACGCAGCGCCGAATAGTTTGTTCGCGACCGCGGTCGAGCTCGGATCGTACCCAACACTACCGTGGCGAGTGTGCGCGCTACGCGTGCTGCGATTGGTCAGTGTTTATTAATTAACACTTCAAAAACTACGCCTTAACGAGCATCTTGGTAAAGGAAAAAGTTATTCAGCATTACCTTAGCTATCATTCCTTGAAAGAATACCCACGTATGGCTGACAATGAGTCTTTTTGAAATTCTAGGTTAGTGGTAATTTTTAAAAAGACATTTATTTAGGAATAGAAAAAAGTTATTATCTAATTAGAGTCGGTGTCAATGTCGAATTACGTTATCAAATTGAACCATTAAAAATTGTTAGCCTCCATTAAAAATTGTTTTATTATTAATCTAATTTTCAAATTCAATTATTCGAATGCAATAAAATGAAATATATATTAGAGTTAGGCAACATTTTCAACAAAGCCAAGGGATCCACTCCAAAAGGAATTCCGATTAATCCATTGATTACATTTGATTACACTCAAAATTAATACCTACGTGTTAGAAAAATAAAAGAATAAAACAATCACTTATCGAGCTTAGGAATGTCTGATACTCGCCCAATCAAGATGTTGACTCATAATTATTATATCAGATCTTCGATGTTTTCGTATCGGATCAGGAAATAATCAGGCTGAAATGAATGAACGAAATATCCAACTATGTTAGGTTATCTTTAAATCGGGGCTATTAAAACATCACGTTTCATTGTTCATCGATTAGAGAAGAGGTTCGAATCTGATTTCGATCGTTGCTTTTTAGAATTCCCCGATTGTGTCACGTTATCGAAATTGCGCAATAGAAAACCTTGGATGTACAGCGAAACAAGAAATGTGTCGAATACGAAAAACTATATAGTTTATTAATCTCACCACGTGTGAGATTAAGGCAAGGAAGTTTCCATTTTCTGTGTTCGAAAGCAACAAACAGGGACTTTAAACGATTGCGGGGAAAAAAGATTGAATTATTATCGAGGATCATGCGTGGAATGTTATAAATTAATCATCGTATCTGTATACCAACGGTACTCTATCCATCGTTTTGCAATCCTACTCGTTGATCTTCTGAATTCGAGCAATATGTTGATTTCAAAACTTTCGCGATAAAAGAATGTAACTTCAATCGCAATTTTTTTTTCTTCTCTCTCTGCAGAATCGGAAGTGAATAAAAAATTGTTTAAAACGAAGGACACGCAACAGTTCGCGAATCTTAAATTTTAATTAAAATTATTATAGGTATCATTAGTGATAAGTGATGTGAGGGACAGATGTTCCTTTATTCCCACAGTCGATATACATATATCAAGAGGAATTTAATTAATACAAGCCAACTCGTTATCATAATTACCTCCAAGTCTCGGTTCCGTTTATACGTTTTCTAACTTAAAATTTGTTAGCGCATTTGAATTACGCGCCGGTTTTATAAGCAGCTCTGTTTAGTGTTTAATTTTCTTTTTACTATTTTGGTAATTGTAACCAGACATTGTTCTGTTGTTCTACTGCGTCTATATCAAAAAGGAGAATGAAAGTTTTTTTGTAAAGACGATTATAGGGAGTCAGAAGCGTTGCGTTGTAATGTAAATATATTTCTTAATTTTTTTTAATAAAACAAGATCAAGTAAGAACAAAATTATTTTCTCGAAAAAATGGGGGACGAAAGACAGGTCTGTGTAGGTCTGTTTAAACCGTACTTTATTACATTTCTGTTAGAAATAATACACAAAAAATTCTCAGGGGGCGACGAAGCATTTTCACGCCGAAGACGCACGAGGTGAATAGTCGCTCGATCGAAAGAGAAAAGAAAAAAAAAAATAGGTAATCGGGGCCCCAAATGGCGAACCAAAGTCTGCGACCCCTTATTTTCGGGAAACACCATCGATTAACGCCATCGACTCGATAATATACAATCTTAATTAATATTTATATCATTGAACGTCTGCGAGGGACCATAAATATATAAGGGGCGCATCGATTCTATTCCCCTTTAATTCGCATCAAACGGGATCACAGACTCGGTTTAACTTGTTCGAATAAGTAAAATGCTCTCGTAAATGCGCCGATTTAAAAACCACGTGATCGCTTAGCTTCGATTCTTTTCTTTTCTTTTTCTCTTTAAAACATTCTTTCTCGGTTACGTCTAATCGCATCCTCTCTCTCTCTCTCTCTCTCTCTCTCTCTCTTTCTCTGCACCCTTTCGGGAATTTCGAAATCTCTCCTTCGATATACGTACTTTCATTTGAGCTTTCATTTCATTACCTCGATAGAAGGATGGAAGAATCATTGAGTTTTATATTCGAAGGAGATTATTCACAACTTTAACCCTTTCGTTGTAGCTATAGTTGATATATCAAATTGAAATACGTAAATAAAAATATTAACACGTTCGCTGGGAATTGATGGCCCAACGTTCATCGGGCGAAGGAAATAAGTAGAAATAATATTAATATTAATAATATTAAGTGAGTGTATCGTGGATCCACAGCGAACGTATTAAATTAAATAATTTTTCCATCCTTAGTGACGAAAGGGTTAAAATCAGAGAATGACTCTTCCAGCCATCGATAAATCGACGCAAAGAAATTCTTTTTAATCATCCTTCTCGAGCCCCTACAATATTCCCCAAACGAGTGTCGTAGGAAAATATCTGACGCGTATCCTTAAGGTTACCCTTCATCGTACGATGATCTCGTGAGGAAAACGTAACCACGCGCGAAACTTGAACTTCGTCTTTAACGAACGCGATTGTTCTGCAATTGGGGAGGGGGGATACGGAGAAGTTCGAAGTTCGCAGACTTCTGTTGTAATTAGATAAGGGAACGACGGGCTGACTCAAGAGATCGTTATCATCCATCGATCTATTCGCAATCGTTTCACGCTTCGAACGGATGAATAACGAGAAAGGCTCGGTTAAGCCGTGTCTCTAAGCAGCGAGGCACAATCTGTTGAAGCACCATGAGTTCAAGGGTATCAACGCACGGTGATTTATCTCGGCCCGATATGAAAGCAATTTTAACAGCACGCGACCAAGAACTAGCTAGATCGTCCTGTTTCAGGCGTTGTTCAGGTAGGAAAAAGCACGGGTCTCGACCGGCTTAAGAGATCTGATAAGATCCACAGGAGTCGGTACATACATTTCATTTCTTCTGGTTATTCATACGTGTAATTTCAATGTCAATTTCAATTTTAACACATTTTTACTTTCGTACGATCTTATCTTTTTAATTGTTGACTAATGTCGGTTTTCTCGCAGGACGCACATGGTGCGTCGTGTTGGGTATCAGCATAGGACGCACACGGTGCGTCGTGTATTGTATCAGTATAGGACGCGTGCGGTGCGTCCTGGGTGGTAATATAAGAACCATAGGCGAATGCAAGTGAACAATGACGACAGTGTTACAGCAAAAAAACACACATACCACACGTACACAGTGTTCGTGATATTTATTATCTTGTGAACAGTGGAAGAAGCTGCGTCGTTGGTTGACTCGTCTACGTTTAGAATATTGGACTAACCTCAATCTTTCTTTCTTTTTCAATTCACGACGCAGCTCCTTGAAATACATACGGTAACATACTGAAAGCAGCCTCGAAGAACATTCTTTTAAATATATTCGTCCTGCGAATATTATCTTGCCACTCGTAGCTAGTAAAAAAAAAGGAAGAAGAATATTTGTTTAAAATTTCTTCTTCCCGAGGTCCAGGTAAGAAAACATCGTTATCAAGAAACTTGTTACTTGGATTCGTCCTAATATAGGACAGCAAAAAATTAAATGATCTATGACTATTTCGGTGATATACAATACTGTCCTCTCCTTGACTCGATTGTCCTTAGAGAAAAATAAAGCAATTTTGATTTTTACAAATTCATATGATAAAAAAAAAAATTTATCTACTACTTTGTGTACTTTCCACTCGACATTCCAATTTTCTTTCGTGTCTTCAATGGAGATACGGATACATTTTATTTTTTGTTTCAAATACAGAAAAAGTGATCAATTTTATAATAGGTTTGTTACAAATGATTCTCTTTGAAATTCGACGCATTTATGGTCGTCGCACTGTCTGTTGAACTTGTTGTATATCATACGATAAAAGTAATTGCAGAGTCTCGTTGCAAAAAATTTGTCTCTCTTGCTCTCGCTCTTGAACTCAACCAAACGATAATAGCCGTGTATTGAAAAAAAAAATAATAAATAAATTATAAAATACCAATTCTATTACGCAACAAACGAAAATTCACAAACAGCAAAGAACAACAGATATACACAATTTTTACAGGATCTTTCAGCTGGAAAGTCCGATTGGCTTGATATCAATAACTTTTAGACATGTCTGGCGAAATTTGTAATCATTTCTCCTTTTTTTTTTTATTATTATTTCTTTTATCAAGTTCGATGGACATTCGTTGGACGAGTGGTAGATAGAAAATTTTTCCAGACATTGGAGCCACGGTTTCTCTCAGCTTTACATAACTCTTTCTTATCTAAGAACTAAGTTTCCTTGCGATCACGGCTCTTTCATCATTTTGACGTCGACGAATAACGCGATTTCATTGATTCTTCAACGCGACATCATCGAGGAAATGGAACCGTTCGCTTCGTTAACACGCTGATCGTCGCGGTGAAAATTGCTCATTTCTTACAAAAATTACAATCTTAAGCGACAAATCTTTTAAGAACATTTCATCAAACGGAAAGAAGGTATTCCTTAATTAGATTTTGAAATAACATAGGGAAAAGTGTAATCTCATTTTCAAGGTTTTACGATACTAGTAAATTGTTAATCTGACGATTTTAATCTATAAACGACCGATTTGATAAAAAAAATGGAATATCTGTACGAAAAGGTCAAGATTACGTTGAAACATTAAAGAAAAACTGGTCGAATAACAGCGCCAAGGGTATTTCGATATCGCACGTGTATGTTTTTGCTGCGAAATACTAAAATTATTAATTTCGTTGGAAAATTTTGTTACAGAAACGTCAATTTTCAATTGCATTCGATACTTTCATATTTGCGATAGAAACAAAGGATCGTTGTTTAAAAAAAAAAAAAAGAGAGAGAAAGAGAGAGAACTTTCGAGATATACGCTACTAAATCGAACGAGGTTCGTTAATCTCCTTTATTTTATTTTACTGACTAGAGCGTCGATCGAGTTAGTACATAAAATTACCGTTTACAACTAAAAACTAAACGAACATCGACGAGGGGGTGCCTCTTTTTTTTCACGTTTCGAGAAAGTTCACCGCGTAAGATTCGAATTATATATTTTTTTCTTTTCCTAATTTTCTCGCATCGCTTTTCTAAGCATATTAAACTGTACAGCTGTAGATATACTTTTATTTCCTTCCTCACATGCATTTGCCTTTGATTTTTGACTCGTGATGTTCCTTGATTCCTCGTTGTTCTTTTCTTTTTTTTTTTTTCGTAAATATTTTCTTTCAGATGCTCTTCGCAAAAAGAGACGCTTTTTGGTTGTTAATTTATTACAAAAATCGAACGCGTTTAAATTTTGCTATTATCGCCCCAATGAAGATGGCTGCGGATGTTGATCGACTCTCGTGGATCTGTCACTTTATAGCACACATATTCGTGATAGCATAATTGGTATAGTGCACGCGACAAGTTCGATGAAATCACGATAATTCGAAGAATAGGTTTGTTTTATATCGTTCAATTAGAACCATGTGCTGGCTGTGTGACATTTCGTGTCCTCTTCTATATATGTATACCTTCCATCATCATCAGTCGTTCGAAAGAATAAACGAAAAAATAGGAAACGAGAGAAAAGAATAGAAGAAAAAAATAATAATAATACACGAACGCTATAGCAATCAGATACATGGACACAAAACATTCGAAATTCGACCACTTAACCCATTAATAACCAGTTTCATAAATTTTTATTTTAGTATTATAAATAAATATTTATTTGCCTTAGTGTCGACGATCGCGCACGCGATGTCGCGTGAGCGGCAGTTATCGTGTTAACAGAGCTGCCCCTAGCATAGGGCAACCGGGCAGTTGCTGTCCGCGGTTAGAGATTATCTCTTAAATATTGTAATAGTATATTATTCTGAAAAATAAGGATTTTTAAAACGGCTGAACCTTTTACAATTCTACTATAATATTTTATTTATCGAAAAATAAATTTCACATTTATTAATAACAAATTTTTCTTTTGAAAAGCCGTTTTACGCTCTGCTATATTTATCATAAAACTTTACAATAAATGAGAAATATAAGATTACGCGTGTTACGTATCAATAGTTACTTAATAGGTTTATTAGAATAGATTTCAAGATTTCTGATTAAATATTTTCAAGAATATTGATATCTGCCTCAGACCCCTATAACTCTTATCGTTAGACAGCTCTGCCTGTTAATAGAACGTCTATCTTGAAAATAATATATTTTCGATATTTGGGAATTAATGGGTTAAAATGTGATATTGATTTTTTGAAAGTAATCAAGTTGTTCATATATATGTATATCATACAAGACGTGTTTTACGCTTACTTTTTTTACCGATATAATTAAATTATTAAATAATTATAGACTACAATTCTCTTCCGTTAACAAAAGAATTAGAACTTAGCATACAGTCTGTGTACAAAAAACCAGGATTTACAATAGCGTTTACTAACCTCAATGTATAATAGGAATATAATAACTTTTTTTTTTTATCACATATAAAAAGCAGTTGCGTATGTACATGTCTGAGTAAGATTAGGTACCATTATTATTATTATTAATATTATTATTATTTTAATCGATAGAGTAGCTATTATATAATTTGGTACACTGTTTAACGTGGATATTTGATAAATACGAACAATAATCAATATGTCGTTTACTTCCTGGTGTCTTGACATAGTCGTTGGTTTTTTCTCATTACTTTTTTTTCCCCCCACGAATTCCTATATGTATACACACACGGTTCGCTTCGCATTCTCCATTTATTTACGTGACTTCTTTATTTCTCTCTTTACTCCTCTCTTTAGTATTATTTATATAATATCTATATATATAACACATGTTATTTAATAAATCAAAAGCTATGGCCAGTTCATAAATTTAAAAAAAAAAAAAAAAAAAAAGAATGGTTCGTTCGGTTTCCTGTTCGTTAATTCTCGTATTTCTTCTTTTATACTCGTAGAACGAGCAGCACAACTAATAAAAATAGTTCCTTTCTTACCGACACTGAAAATTATGAATTACTTTACACATTACAGACGAAAAGACCACAGCTCTTTTCATTTCAACGATTGATCGTATCTTAGAACGATACAAATTAGTGATTATTATTTTTTTTTTTTTGTTTCCATACCCTTTTGTGTCGCTACCGTCACGCTTTCTTCAATTCCTTTTATTTATTTTTCTCTTTTGTAAAAATTTGGACTTCGAACAAGGCTTATTTTCTTTCTCGCGGCACCGCGACTCCTTATTACTTGAAGGAAAAAAAAAATAGGGCTGACTATCCTGACTATCTGCCGCATATTAAACTTAGAAATATCCCGTCGTTAGCTGGAGTGTTTTCTATTCGTAATTTCTTTTTAAATGTCTCTGCACCACGTACTTGGATCTCGCATAATTTCATCAAATTCTTTCTTACAGTTTCACACGGATAATCAAAACGTAACAGAAAAAACCTATAAGCAATCAAATTCGAAGCAACAACTAGATTCCTAAACATCTACCTAAAAATTATAAACGGAGTCGCACGATATCGAAGGCACAACTCTTTTCTTTTTCTCTCTCAAATTGGATGAACTAAAAGAAAGCACAATGGGAGGCATCATTGGTGTATGTTGAATCCTTAAACAGTGCAAATCACTGCATAAAGAAGCGATTCTTCTTCTTTTTCTTTCTTTCTTTTTTCTTTTTTTTTTTTTTCGTTTTGATGCTCGAGATTAAGTACAAGAAAAAAATTCTTTTCGTTTCATTCGTCTTGAAAGACTAAAATAGTCATATTCATAGATGCATAGTAAATATTTGAACTATTTATTTTCCAATTCAATCTGAAGCTACTGTATTATTATTTTTCTTTTCTTTATAGCCTTATCTTTCGGTCGTTAGAAAGTTTCATTTTTTAACTTTTTATTAGTAACAAATTTACATAGACATACGGGAATTATGTTCTTTTTTTTCTTTTTATACCTTTGTTTTCCATTCGGCAGAGACGGGATTCCATAACACTATTCGCTATACATTTTTACAATCTTATCGTATTCTTACACTCGAATTCGTATGCTTTAATCGGGGCAAGTAATATTCTTAGCGTTTCTTCAAGTTTCTTCGAAGGATTCTCTTCTTACCAGAACGTCCTTCTTCAAATTCGAAAGCCCAAATAATTATATAGATGCAAAAAGAGAATAATAATAATAATAATAATAGTAATAATGATAATAATAATAATAATAATAATAATAATAATAATAATAAAACAAAGAATGCACGAACGTTAGGAGTAAGAAGAAACCGTGACATGAATTGCTTGCCTCGATCAATACATAGAAATTCTGTTCTTATTTAGTAATCGCCTGTTGTTGTTTTAACATCGTTCTTTTTTTTTCTCAATGGTGCAAATGGCTATACCACTCGTATCACTTACGAAAGTAACTGTCCACGGTAAAACTGACAGATTGAAAATGCAAGTTCGTGAATACCAGTTGCAAAAAAAAAAAGAACAAATCTGCGAGTTTTATCTGTACAGATGTCTCAATCGTTCGACACCAAGCTGCTGGCGCAGTGACATCGGCGTACATTGAAACGTTTTCACCGGGGCAGCAACTTGGTAGAACGTCAGTATGTAGCGTTCATTATGGATCCTGGCTGGTATTTTGCGATGACTCACAGTTCTGTGGACTATCTAAGTCAGGAGCTTGTGGAAAGAACGTGACCTGGGTGAATAGAGGGCTGTGAACCGGGGACGGTCTAGGCTGAGTTCTAACTTGTTGTTCCTCTTGCACTTGTTGTATTACAGTAACGTCAGGATAACTGGAAAGACCAACGAACAATAGGTATTAAAATAATCATAGCTGCAACATTAAATTATTCCAAATAATCTAGAAAATCTCACCCTATAGATCCCCATATTAAATTACGTCTCGATCCTTTCTGTGATTGATATTTCTCGACTTTCTCAGCTTTATCAGCTTCCTCGGCACAATCTTCGCTCGTATCCTCTTCCATTTCTTGTTCATCGTCGGGATAAAGTTCAAATGCCCTCTCTAATGTTTTCTTCGCGCTGTTACTACGCTCCAAAATGTATCCATTCGTGGAATCATTAGACTGAGCTGGGGGAGACCAGTTGCTATACGCATGAGTATATGGAGCCGTTGATGCATATGGTCTCTGAAAAATATAATTAACGTTGTACATTATGCGAGCCTCGTTTTTGTATAATCGTTGATATTATTATTTTATACCTTGAGTTCTTCGTGAAGCCACTCAATGGCATGTATCCATTTCCTCTTCAATTCAGGGCTGTGATGCAGAAGTTCGTGTGCAAGTCTGCACTTGTTAAACAACTGCACCATGCATTTAATGCATTGATAGGCTCTTTTTTGGTAATGATGTTTACTTCTCTGTATTATTTCGAATAAACCTTCTCTCTCTTCTGGAACGCCTATAATTGTTTTATAATTGATTGAAAAATGTCATCCCCTTAAAATATTTAAACGAATTTTAAGTTTAATTCATTCGTACCTTTAAGTGCATTGTGAACACGATGCGTCTGCCACGAATCTTCCATTAGAAGCATGGCGAGTAGTAAATCCGTATGATGTTTCAACTCGTGAGTAAAAGCATATCCAATTTGCCATAATAATTCACTGAGAACAGTTCGTGATAATTGTGGATTTTCCCAACAACAATATTGAAGTAATTTCACTATGTCCTCGGTAACGTTAACATCAGCGTCTTCAATTAGTTTCTTCATGTAACTATGGACAAAAATGATGAATTATCTCATTATGTTTCTTTTTTTTTTTTCTTACTTTAATCATATTTGTTAAATAAACGTTACCTGTTTTTAACAAAAAGAATATCTGCTGCCAGCGGTTGAATAGGCATCAGATATTCGTTTTGACATGCTGGGTCACCATATGGATTTGGTAAAGGCGCTACTCCTGACTGTGCATGACTCGAATGTGCTTTCGATGATACGTCACAGCAACGTATCAGCATACTAACTACTTGATGCAATTTAGTTAGCTCGGGATAGTGATACTTTATTGTAGGGCCGGGTCCTTCGTCAATTGCGACCAACATAAACGTAACCGGAACATTTAACTACGGTAAGAAATAACGGATACAATTTACAATCTAAATATTATTTATAACCCATATGTAAAATGATAGTTACCTTAAGCAATTGAGCCTTTTCGGCAAGACCGAGCGACGCGTACGTGTGGAACACAGAGAAATAATGTGATAGATGACGGCCATGATCTGATATTTCACGGTGAAGTAAAGAAAGAACAGCGTGCAATAAATGATCACTAAGCGTGGCAGTTGGATCCAAAAGTATGGCTGAAAATATAGAAAAAGAACATTTGTATATATGATTAATCGTCATATCAATCTTTGATTTTTATAAGATATGCATTAAATGAAAGGAAATAGCTATCCAATACGTTAGCCGACCCCTATGGTCCCCTATGGCAAATTTTTACCCCATGGAATCCATAAAATAGGCCGCCAAGATGATCTGTACCATGTTTTATCCAAATCGATTAATGGGAACATGGTCAAAATAGCGGCCAAAGTTGACCCTTTTAACACGGGGCTCTATGAGGAGTGGTCGAAATCGTGCTTTCGACATCCTAGTTTCCGGATATGTTAAACTAGACGATAATACCTTTCAAATGAGCCCATGAACATCAAAATCGTAAAATGGGAATTTGGTCAAAACCCGTTGTAAAAAAGTGAAGAAAATCTTCAAAGTCGATTTCTGACCAAACTACTCAGCGGATTTTTAACAAGTTCCCGTTTGACGATTTTGATACTCGCGAGCTCATTTGAAAGGTATTATCGTCTAGTTTAACATATCCGGAAACTGGGATACCGAAAGCACGATTTCGACCACTCCTCATAGAGCCCCGTGTTAAAAGGGTCAACTTTGGCCACCATTTTGACCATGTTCCCATTAATCGATTTGGATAAAACTTGGTACAGATCATCTTGGCGGCCTATTCTATGGATTCCATGGGGTAAAAATTTGCTGGGACCATGGAGGTCGGCTAACGTATTGGATAGCTATTTCCTTTCAAATATAATTGTAAAACGTACTTGGTGCGTTTAGACTAGGCGGCACACATGGGCCATCCTGCAGGGAAACGTGTGCAAGAAATACCAAAATTTTGAGAAAAGCTGTTCGAACTTCTGTACTGGGACAGCTCAAAAGGTACTCGCAAAATCTAAAGACAATGAATTAATTTTTCGTTAAGTATCAAGATTTCCTATACTCATGCATATGTACTCAAGAAAACGTGGTACCTATGCGGATGATTAAATAAGACGTTATGAGCAAACCAAGACCGTACTGATTTACTACTGCGCAAATGATGGCACACAATATCGTACCAATCCGTTGCATTACCACGCAATGTCTTTTTAGTATGGAAACCCGTGTAGAATAGAAATCTCGACGACAATTGTACAGACAGCATCGCGAGTTCTTCTTGTTCAGGGCTCTACAATAATAATAATTTGGAAAAATTATTGTAACTCTTGATAAATAACGTTAAGCAAAAATCTGATTTGATATAAACTTACAAGTTTCTCGTTCATATTTTGTCTGTTAATATTATGAGGATTACAAGATACAAGTTTCTTGATAAATTGAAAGTATTCTGCGCTAAATTGATTTCGATTATGCATAAACTTTATGTTTTGCTTTCTGACACTGTATTCGATAGCTGGGGGCATTTTCATAACTCCTAGTTTCGTATCTGAAAATGAAATGATTTTTATTATAATAAACGAGTACATTTTTCTCAGTAAGTACATCTAAACAATACTTACACAATGATAACTCGTTAACACTTTTCATTAGGGAATTATCCTCTACATCTAATCTGGTATAAAACAACATATAAGCATTCCACCATCGTTTCTGTTTGCGGTAACTCATTCGTTTGAGCATGTGGTCAAATACTTCTCCTAAATAATCACCACCAAAACACTGAGACTTCATTTCTTCCTCTTCTTCCATTTTACATTCCGTAACATCGCCGTCATCGAACTTGTACCATTTAGCAGTGCCATCACTTTGCCTAACGAATGTACATTACAATTAACTTATCCGTACAAATAATTGTTAACTGTAAATCTTTTAATTACCTATGCAAAATATAAGAATAGTAATGACCACCGCTAGCTTGACCACTGTGTACTACAATACCAGTTAATTGATATTTAGTACAAGTTCCTTTCACTGATTCTTCATAATCACAGTCTATAACTTCTCCCTCCAATTTAGCAAGTCCCGAAACAGTATAAGGTTCCATATCCAAATCTCTTGGAAATTCAAAGTAATCATTAAATTTTATAGCACAAACTCTTTCATAATCGTATTCGAATCTTTTTAATTGTATCGCTAAAACAGGTGGTAACTTCTTTACACATAATCGCTTTACCGTCACAACCTGAAGAAAATAATTCTCTGTGGCATTATTCTTTGGATATAATTTGCACGGTTCATTTGTATAAAAATCTAAATACTTCTCAATTGTACCTTTTTATTACATTTGTCGCAATGATAAGCGTCTGCACCTTCCAGCAATTCTCCTTTCACATATTGTTCAAGAGAATCCAGTAAGTTGCTGTGATTTCTGATATCCACACTTATCAAACTGAACGGCTCTTCCTTGGAATATCTGAAGATAATGTAATGCGGTATTACAGTTTACCGAAAAAAGGAGAATGTAAGAATTAAGAAGGTACCTATGAGGGCAACCTTTGCAGATTTTCTGGTCACTATATGAACCACCGAGAATTTTGCTCATTATCTGTTCATGCCCTAAGGCTTTCAATGCCTCATCTAAGCTTTCCACCAAGCTCATAAAAAATTCTACCGCATCCTGTTGCTCTCTAAGATTTACAGGTTCGCCTTGAAGTCTACAATGTCAATCAATGAAACATTGATAAGTACAATTAATCTATCTGTACACGTCATTTAATTGAGAAATTCAAAATTTTACTTACTTAAAATGTTTCCAAAGTCCTCTGGGTATGTAATATTGCAATTTGCTATAAGCTAAATGACCAAAGATAGCTTGAACTTGTTTCAAAATACCAATATTATACTCTTTTCTAGACTCATCCGCTCCGCATTTCTCCTCGTTTGTATCGTTATCGTTCGCCTCTATCGTTTGTTCACCTTCGATTCTTTCCTCGCCAGAGAAATCTTCGTTTAAATCTGTCGCTGCACCTTCCGCGGCTAGTAGCCCGATTCTTATACTTTCAACCATGTACAATTGTTGTAATACTGAGTTCATGTAGCAAGTCGCGCCTGCATTTTTCAGACCTACAAACCCTTTTAATGGCCTAAGCCCAACCGGTGGTAAATAATCCCATTCTACCAGCGGTTCGTCTCTCTCAGAGTAGAACATATCAGTGAGCATTGTGACTAGAAGTTTCATGTTAGGTACACAGCCTACACAAAGACCTACAAGTAAATCAAATGCCGCACTAGTTGATTGAGGAGTCGTGCATACTGGGCTCGCTTGCGTGGCACTTAGCTCTCCAGTGCTACGAAGTTGCAGCATAAGACGCGATGCAGGAAATACAAAATCTTCGACCAATTCTTTGATTAAATTTGCCCCGTGTTTCTCATCGGAACCAAGTTCATACTTTTTACTCGGAGGTAAAAAAGCCAATAGCTCTTTAGTAAGGCCAAGATGCCCTTCGAGGACAGCCTCGTCAACTTGACTTTCTCCAGTTTCTTTAACGTTGTCTCGCACTTTCTTCAACCAAGCTATCTCGATGTTCAACAATGTTTCGGCTGTTAAAAGTGGGCATCCGGACATGTGTGCATAATTTAATAATCTACACAAAAGTTGAAAGTACTCGTGACTCTGTTTCGCGTGTTCCATAACAGTGGTGTTTAGAACATTGAATAGCAACGTTATTGCGAATAACAATGGCTGATGACCATTGCTGTACCACGTCGATATAAAAAAAAATTGTTCAGCCGCGGCCATTCGAATCACTCTCGACGTACTTAGAAGTACAAGGTCTATCAAAAACGTGTGCCACATATTGTCCCTTGATAATGATTCTAACGCGGTCGGATTCAATACCAAGGCGATTGTCAAAATTTCCAGTGCCTCCTTACATACTAGTACGTCATTATTGTCCGGATTATTTGACGTTTCCTTTTCCTTTGTCTCGTGAAGCACGTGAAGCGTCTCGGCGGACGCGTTTATGTTGTTCAAATTGCCTGTGGATGCCGCCCATGCTAGCCTAATTATGGCACGAATAGTAGCTACATTCGGTAGCTCCCAGGAAAGGGCCTGCATAAAAAGATGCCGACATTTGTCTGATTCCGTTCCTCCGCACAACATTCGACGCGCTAAATGTTGAGCTAATTTCGCTGCCACGCTTCTCAACATATATTCCGTGTTTTGATTTGGTACACTTTGTAATGCCTGTTTTAAAACTGCCACTGGACCACGATTGTTATGAGTATGGTTATCGTGATTCTCAGATATTCCAGCTTGTTGTACTTCGTCCATTACGCAAGCCATTACGTTACCAACTATAGTCAGTAAAAGTTTGCATAATTTCAACACGGTCAAATACGCTGCACGTTTCGTGGTTTCATCCGCGTTTGGTAAAAATTTATTTTTCGTTAACATCTCCAGAATAACACCAGCTTCACCGCTCTTGATAAAATTGCACTGAAATTCAAACGCTCTTTCCGACATCGGGTCTAATGCTGGCATTAACAAACTATATAAAACCTAAAATATGAATAAATTAATTCTTGTATCGTCTGTTTCTAAAATTACAATAAACAATCAGAAATATATTAAAGAAAGTTTACCTCTAAATTGTATAAAACTTGGCTAGGACTTGCAGTAAAAAATAAAGCATCTACTGTAGTGTTTTGATCATTACAAAGAGCATTATCCAAGGTGTCATCTTTACAATGACCAAATAACCACTGTAACCGTGATACAGTGAGAGTATCCGGTGGCACCAATTGTAGAAGATTTCGTGCACCATCACGTAATTGCGCGTGTTGAAGAGTGCATCCAAGATCTGCCAATTGAAAGAAAAACGTAGCGTATTGCGATCTTTGGGACATAACCTGTAACAAACGTAAGGTTACAGATTCGTAGATTCATTTTTTATTTCATTATATGTACGTTATAAGCGAAATGTTAACATACCACACCCGGTAGGTTATTTTCTGCTTCTACATTTGGCCCATCATATGGGTGATGCGGAGAACTAGCGGAACTATCTGAACTACTATCCGGTGAACTTGGCATATTGCTGTTTACTTGGCCCAACTTTGCAGATAACAGCTGTATAAGAGAGTAATTTTTTTAGATCATGTTACATGGTACATTTCAATACAGCTTAGCGCCATTAAATAAATACCATTTTGTCCCTGAAGGGTGGTTGAGAAAGAAGTTTTCTGTCATCTGCTGGCTCTAAGGATTCTCCATTAAGAAATAAGTCAATTTTTACATTTGATTCATTTGCTTTAATTCTGCGCAATATTTGTCGTCTTAATGATCCCAAGGTGTCGTTAGTATGGGTAAATATATCTATGTCATCTACACTACGATTTGCAGGGTTTGCAAAACGAAGTATAAGAGACAGATGCTTCCCACGAGCTGCTCTGTAATCAAATAGGATGAACATATTTATGAGGGAAAAATATTCTTTCGTTAATAATATAAATAACTATACCTATGCAATGGCAATATTTTTCGTTCTCCTGGAAATGCAGTGTCACATTCGTTTATGTATTCCTGTAACACTTTCATGACACGACACATTTTCATAGCTTCTATTTTAATCTTATTTGACACTTGTTCTTCACGTTCCTCTTTACCTTCGAGGTATACTCTACTTAAAACCGACACAGTGTCATAATGTGCCTTTAATCTGTCCATGCATTCCCCAATATATGTTACATGAAATGCCAAAACTGATGACTGTAGTCGTGGCCCTAAATTAGTGTTTACTTCTTTTAATAGTTCTATGGCCCGATTTGCAATCTCTTCAGGACTGTTAGTTACGACCTGCACGAACATACACAATGAGCAATTATACCACTCTGTTCAACTCGATACGATTAATATTAAACATCACTTACTCGCCACAAGTAATCTGTACCAATTAGGTCAACGTCATCCATAAGAAATGTACCCTTCTTCAGTTTTAATTTACCCTCCTTCGAATTAACAGCTTTGAAAAATCGTTCGTAACATTTGATACCACTTTCTGTGAGTAATGTTGGATCTAGTTGGAGTATATTATTTTGGAAAAAATCTTTATTTATCGCCGGATCAAGATCTGGTTCATCTCCCATTAATTTAGAGAACCACTTGAAACATGCTTCACGGTCGGAGACAAATACACCTTGTTCTGCTAAACACTGCCAAATTTGTTCAGCTTGGTCGGCGCATAACCAAAGTTGACCATCTTTCAACAAGAAACGTAAGAAATTAAGCCTTTCTTGCACCTGCATAATATGGTTATAACGACCATCGGGCATATAAGTATTCGCATCAATGTCTGGATTTTCTTTAACTAATTGTCTCATTTTATTCATATAATTTGTTAAACTATTGGTCACTAAAATTACTGCCGAATGTTGTGATTGAAGTCGTTCTATAACATCTTGTCTGTAATGATGATTCCGTTGATTGTGACACGAAATGTGTGGATTTGGTTCGTAAAGGCAACATATCTCTCGAATTTGTTTTAACGCAGGTAAAGCCCACTTATCGCCATTTTTTAGTTCTTCCACACATTTGTCCAACCAAATTGTCTTCTGAGCATCTCTTTCTTGTGAACACGAATAATCAAGGATTTTTACATGAGCGCTTAAAGCTTGATCCATTATTTCTGTAGGCACCTCATCGGAATGAGCCAAATTCCAAAAAAGAGTTAACACCTTATGTGCCATTACTCCATCCTTATCGTCTTCTGCTAGTCTCCGAATTAATTCTAATAACTTTTCTCTTTGTTTTTTATTAGCAGTCTTCCAACTCATCTGAAATAAGGTACATTTCGATTAAATTATGCGTAATAATAATTGTAATTAAAAGAACTATAATTGGATAATAATAAACACCTGAAAGCATTCAAACAGATGGTCAAGTTGTTCAGGACTAAAATCCCAAGCAAGTTTAGCAAGTAGGTCATGAACATTTTTTACAATTGCTTCGTGTTTTCCAGCTTGTGCCGCCCAAACAGCGTCCAAATCTTCCAAAGTTAATGCTCGTTCTTTTATAATGAAACGTAAAATCTTTTCTAACTTTTCAACATACTGAGGTTGATGTAACGAATCTCTTAAGACGATTTCTAATACTCCATTTTCTTTTATCCATTTCTAAACAACCGGAACCATTTCGTACACTTAGTATTTGTTATGAAATTAAATTTGAAATCATATAAGGATTAATAAATGTTTTACTTACAGCCATACATTCTGCGGTAAGCCATTCTTCTTCCTCAACAATCGCGTTTCGATGCTGATAAAAACTAACAGTGGTAATCACTTTATTCACTTCATTTAATGCATTCATTTTCCCGTTAAACGAAGAAATTTGTAGAAGTCTTAAAATCATTTTCAATCTCAGAATTCCCAAATTTTTAATCATTTCATCTTGATGCGGTACTCGTGATACCAAACATTTGCAGGCTTTGATTATGGCTGATATCGCATCATTTTTTGATTCATTTTTCGCTTCCTTTTTTAATTCCTCATCGGTCAAATTATTCAAAATTACAGACACCATTTCCTGTATATTGAAATATGTAGCGATGCCATTGATCTAGATAAGGTTGATATTTAATTTAATTACAAAATACTTACCACGATAGGCATCAGATATTTAACTATTGTGTGAACAGTAAGCAATTCGTAACACAAACCAAAAGGTCTAATCAACGCATAAATAACTGGTACTGTTAAATTTCGACCGCTCTGAAATCTAGAGAGCAGAATTTCAAATCCGTTAAGACTTCCAAACCTACAACAAAGAGAAAACTTTAATATGTTGTATGCTGAAAATAGAATTATCAAAAACTGGTTAATATTATTCATCGACCTATTTATAAGATCCACTAGCCAACCACGAGGACTTCTTGAATCAGCAGGTGGCCGTGCATAAAGTTCTTCATCGGGAATATCACTGCCAGGGGGAACAGTTTCTGAAACTCTTGCAGCATTAAATGTGTGAAATCTGAAACAGAATTTCATAAATTAATCTGACGGAGACAAAATATACTTGCTATTATATAAAAGAACATTTAACTCACTTGTTACTAGGATTAAAAACCATTGCCAGCAAATCAAGAAGAGGAAACCAGTCCTCGTCTAATTTCAAGACACATAGTTCCACTAACCGCTCACAATTTGCATTAATACAGTTATGAATATTTAATTTCCAACTATTTACTGCATCATCAGTCAATATTTTGGTAAAAGAAATTGTGAGTCCTTCACGAAAAAAGCGTTGACATGCTTCACTTTGTACATCAATTCCTAGATAAAGTATATATCCATGTTACACTTATTTCAATATTATCGGCTATAAATTTAAAATTGCTCATTTTGTGTAACAACCTTTTTTACAAAGATCGATACTGGCTTGTAACAGGCACTCTAACTCTTGATCTGGTAGAACTGGTACAACCCATCGTGGACTAGATATTTTTTCATGAAGCATATTCAGTTTTGCAATAGGAAAATCAGGCTCCCCGTGAAGCTGATTACTATCCTCTACTGTAGTTAATGTATCATTGGTGCAATCTGTTTGTACCACATTCTCCGTGAGTTGAAGTCCTGACATTGTGTCAACTAACTGTTGCGGACCAGGTGGACTGTGCATCTGTTGTGTAAAACGAAATAAATTAAAAGCAAATACAAACTTTTTATGTAGAAAAATAGTTCAACGATGAAGTACAATCTTCTACCCCTGTGTAATCTTACATACCTGTGTACTTTGTTGGCTGTCAGGAGGGTCTATGCCTACTCCTTGGCCTCTTGTGGCGATCGTCATTTTGTGTGCTCTTTGCTATATTCCAATTGTCTCAATACCTTTTGGTCCGATAATCACACCACCAATAACAATCATCCAACTCATTCACTGACATTAAATATAATTATACCCTAAAGGCCTTGTTTGAATAAACTATACCTACATTATCTGAAACAAAGTAATTAAAATTCCACGATGAATTAAGATTTTTACAATTTCCTCCAAAAATATGAAAAGATCAAAGACAATTTTTAGTTCCAACTAAATATAATACTGTAATGTAATAACAGTAGATATAAATCTACCAGTATATGTTTCAGGATATATGTATATACTTGTAAAGCATTTTTGTAACAGGTTTATATCTATTAAATATTTAGTCACCTATTATTCGTGTATTAATAATAAATTAACTGTAACTGCTAACTCAATGTTACACAAATATTTATACGAAAAACCGAAACTATATTAAAACGTAGAGAATAAAAAAAACGTTTTGAAGATGACTTGAATGGAAAATTAGAACGGTGAAAAAGTCCGTAAGACAAGTCCTATGTAATTCGAGCTGATCTCGAGGAACACCGGTAGCGTCAATATTTCATAGCTGAACAACAAGAAAATGAATTTAACGAAGTATACAGGAAAACATAGATAATAAGAAACATCTCCCACATTCGGTAAATCGCATGACAGCATGATTTTGCTAAGGTTTCAGCCGACAAATTCCAATCGTTTGTACTGACCAACGAGAACAATTCTTTCATAAACGATAATAGTTCACTTGAGCCGCAGAAAACCAGTACGAAATTAATAATCATATCTAAGGATTTATATATATATTTTTTTGGAATTTCGCAATTCATGAAAGGTACGATGTCATGTCGCGAATTATTCTTCTATCTCTTTCTCACTCCTTTCGATCTCTTTCTCTCGCCACCTCTTTTTATTTCACGGGTGTATCGTCAAACGTACCGAACTGTCAACCGTCAAAAATTCTAATTTGGAGGCGACTAACCCAGACCCGCTTTTAGTTGACAGAAAAGCATTGTTGATCAAAGAATTTCGCGAGAGATCGTCGTTAAATTAGCTTGGAATTACGCGAAAATACGTGTACGGCGTGCTTACAAAGGACTAACGTCGGAGCGGCGACGAAACTGAATCTCAATTTTTTTTTTTTTTTTTTTGGTACACGCACACCTCCTTTATGAGTGTCAGATTTCTTTCGCTGACAAAATGTAGGTGAAAAGATTCCACGCAACCGGTACCTATGTAATTTCAACGATCCTCGGTGTCCAGGGAGCAACTATTTTCGCCCCGTTCACTCAACCGGGCCACCTCCGGACAAAATGGCGACCATCCTAACGATTAGCACTACCGTATTAAAGAAAACCTTTTAAATTTTGCTTTGAGACGAAACAACCGGCTGGCTGACAACGTACAGTAACACGCAAAAGATTTCTATTATCACTAACTATTGCGTCAAACTTGTATAAAGGAAAAAACGCACCTTTACATAGTAAACGGTAGTAGAAATTTGTTGCACTTTTTGACGTGACGTTATAGAACTCACTGGTGAATCTGTAAACACGGACTATCCTTACGGCGCTACTGTCGTTCTCGAGTTAAAACGACCACGGTATTTAACACTATGTTCACTCAGTACTCTTTATTCGTTTTCATCCATCGGGCAATTTCAATGATACACCCTTTTTAAACCTTTCATTCATTTCTTTTAGTCTAAAGTGTTCTTTTTTTCCAAGAACATGTATGATAAATACTTCACTTCTAATTCTATTCCCTTAACACATTTCGGTTTTTCATGTTCTATGAAAACTTTAATAGTATAATATATGTATATAATTTTTCTTTAACGCCCTATTGCTTCCCCAATAATCTTTTTCATTATAATATTTTTGACAATTTAGCTTTCTAGCATCATAAAATGATATTTTTAAAAGAGTATTTCAAATCAATTTAAATCACAGACTTGTAATTTAAATCAATCGATTAATCGATATCAATTTTATTTCAAAAGTAATGCAGAGGATACATATCGTAAACAATCATTGTCAACATTTTTTAGCAATTTATTTCAATGAATTTCATACATCTGTACATAATATTGATAATTGCAAATGTTAATTTAACGTAATTTATTTTTATAGCATAATTGTCGATCTAAAGATTATTCTATGCTTCATACATGAATTATTCATTACATATGAAGAAATAATAGTAGTAATTCTAATATTAGGAAATTTCAATATATTTATACTTTGAAGTATAACTTTAACTTATAAAAAATCGACAATTTTTAATCAGTACATCAAAAGAAATAAAAACAACATATAATAAAGAGAAATCTTTCCCAGTTATTTGATCACTCAAATAAATTTATCCCACCAGTATTAGCAAGTATTAAATAGAAATAAACAACATAACAATAATCTGATTTATTATGAACACAAATTGCTATTAAAATTCCAATAGCCAACTGAAAAACAAGGAAGGGTAACTTTGAACTCTACTACAAAATATTATTTCAAATCAACTGATTCAAAAAACTAAATTTTCTTTATTATTTAAAAATGTCTTCTAGTTATGCAACATAGTAACTTTTGGCAGTTTCTCGTTTTTTTTTGGTTTTTGTTTTATTTAATTAACTGTGCCGGGGAACCGTGTTTAATCTGACCAGTCTTACAATCTTCAATAGCAAGAAAAATATAAAATCTCAATCTTAAACAAGGCACACAAACAAAAAAGTGATATATAAGAACAAAACATTTTCAAAATATACCAGTACAACAGCCATTACCGCGGTAACAAGATAATTGCAAAATGATATGTTTATCTTTAACATTCTCTGAATTTTCATGAAAAGATCGATAGAAGAAAACTGAGTCAATGTGTAATAATTTATAAATGTAATAAGTTAAAAGGTAGCACATGTTTCCAGGAACAATTTTTATATGCATAAAACTTCACAATCAGGCTACCTACTTTCTTTCGCACTTGCATCAAATTATGTATCGTATACGGGATGTGCCATACGATTCACCCTGCATAATTTAAATATTTCTTCTTCATTTCATGTTCAACATCTTTGAGACTGTATAGTAGAGAATTTTAATCATCATTGGGCTGATGATGCATAATTATAATGCTAATATTTAATATTATTTAGAAATAGTTAAAATAAAAAAAATTATTGAGAAAAAAATGATTTTTCTTTCTAATCATTGAAGGAAAAATATAGCGATGGACCATTATATTTTTGTTATCATCGCTTACAAATGGAATTCATGATTGTATTTTTAAATACTAATAACCTCAATGATGTGGAAACTTCTAATCCATTTTTAAAATTTAGATTGTTCCCACTAGCTTTCATACAGTGAAAATTTTATTTACATCCAAACGTAACTTCAGTACGTAAGATAGTGTAAGTGAAGGACCGAGATCATCTTTCGTTTTTAGGAGAAACATTTTGACTTTTTTAACCGTGTACATTTGAGATTTGAAATGGTCATCATAAAGAAAGTTCTTCGAGTTCCTTCATCAGGTCAGCTTCTTTTTTTATCTTGTCTAGTTGATTGATTTCTAATTGTTTCCCTGCTTCTAATTGTTCTTTCAATTTTGAAATCTGTTCTATTTTCTGCAAGGAACAACATAAATATTAAAACTACTGTATGAATACGACATTAATACATTAGTAGTGAATATTCTTACGTTTTTAATTTTTTTAATCTTTTTACTCCTTTCCAATTCGTCACTTTCAGCAGCATTTGCAGTTAAATTTTGAGGTTTTATACTTGCAGTAACTTGTCCATTAGTACTCGGTGACTGTGAAGAAGCCGAAGCTTCTGAATCTTTTTTGACTTTCTTTGTTTTTTTCTTTGCCTTAGACTGATTAGCTATAAATAAAATATTTTAAGAAATATATAAACGAAAAAACAAATTTACATATTATATGTAAAATGATGATTTCCTTTACATTTTGCAGTATTTTTAACTCCAAACACTTCGTCATCGTGTAATTTGAAAGTTATAGATTCCCCTCTCGCCGATGGTGGTCGATATGCTTGTTTCGATGCTGAAAATGATTGGAACAGATTATATATCGCAACCTAAATATTGATAAAAAGATACAAACATAGTTTTTCTTTACCTTGTGGTTGACTAGGAGCAATTCCTTCAACAGCTTTATAACTAATTGGTTTTTCTGGAAACGCATCTGGTGGAAAAGTTTGCCATAATACCTCCCACAGTTCTTCTTGTTCGTTCCATGGTCGTTCATACAATAATGTTCCGGTGTAATGCCAAATTTTAAATCTGTATAACAAATTCTTATTACAAATGAATTCATTTTAATTATTAGGTATAGTATTTCGTTCATAAAAATATTATTCACCCATTGCCCATTCGTAATCTGGGTGCTGTAGTTGCAGTCATAAAATGTTCTCCATCAGGAGACCATTGAAGAAGCGTGGTATCAGGAGCTTCAGTTTTAGCAATTAATTTTCTGTTGCCAACATCCCATAATTCGATTCCACCACGGAGGTTCCCAAATCCAGTTAAAATTAGAAGTACACAGTGGTTAAGGAAAAATGTTAACTCAGAAGTACAAAAAAAAGAAAAAAGTATTCGTTAAATTAGTATATTAAAGGATATTATTTCCCTGAGGATTATAATAAATGCTATTTCGATGAAGCGCACCAAATTCAAATATTGATTCACATTTGAGATTAAATAATGTAGCTTTAGCTGGCATAAAACCATACACTACACAGAATTCAGTGTTTTTTGGAGACCACTGTACAGCATGTATAGGACCTTCTTTACCTAAAGAAAAAATTATAATTGAAATGATACACTATCTATAAATGTTTAAACAATAATTATCAAAGTCTAACTTACTAAGCATAACCATAGCAGTTTCTCCTTTTGTACTAAGATAGTGTAAAGTCTGTTTTCCATAATATGATGCGCCTGTTTTATCAACCTCTGTACTCGTCATTAATAAAACATTTGTCCCCTGATTATTCCAATACACGTTCACTCTATCCGCCTGAAGATGAAAATGATACAGTTTCATGTATACAAATATGTACATATTTTATAACAGTACCTGGAAAAAACTTTTATTTGCTAAAGCTTGTGTAGAATCAAATTTTGGATACTGGAATAATCTACCAAATGAAGGTTGACCCGATTTTCCTATAATATAATTTACAAGTATGAATTAGGTGATTTTTATATTAATAATGTAATATAACATATGTAATTATGCAAATTTAACAGATGGTATTTAATGTGGAGAGTACTTATTTATCCTGCAAGGATATGACATCGGATTTATCACAATTGTGAATATTTCATTTACAGATACTTAAGAAATCACAAATATTTTAAGACAAACAATATTTACCTGTTAAATATATTTTTAATTCCCTATAACTTTATTAAAGTACTTACAGTTAAAATTGAGCATGTAATAATCAGGAAAATTTCCCATTACTGTTGATCCTGATTATATATTCATGTGTATGCAAAATACCACTATGTATTAATATTTTGTTGTACTTCTTTAAAATATTAAAGTGTTTTATAGATTTAATTGTCATATATTCTTCATTCCACACCTGTGCATTATATGCTTGCCACACATATTTGCTTCATAATGAGAGAAACTGAAATAAAAAAGTATTTCATAAAATAAGCCAATTTGTAAGTGAGTTATGCTTGAACTATCTACTAATAGGCATTTTTAAAATTACACATTTTAATTAACCAAACCTGGTTACCAAAAATTATTGTTAATTTAAAATTATATGTTTTTATTCAATTTGAATGTTTGTGATTTCTCTTAGTTTTCGTTAAATATTTGTTTAAAAAAAATTACATACTCTCCACATATAAGTACCTGGACATGATATATACACATGTATTCATACAATTTAAAAATAAAAAAAAAAGAAACAAAATTTAATTACCGGGCATATAACACAGAATATGATATGGAGCATTACTGGGTGATATACTAAATTTTGCAACTTTGGCTACATTTATTCTGTGCTCAATTTTTTCAAAGTTGACATCCTTATATAGAATGACATCTGCACCAACTAACATCCCACAGATTTTCTCATCACTTGACCACTGAGGCTCCCTGAATAGATGTGACATAAATATAGTGACATACCAAACAAATTGCATTTACTATTTATGTTTCATCATGTAAAAGATGTATTTCTTAATAATAACTTAGGCTATAAATATTTCTTAAGTACATTACATGATATTTCTAATGCAATAATTTTATAGAAAAAATATTAAGATTGAAATTACTTTATAACAATGTAATTTTTAACTCTTTTACTTAGAAACTCAAATATAATAACCAGTACATTACCAATCTGATTGTTTTTTCTGTACAAAACTCTTCACTAGCTCTCCAGTTTCTGATTTCCATATATGAAGATTCGGTACCCCTTGAGGATTTGACACCGTTGCTATAATATAAAAGTTATATTATTAACAGTAGAACATTGTTATTGCAATATAAGAACATAATGCAAATAATGTTACAACTAAGAAGTTTAGTTACTTATTTATCTTATTACAAATGTTTATAATCAATAAAAAATCAGAAAAGTAGGAGTAATATAATACCTATGAAAGGTTCCCATGTCATAAAATATGTCCCTTGACTGGAGAACTGAATTGCAGAAATTTTGGGCCTCTTGATCTCTATAATTATTTTCCATGTATTACAGTGCAAAATCTTGACAGCCACTCCATTAACCCATGCAAAATATCTTCCCTCTGGACTAAATACCATAGCCTTGCATGTTTTACTGTCATCCTTGGGGAATGTTTTAACTGGTTCATATGATGGTGGGCCCTGGCCTAAACTGATCCCAATGGAACCTCTCACTAAAACATAAACAAAAAGAGATAAAATCAACATTTTTTACTATTTTAGTTTCATTTTTATTATTGTTTAATTTCATCATATTCAATCATTCATACATATGTTACAAATTTTTATTTTATCAGAACTGTTTTATTCACCTTACATTATAATGCATACATTTAAAAAATTACTGAATAATACCATTTTCCCCCAATTATTAATACACATATTTCAATTTTTGAAAGCAAGTTGAAATAACCATGAACCATATGGAATTTTAAACAAAATTATTAAGAAAACTTTCAAGAAATATTTATAATCATAAATATAATTAAAAAATACACTGCCACGTGAAACACTTTCTTTATATCAAATGCGATCCAGTAATAAAGTGCCACTAAACACAATGTGCTATAAAAGTTGCAACCATTTTATGGACGATGATACATTTGATAAATATTAATATCACTTATGGATAAATATTGCTAAAAGTTTGATTTTCAATTAGGCAATATATCAATAAAAACAATACAAAAGTGCTTACCAGCGAGACACGGAACAGGCAACGCCATTTTACCTCCGTTACCATGTGGTACCGTAATATCGAATATCGACCACTCTTGCGAGACTAAGGAATTTGTCCCTTGAAAAGGATATCTTGCACATGCGTCGCCAACATCGTATACATGAAACACGTGCGCTCAGTGCCGTACGTATAAAAATACACGTATGAAATGATTTTTGTTCAATTTTTTAAATAAATGGATCAGTCGCATATATTTTAACATATATATACATAGTTTTAAATAAGTTATATATATGTAAATGTTAGGTATGCAGTTATATACATAATTGTCATAAGGTATATGAGACATAAAAGCGATATATATTATACATATAAAATTATTGAGCTAAACAACACATTTCTTTTTTAATTTATACATAATTATACATCAATTTTTGTCAGATGACTATACTTCAGCTAACCCGTGATTAATGATTTCAATATCGATTAATCTTTCGATTATTATTCGAAATATCGACTTTTTGCGCTTTTTTAAAATGATTATACACTTTTTCGTATTGTATGTATCTTAAAATTTATTTAATATCTTAAACACTGAGTAGTAATACTAAGTTATATAATTTAGTATAAGTTAGTATTCAAATCCTGTCTATTAATAATCCTGCATGTTTCAAATATCTTTTAAATCGTTGTCATCTATACGTATACGAATCTTGCACAAAGTACATGTTTTAGATAAGAATCCGTATTTCTTTCTAAGTAAAGATAAAAAGATATACTTATCATGACTAAATTTTTCAAGACTTCTAAAAAGTGATGATACAGTGCTTCAATTCTTAAATTATTTATAAGTAATAAGAAATTATGATAATTAGGTGTGACATTCTACTTTAATGCTTCAAATCAATTTCAAATACAAATAATTATTTTTGTATAATTTTCTAATGTCAGTTAATAGATTATAATTATGTTAATACATAGTAAACATAGAATTGAAAAGTGCTTGCTGAACACCCTGTATACAGCAGAAATTATATGTCAGCATCGTCTTGCGTGGGGTATGGCAAGTTCATGTTTTAGGTGAGCATTAAAGATTTTAATTGTTTCATGATAGCAATAAAATTTTTTATTTGTTTTACACTATATATACTGGAAATATAAAAGGTGTGGCTAATTTATCACAAATTATAATCACAGCAATCTCATTTCCTTATACCGTTCTAAAAGAGGTTATATTTTTTAAATTGAAAATTTACAAAAATTAATAGAAAAAGATTTCAATAAAACAAATTCCATTTATAATTACACGAAATTTATGTAGCATTAATATATCAAAATTCAACTGTTAGTTTTAATTTTCTCTTATAATTTCCTTTTTTCGTATTGTTTATAAATATTTTTGAATTTTTATATTTTACAACTTCAGAGATGTGAAATAGCTTTATATATTTACGAATAATTATATGTTGTCTTGATATTTTTAATAGTAATGTGGATGAATATGGTTTTGAGAGACCCCACGACTTTGACTATGAAACCTATGAAGACTTTATGTCAGAATACCTCAAGGTGCTTACTAAAAGAGCTATGAAATGGGCTGAAATTATTGGAGAAGGAAAATCATTGCAACGTAATATTACAATAAAAAGATATGTTCGTAAAGGTATACCAGGAGAACATAGAGGATTAGTAAGTGTGAATTCAAATTTTAATTTATGAACAGAGTTCATGTATTTATCTATTTATTTTTAATATATAAAAGAAAAGTTTTATTTTCAAAGGTATGGCTGTCTGTTAGTGGAGGAGAAGATATAAAAAATGAATGTCCTGATCTTTATCAGAAATTGTTACAGTCTCCTCATAACAAAGAAGTTGCAGATATTATAAAAACTGATCTACCAAGAACTTTTCCTGACAATATATTTTTCAATAATACAGAAAATCAGCAATATCAATTGTATAATATTTTATTAACTTTTGCTCATCAGAATAAAACAGTAGGATATTGTCAAGTGAGTATGTAATATTTAAGGTATTAAGTATCTTTAGTATGATCTTCATAAAATTACTGGACATTTTCTTTAGGGTTTGAATTACATAGCAGGTTTATTATTACTTGTTACGAAAAATGAAGAAACAGCTTTTTGGTTGTTAAAAATTTTAATAGAAAAAATCTTACCTGATTATTATACACCAACAATGGATGGCCTGCTTACAGATATTGATGTACTCGCAGAATTAGTCAAGTAAATTTTTTTAAATCTTAAACTATTTGATTTGGCTGATATATACTAATGTTGTTATTATTATTCTAGGATAAAAATGCCAGATATTTATCAACATGTTACAAACATAGGCTTACCGTGGCCAGTCATTACAACCAAATGGTTTGTGTGTTTGTTTGCAGAAGTTTTACCAATTGAGGTAAAGTTAATTGTATATTTTTTTTTACAAATAAAGCTTATGAACATTAGTGTTGTAATGTTAACATTATTATATGTGGTGTGTACACAGTTGATTCGTTCATTAGTTTAAAGTTTTGAATTAATACGTGTTTGGATTGCCATAAACTTTAAAAGTACTGAATAAAATGTTTACAACTTGGCAGACTACGCTGCGTATATGGGATTGCCTTTTTTATGAAGGCAGTAAAATCATATTTCGTGTTGCATTAACTTTGATAAAAAGGAACAAATGCAACTTACTTGCATGTCAAGACTTTACAACATTAGCAGAATGTTTTAAAGAAATAACAAAAGACAGCATTGTTTTAAAATGCCATGAATTTATGCAGGTAAATAATTCTCTCTTACGTTCTCTTTTATTAAAATTAGGAGTAATAACTTAATAGAACTAAATCATTGCTACAAGATGTCTTTTCTTCTTTTTTTCTTTTTATTAGAGTATATTTAAAGTACCTGGATCGCTACCTGGCAGCACAATAATAAAATTAAGAACAAAAATTTCAAGACAACGCATGGAACAAAAAGAAAATAAGTTAGGACGATAGTAATGACCGAACTTTTGATCAATTAAATGATTCTAGTCAATACATATTATTCGACTTCAAATTCTTACAAAACAAGTATGTTCTGTAGAATTGTATTGTAATGTTACCTCTACAGTGTTCTTGTAAATACAAAAATTTAGTATTAGCAGAAGAAACATCAATGTTTTAATGTATATTGATTTATAAAATTTTATACATTTATTATTTATAAATAGGAACAAGCATGAAACATTAGTTTTATTGTGTATTGTATAAGAATATGGTATACTAATTATATTAATATCATATTATTTTATTGCTATAATTTTTCATTCTTCCATATTAGAATTAGGACAACAATCAATGTATTTTCTTATAAATAATTTTATTATAAGTTAAATAAAATATAAGATCACTATGTTGTTAAATATGTACATAACAGTTTGTTCACTGCAATTTAATTTACAAATGTAGATAATTAATTGTATACGCTATTTCTGTATGACTATATTGATATCTACATTATTTTTCAAGTAAGTCTTTTGCTTCATTAATTTTTGCTGCTATATATGGAGATCCACCTCTATCTGGATGATTTACAGCCATGATTTTTTTAAATTGTTGTTTTACTTTTACTTTATTTGCAGTTGGTGATACATCCAATATTAAACTAGCTTCCCTTCTAGTCATCTTAGCTTCAAAGCCTCCTTTGTAATATTTACTATTAGCTAATGTCTAAAAATATATAAGCAGTAAATAAGTTGTGATATCTATATGAGTTTTATATTTAAATGTCTTACCTGTGAATCTAACTTTGGCATATTTTTAACAGCTTCTGCCATTTTTTGAGATAATTGTGGCATTTTTTTAAGAATGTAACGTCCAGTAAAACCCACTACAGCAAGGCCTAAGCCTGCTGCAACAAGTGTAGAACTCTACAACAATCAGGGTTAAGGGCAAAAGATTTATTTGACTTGTTTTGCTAATACTTATACAAATAAGTAGCTACTAATACAACTGTTTTCTTATAATATTCTGTAATATATTTAAATTCATACTCATTAAAATAATCACCGGAGTTTTTATAACCTTATACCAACTGAACTTCCAAAACATCATTGATATCAATGTATTTCTCTTTGCTTTCTTTCCTCTTTTATTTTCTTATTTAATTTATGAATAACATTTACAAACTTCTAATAAAATTTTCATTAGTGATGCAATTACGGTGAAATAACCACATATATATACACTTCTGATACGTTATTTACGATACATTTCTAAATTTAAGTTAAGAATCTTTTTTAATTAAATCAAACACGAAGAAATCTTGATAGTGTACTGTAACTTTGAACATAACATTGATTCAAAATTTCAATAATTATTCTTACCATATTACCGAAATTGTGAAAACAATGCCACACTTGCTTACAAGTAATTTAACATTAGACACAATAATTTTCTTTGGCCATTAAAAAAGTATTAAAAAGAGAGTCTCCTCTGTTCATTTCATTTCATTACAGTTTCCTGGTTTCCCCTGTAACGTGAAATGTTATCACGTGAATATGTTTAGAGTGGTGTGGCGACACTGCCATGGGAATATTTATCGATAGTCTATTGTATCGATATGTCTTGAATGTTCTTTGAGGACCTTTGTATCGATGGTCATTAATTAAGAGCGAAATTCGAACATCGTCTGTGCGTACGTTTATATAAATAGACAAAGAGTAAATTGTAAACCCCTCGACGTGGGTGATCGAGCTGAGAGAAGACCGGAAATCCAGAAAATGGAATAGTTTCACTTCGAAAGTTCTTAAAAGACTAATTTATGATAAACCATAGCCAATTCGTTGTTTTCGACCAAGTCACGAACGGTCCTTAAAAGCTACGAAGTCTTTTTCGATATCCTGTCTATTCATGCACTCTGAGAGGGTCGTAAATTTCCTCGAGAGTTGCTTTGGCAAGTACAAGGTCTTGTCGTTTCCTAATTTCTCTAGGTCCCACGCTTTCTCGTAGCACATGTGCGCTGCAACGTTCTAGCGTCTTGGCGGAGCGCCTCCACTTCCACGCGCCTGAGGGTGGACCACAGCCAGGAGAAGAGGCCCACACGAGACGGGGTGGATTTGGCGGAGGGAGGATCCAGGATCCACCAAGGAAGGGGCATCGACCGACAACGCGCGAAGATCTCCTCCGCCAAGCGCAGAATCCTTAGAATGATTTTGTCACTCGTTACGGACAAGTCGTTTTCGCACAGAAAGTTCTAAGCCTTGTTAACACAAAGTCAAAGTTCTGTTTTAAATTGAATTCAAAATATTAAAGTACTCAAAACAATAATAATAGTTTATTATTTTGCATATCCGCGCCTTGAGAGTGAAGCGCCTCCGCGCTCCACGGAGTGTCACACCTGCACCTAAAATCCCTAAATATCCCTATTTTCCGCGACGGACACGCAACACCCCATTTGAGGGTGGCGTACTCTAGGAACTTTGGATCTGTCCCTTTTTGCCCACCGAAAAGTTGTCGGCCACGCACGCCTGCAAGGTTGGCATTGCTGACAATCATTTCCCGCGCCATTTTCAATTTACATTATTCTGCATTTCGTGTTACATTTTTCCTTTGCTCGTTACATTTTCTTTCCTTACATTCCTGCATCCCTTACATCCCTGCATCCCTTACATTCCTGCATCCCTTACATCACTGCATTCCTTACATCCCTGCATCCCTTACATTCCTGCATCCCTTACATCTCTCCATTCCTTACATCCCTGCATCACTTACATCTCTCCATTCCTTACATCCCTGCATTCCTTACATCCCTGCATCCCTTACATTCCTGCATCCCTTACATCTCTCCATCCCTTACATCTCTTTTGTAAGCATTTCTTTATAGTGCCATCTGGTTTCAAAAAAGGGACTAAACCTTGCCGGAATTTTGGCCCTCTAGCGGGAAAAACGTGAACTAAAATTTCGACGTCGAATCGGCGCCATCTGGTTTCGAAAAAAGGAACTAAACCTTGCCGAATTTTTGGCCCTCTAGCGGGAAAAATGTGAACTAAAATCTCGACGTCGAATCAGCGCCATCTGGTTTTGAAAAAAGGAATTAAACCTTGCCGAAATTTTGGCCCTCTAGCGGGAAAAATGTGAACTAAAATATCGACGTCGAATCAGCGCCATCTGGTTTCAAAAAAGGAACTAATGCAGGTCGAGATTTTGGCCCTCTAGCGGGAAAAATGTGAAATAAAATCTCGACGTCGAATCAGCGCCCTCTGGCGGCGAAAAGGGGAACTAAATTTTGCAAAAATTTAAATTTAAAATTAGTTTTTACGAGACTTTACTTACTTTTACTTACCTTTACTTACCTTTACTTACCTTTACTTACCTTTACTTACCTTTACTTACCTTTACTTACCTTTACTTACCTTTACTTACCTTTACTTGCCTTTACTTACCTTTACTCGAACCAGTAGCCATAAGTATATTATTTATAATATATTTATTATAAGGGTTGAAAAGATACAAGAGATGCAGGGAGAATTCAGGAGTGTAAGGGATACAGAAATATAAAGGGTACAGAGATGTAAGGGATGCAAAAATGTAAGGGATGCCGAGGTATAAAGAATGCCGGCATATATGAGATGCCGGAATATAGGGAATGTAGTGATATAAGGGATACAGGAATGTTAAGTATGCAGACATGTAAGGGATGCAGTGATAAAGGGTTGTACCTCGTGAGGCCCTTAAAGACAAAGAAATAATAAATAACTAGGAAGGTTGAGCCGAGGCCCATAAGTCAAATTATAACTGGTTAATTCCCCGTAGTCATCACTAGCCCTGAGCCACCGGGGTGTCTGGGACCCCCAAATTATGACCCCTCGAAAACAAAGTCCAGTCTTCTACATCTGTAGTCACTGCTAATGCATATATTTAAACTTTATAGAATAAAAGATAGTTAATAAAATGCCAATAATACAAATACATAAGAGTAACATTGACGAGAAAGAAATTTCGTATAAAATATAGTATATTGGAACTGAAATATTTTTATTAAAAATTTGTAATTGTTCTCCATACAAGTACAGCAATATTACCGCCGTTATACATATACAATATTGAACTCTCTTGATATGTAATTGCGCAAGCATATGATTCTCCAATAACTACATGAAATGGACCTCCAAACCTTTTGTCTAAAGCGTCTTTAATAGATCGAGCCGCATACTCGTGATTGTGCGTATATTTTTCTGTAGCAGTAACACATATTTCCATTACTTCTTGTTTCATATCTTCTCTCATATCGCTGTACTATAAACATTTTCAATTAAAAAAGCAAGTTTGTAACTAAACTTTAAGCATGTAAAATTATGTATAGGATCTAATTTTTAATGTTACACAAATTTATTTAATAGAATTCAAACCTTGCACAAGGGATATGTATGAAATATTAAACGTTCTTCCACCTTTTTTACCTCGCCTGCGGACATATTTGATTATTACAATAATTTATTTCAAATAAAAAATAACTTATACACTGGAATATGTAATATGTTTCAAAATTGTTTTTCTAATTTAAAATAAAAGATCCAACAGCATGGTCGATATATTTCTTTTGTTATTTTAAACATTCATAAATAGATGCAAATAAGATAGAATAATTTTTTTGTATGTAATTATGAATTCCTTAAATGTATTTAATATTGCATTCTTATGAATTAAAAGAAATAACTTTGCCAGTTAAGCACCTTTAATAATAACCTATGACTTATAGGAATTCGAGCCAACCGATTATAGACGTTGTAGTTGATTCATGAATTTTAGAGGGGTTGTATCCCAACTTAAATAACTGCTATACTTTTGGCGCGAAGTTATTTTGTAGTTGCATTTACAGAAACGAAGACAAAGGCGATATCTATTGAAAGTTATTATATATTTGTATTTAAAGAAGGTATAATAATACAGCAACATATGCATAATATTACAAAAGCTGCAGTAACACATTTAAATGTTAACGAAATTAATAGGAGTATAATAAAAATAAATGTAAATTGGAAAAGATTGTGTTTAAACATTTTATTTTATTGTTAATTAATTAATTTATATGCAGTACATTTAATAGTAATTAATATCTTTTAGTTAATATCCTCTTCAATTGTAAAATACACAGTGTATAACCTACGAATATTTGTAGTTCTATTGATCAAGGTCAGATTTATGTAAATAAACTTACATTGTTTATTATATAGTACAAACTTAATTATTAAATATTTTTGATTTTATAAAGAGGAATAAATATTAGATATTTACTGATACTTTTACAAAAGGTTTTGTTCTAGCTTTAATTTAATTTTATAAATAGCTATTGTGTTTATATATGATGTTTAATTTTTATTTATTAGTTAATTAATATTATTTATCTTTTCATACAGTAATATGGAAGATCCAGTTACAGCACGCTTAAAAAATTTAGTAACAAGTAGCAATGATGCTTTGGAATTTAAATTGGTACGTTCTGTAGAAGACTTAGAAAATGATGAAGCTACTTTTAGGCCTGAAATGTCTCATCAAGTATTCGGAGACAGGTGCGTTAATTTATTATTATTAACTAACTTTATAAAAATTATTGTAAATAATTGTCTTTTTCATATGCTTACAGTATCTTTCACAGATGTGATTCTTGATATATTGCAGACATATTTGCGTTTATTTGTTAGTCGTTTTCTTGATTATTTATTTTATTTGTTAGTGAATCTATATTTGGTTACCGGGATCTGAGAGTGAAGCTATACTACTCGGCAGGTTGTTTAGAAACATATTTGGGTATGACATACTCAGAGAAAATAAACAAAGCTATTTATGAGGGAGTTGAAGCTGATGAAGTACTGCCAAAAATTGCTGAAAAACTTGCTCCACAAATTCATGTTAGTTTAGATTCATTTATTAAATCCTTGAAGAAAGATGATACATTTATACCTCATGGTGAACTACTCCATTCTTTTTCTGTTAATGGTAATTTGTTATATAAATGGCAAATATGTAAATTATATATATATATTTTATTTATCTATACTATAACATCATAAATTTTAATAGATGATGGCTGTACAAGAAAATTTGAAGTTTATAAAGCAGATATGACTTACAAAGGATTCAGGGAGTATCATGAACGTATTCGAACGTTCGTTCTTTGGTATATAGATGCTGCTAACTTTATAGATATCGATGATGATCGATGGCATTATTTTAATATGTAAGTTAGTTGTGATTTTATTTAACGTTATTTAATGAATTCAGTATTTTAAAAATAAATTGGTTTTGTTTAAATAGGTTTGAAAAGTATATTCTGGATGGTACCGTTCGTTATGCAACTACTGGTTTTGCTACTGTATATCAATATTATGCATATCCTCGTCATACTAGACCTCGCATAGCTCAAGTTTTAATCTTACCACCATTCCAAAATATGGGTCTTGGTGCTCATTTATTACATGCTATTTATCGCGAATACATCGGAAGACACGAAGTCATAGATATAGCAGGTAAATTAAAATGTTTTACTATAAATGAATCTTCAAGTATGTATTTAACTTTTTAGTGTAGGCGTTTAGTGGAGGGGGAGAGAGGGTTTCGTCTCCCCAGACGCCTTTGGTTCGGGTCGGAGACCGCAAGCAGTCTCGCAACGGTTTTCGCAAGCGGTCGCTTAGCATGCAGTTCGAATATATAGAAGTTCCGAATTGCGCTATGATAGGTGTCTGGGGCAGGGATCGTCTGTTGTCAGTCCCACTGACGACGAATCTGACAGACGATTTCGAGGCGAAAAAACGTCTTTTTCTCCCTTCTCCTACATTAAAAAAACCGAAACAAAAATGAGACTTGATTTTAGATACTTTCATTTCAGTAAATCTAGTTTATTTTGGTAAGGCATTGTCATCATTGTTGTAGTTGAGGATCCCTCTGTAACCTTTCAACGAATAAGAGATTATGTGGACGCAATGAACTGCAGCAGCACGTTACCAAGTTTTTCACGAGAATGTTTACTTCAAGGTTTTAATAAAGCAATGGCTGTAGAAGCAAAAGAAAAGTTCAAAATTAATAAGGTATTTATCTTGTTTCTACTTCCTTTAAACATTCGTGTTACATAATATCATTTTCATTTTTAGAAACAAGCTCGAAGAGTATATGAAATCTTAAGATTACGTGCAACAGATTTAACAAACGAACAGGAGTACCGAGATTACAGATTAGATGTAAAAAAGAGATTGAATATTCCATATAGACGTGAACAAAATGATTTAAAAAAATTAGAATGTGCACTAAAAAATATTGATAAACGGGGAAACATGACTTTGCCTACGTCGGAACAACGTATACAAACTCTTGAACAAGAATATAGAAGTTTAGAAGAAGAGTATAAAAAAGTTATCAAACGCTTGGAAGATGCAGAAGAACTTTAAAATATAATATACTTTAAGTTTTCTATGTATAAGTCGATTAATACTGTTCGAATATGAATTATTAGTCAGAACATTTTTCTTTTTGATCCAATAAAGCTTTCGTTCTTTTTTTAATTAAGTAGTTTATGGTCTATTTGAAGTATTCCCTAACACCCTCATCGATTTTACCGACTATCTGAGTATAATTCCATAAGGTGGTAACTTTCCGACTGTCGGAAATTCGATCGATAAGTCGGTAAGTAGTTTGGGAGAAACGATCGGTAACTTGTCGAGTAGTTTGAGCCATTTTTGTATAGATGGCGCTACGGTGGAATCTTAAATTTTCCAGCGGGTGATTTAATTTTACAGTCAAAATTCTAAATTGAATATCGATGGAGACGAGTAAGAATTTTATTTAAAGAATTTTATATATTGAATCATTCTATGCTAATCTTTATTAGTTTTAGCATAACTAAATATCATTGTAATACTTCCTTCTTTAATGGAATTATTGAACTGTATTATTTAAAAGTTGCGGATAAATTTGACGATGTTGATAATATTACTCTGCTCCGGTATAGTATTATACCTATACTCATTTTTCTAATTATTATTACTAGAAAGTATTTACCTGAAAGTTAATTGCAAACGCTATAAAAGTCAATCATAAAGGACACGTACAAAGGTCCTCCGAATTGAATACAGCTTTTTCAAACGTATCACCGTGGGTATCATCACGGTCATTTATTTCCATGTTTGTTCTTTTTTCTCTTTTTTGTTATATCACAGTCGATGCTACGAAATACATATACGGATTGCTTTTCACGCGTTCAACAATAAATACAGAAAATCAGCTGAAATCTTACAGTTACGATTATCCTGTTAGTTATAGATACGCAAAGAACGCTGACGTTGTTAGTTTCATCGCAACACGGTTTAACCGTGACACACACGTTTCAGGAGAAAGGTGACACTCGTTATTCTAGAACGAAGAAGGGCTCTTTATGGTTCCCCTGACCGACGCGACGGTCACGCAAATCTATTATAATCAGAACCGGGTCACATAATATTTAAATAGACCATGTTTAAATTCCTCTCCCGCTTTTTTTTTACGACTCGAAGCAAGCGTTGCACTAAACGTCTTCAAATCGGCTGTTCGCTTTCGTTTTTACTGACCGGATCTGATTAAACGAAATGAAACACAACGGCGTCATTATCGTGAATAAAGCATCATTCGAAATAAAAATTGCAATATGCAAATAAAACTCCTTATTCGTGTCGAAAATCGTCGAGCAAAAATCGTTCGATCATTTAAGACACGAATGTTAATAATATGTTAATAATAATTATATTATTTCACGCAAGTGACTAAAGAAGGCACAGAGGGCGTGTACAATCCAAGGCACGTTGAACCAGCAATTTTCTTCGTGCGCTTCAGAATGACTTAGCGGGAAAATGGTACACGCATCGTGTAATATTAATACATAAAATGGCACGCTATTCACGCTTGTCTAATTTTTGCTGGAAAACGTATATCGTTTTTGATCTCATCTTCTCGAAATCCCGATAAATTCCACGTTAACCCGTTACCGATAAAACAGTATGAGAAAACCTGGCGAACGTTTAAATTTAAAATTTATATTTAAAAATTCCAAACTTGAAATTGAAGTTAAAAGAAAAACATTGATTTAACTATGGAAGATGCGAAGTCTCAGACTGTGATACTTAATAATTAACACGTTGACTGCGTATGAGGTTCATTCATAAATTCAACTTAATGAAAGGATTCCAAAAATCGATAAACGATAACAAAGTTTTTCTGTTCCAGTTAAAGTGTTAATTAACCAAAATTCTATAAAAGAATGTTGTTGATTGTACTGCGACGTTATCGGTCGAAGGTTAATCTTTGTCCCTTTACAGCCTCGTAAACTTTTATAAACTATAAAAACCGCAAACATCTATTGTGGACAATACGTCCGTAAATACGTGTGTATACATATATAATATATAATATTTATACATGGAACATATTTAAACAATATTCAATAAACAACAATATTTCAAACAACTGTTAGATCATTTAAATATCTGCCAATAATGGACGGACCCGTTATTGTATTCTTTTTTTCTTTACATGATTTTAGTGAAACCTTTCTTCTCGATTAGTTTCACCTAATATTTAATAATCCTCGCTTGATATATTCTACACAAGGTTTAACGTATAGGCACAGTTTTGATTTCTTAACAAGCAGTCGCGATAGTTTTCAACTAATCTAGCTTCTACTTATAATTGCACTTGTAATCCATGTGAAATGCCATGCGAATCGTCAGAATCGTAAAACAATAACGGAACCTACAACTTCGCTTAACCATTTAAAAGGCACGTCATGATATGTTCATCTAACGTTCTGTGTCATGGTGCCCCTTTCCTAATTACATTCTCCTTCACAAAGAATTATTCCCCCCTTTTATGTAGAGTTCTAATTTATCGACTCGGTGCTGTCCACGTAATTCTGCTCAAGGTCAATGATTCTCTACAACAACGTTACTCTTTCCCTTCCCCTTTTTGCAAATTAATTTGCTACGTCCAAACAATTCTTTCAATCTTACAATGCTACAAGTTGCAGACACGATTATCCATCATTTAAAATGTCCCTAAGGTTTCGTGTCTATGGTCTCTCCATAAAACAGTGGACAGCATTATCGACTGCGTCATCAATTTTAGGTACCGCGTTTGATCCATTTCAACGTTTCTCTTCAACGATTCTCAACAAACTAGACCATCTTCCTGCAGCTATTTCCATGCGGAAAATCCGAAGCATTCTTATTTCTAGTTACTTTGATTCTCCATAATCGTTCGTTAAAAAAAGGCACTCGGTATTCTGGGTGAAGTTAGAATGCTTCACGGTACAGAATGAACGCTGAACATCGACGAGGACCAAGTGAGAAAAAAATTATGGTTTCTTCTCGTTGGCCACCCACAGAGGCGAGCAACGGTCTCGTGGGTCGGTTCTCACTTTTCTTGCTCGTTTTTCGTCCGGCATCGACTGGTTGTGACCCGGCTCGCGTACGAACAGGCGCTCAGAAGCTACCACACTCGCGTAGCACGCGATTTCCAAGCGGCATCGGCGGACGGAAGTTGTTGATTACCTGCAACGAGCAGAGAACAGAGAGGTACCGGAATTAGAAAACGGGGCCGTGATTCCGCCGATCTGAAATTTATTCGTGACGATGACTAATAATAAAGAAACAGAAATAAAGGTAAGGCGGAAGGAGGTGGAGGCGAAAATGGAGGGCTGCCGTTTATGCGGCTTGTCTCGCGACCTGGATGGAGATTAATCGAGCTGACCAAGAGGCGTCCGATGGGTGTTTCGTTCCGCCTTAACTACCTGTAGATGACGCGTTAGAAAATTACAGCGGAAAATGAAATAGAACAGAAATAAAATATACACCGTTCGCTTCAGGGGAGACCGGATATGGTTGTCACAATTGTTATAAAAAGGAAACTAAACAATAGAAATGTACTGATAACCTATGGCAACGCGCAGAGAAATCAGGAAATCCCTTAATTATAAGGGCTGGCATTTTTGGAGACTTTTCTGTTTCCATGTTGCCCACCGAACGCTTTCGACCACGCGCCTTTTGCATTTTACATTGTTTCATACATTTGCCATACTTTTTTGCTTGAATCTGTCTGTGTGTGTCCCCTTTTAGTCACCTCTTACGACAGGCAGGGGATACCGTGGCCGTATTCTAATCCCCCCGAGCCACAGGGGTCAGATGAACGTTACCGATGGTTGCCTAACGAAATAGATTCTTTCAGTAATATTTGACGTTCGTGGATATCAAATATAGAACTGGAGTTCGTAGTCGTACTTGCGCATTATAACAGTGACACATGAAAATTTTCATTTATTTAATATTTTTTGTATACATACCAGAAATAAAAATTTAACGTGGCGGGCCGCATGCTAGTTTATATTAAACGATGTCTGAATGAACTTCCCTGAAACTGTAACGTGTAAGAAATAGAAATAAAAAAATGTGACAACCATGCCCGGTCTCCCCTATAACTTAACAGTAATTAAAGATTGAAATATGCGATCTGCTGTTAATTGGAAAACACCTATTGCATATTAAGAATTAATATGCTTCCAGTAGGTAAAATGTTAAATAGCGTGTAAGTTGAGAATTGGAAATATATTAAAAATTGAAATGTTAGTAAACTGCAACAATTATACTCACAGCTCCATGATTCTCATGGCACGGGCATTCCTCTCCACGAGAGAATTTTCTCAAATTACGGAAAATATTCAGCTGGTGATGGGACACCTCGATGCACTTTTTAAAGAGAATCCAAGTGACGCTCTCGTTGCAAGGAGGTGTCGTCAGTGATCCCAAATACGTCCAATAACCATTGTCATCTACGCCGACAATCAACTGATTAACGGAATGAAACGATAAAACGAGAATGCTCTTGTGAATTTTTACGTCCGACGTTCGATTAGATCGGTAATTTATTAACGCGTCTAATAAGTATTCAAAGAAAATGATTACGTGACGGCATTAACGTAACACGTACGCGGTCAAGACATTTCGTATTAAAATGCGGCTGTTTATCCTCGCGATGTTCGCGTGCCGAACGCAATCGCGTTCCTTAAGATATTAAACGATAACAGGAATCCCAGCTTTCCTTCTATCGGTGTAAATACTGAATATTTGAAGACGAAGAACAATTCTAATTCCCTTTGTATCTCCCTGGAATCGCGTGACAGAAATCAAATGATACCGATGAAAATTTCAAATGATCGTCAACGATTCTTGTTGACAATTTCTAGAGTGATTAGGCAACGATCGAGGCTGAGTTACACATGGAATATTAACCAGTAACATTTCCAATTTATTTACCAGGAATCAGTTTGCTAGGATCGATTGGTTCTCTGATCTCCATCATTTCGTTCTTGTGCGACACGTACGGCAATAGACGAGCTATCTTGTCCATCTCCTCGTGTGTCTTACCCACCTGTAATCAACGGAAGGATTTTCTTTAGATATCTACCTTTTACGAGTGCGAGCTGTATTTATGGTACTCGCGATCATATCAGCTTCCCCAGGAAAAATGACCATGTCCCCATTCTCACCCTTCCCCATGGGCGTCCCTAGGGAGACTGACAGGATGCAAGGTAGAGGCTTCATATACAGGGTGCCCGCGATAAAGTGTGACAGCCGCTTTATTTCGCAACTATTGATGACACGAAAAATTGTTTATATGGAAATTGCACGGTACAATGGGGCCTATGTTTTGGCGTGAATGAAAATATTTTTACATTATTAGTTGAAAAGATACGATGGTTAAGTTTCGTTTTTTAAATGGAACTATATATTTGTTTTCAAGACGAATTTGTTAAGCTTTAATGTATACACCCGATTTTAATTAATTTTCAAGATATAACGTTTACAAATTTCCAGATTTTCAGTCGAGGCGTCACGGTTTGAGTAGCAAGTCGTAAAAGCGGCCCTATTGTTGCGGCAAGTGCCACAGCGGGGGTCTACGCTAGGAACGGCAGACCCAAAGAATACATGTGGGGATAAAGTTCCGAAAGACGCAACCCTCCGATTAGAAAAGAAATTCCTTGAAAGGATTTTTGGCGACAAGGTCTCGTTTGCCTTCTACATCTCCTGAAAGTTTGGAAAGTTTCTACTGCATATCTCGAAAAATATTGATTTCACAGAAAAAAGTTTCAAACAAAAAATGAAGCTCTTAAAATGCTCTACAAAAAAGATTCGATGCATTTTTTACATAAACCTATTATTTTGGCTATTATGTAAACAAATAGTAATTTCTACACTATCGGGTTGATACAATATAGTGAAATATATAAATTGGATATAAATCCTCGCCTTACTAAATTTTTAAAAGGAAATATCTGTGAGAAAAAGTTTTTTACCATTTTTATATCATTCCCTACCTTACCGACACAGCGCAGTATAATTGGCGATCTGTTCCGAACACATAATCCGCACTTTCCGGCAACGCTTTCATGAAATAATAATAAATTAATTATAAAAACGTGTGTAAATGAAAGTGTTACAGGCCGCCTTACGTCGACCGGATTTAAATGTATAGTCTAACCTAACCTAAATACATGAATAATATTATACGTACATGTACATGTGCGTATGTAAAAATACTATTATTGTTCATAACAGCCAAAATGATACGTTTACATTAAAAATGTATATAACCTTTTTTGTAGAACTTTTCAAGAGCTTCATTTTTTGTTTGAAACTTTTTTCTGTGAAATCAATATTTTTTTAGATATGCAGTAGAAACTTTCCAAACTTTGAGAAGATGTAGAAGGCAAACGAGGCCTAGTCGACAAAAATCCTTTCAGGAAATTTCTTTTCTAATCAAGGATAAACTTTGGTTAAAATTTCACCGCAATCGGTTGGTGGCGCTTTTCGGAACTGCACCCTTAAAGTTTAATGAATTCGTCTTGAGAAGTACTATCACATGGTCTGAAAAAAAATATATGGTTTCATTTAAAAAACAAAACTTAACCATCATATCTTTTAAACTAATAATGCACAAAATTTTTCAGATGGCCAAAACAGTTTCCATTTTACGGTGCAATTTCTATAGCAATCATTTTTTGTATCATAAATAGTTACAGAATAACGGCTTTGTCACACTTGGGCTGGGACACCTTGTATGTATATTAAGAGTCTGACCCTATCACGTGACCGCAAACGTTTGTGCGGGAAAATTTGAATACCGTCATCTTCACTGAGCAAGCCTGCTTTGATCGCGAGTGTACTCTCTTGATATTTGATCATTCTATTTCCGTTCAAAGGTTAATTTCTCACGAATCAAATGTTAATCTTTTACGATAGACGATAATAAATGTTCATCCATTTAAATCCTACCAATTTATATTTTTAATCCGTAGACATTATTAACGCGTTACATAGTAAACATTCGAATACTATTTTCCTCTGATTATCAGAAAGATGATTCTTATCCATTTATCATTTATGCAAATTTCTTAAAATTCTGAGAGATAAAGAATAATAAGAGTAATCAGCTACACGATACCCTTTTTTTTTCATTATCTTATTTGAACAACAATTGTGTAATCAAAATTCTATTGTTATCTTTCACGAGACAAGTTTATTTTCTAGATACTGTAAAACGGAAACGGGTAATGCAACGATCACGTTCGCTAATTTGTTTTTTTTTTCCTTCTTTTAATGATTGTATTCTATTGCTTTGATAGCTTTCGATTTTAACTGAAAGGAAGGAAATCATTGGAATCATTTTCCGGAGGAAAATTTCACTTGGTCTACGAACGAATGGATAATGATGTTCGTTTAAAGGCTTACGTAACACATCAACCAACCGATGATGGAACGAATCGCGTCACTGTTACGGATTCTGCTTACGAAGCTTACCATCTTATGTAAAAGTTTAAGCAGCTGTAAATATTGCGCATCGAGTTGTGCACCCATAAAAAGGGTACAGACAGCATGTAAATGAATTACAATACTAAGAAGTTGATCCTGTGGCTTTGAAGTGTAAAAATGTCATAGTGTATCTTAAGATTTCTTTGTTTAAGTTAGATCAAGTTTTGACCATGACACTCTTAGTCTTTGGATGGCACTTTATTCATTACCAATTATCTTTTTCCTAATTAATTATTCGAAATATACACTAGTGGAATTAATTCTGGACACTCAAATTATTTAATATAATAATCATTTATATTTTATATTTCAATCATAGTTTTCTAATTTTAGAGCGTCGTTTCGTTTTGCCAGGCGCAAAAACAAAAATAACAACACAGTTTAGATTCTTTTAAATTAAAATTTTCAAACATTTACAAACCAAATCATGTGAAAATATTAAGTATAAACATTATACTATATAAAATATTACGGTATCAATTTAACATAGCAGAATATACATTTACTGCACAAATATGAAATAAAGAATATTTTTATGCAAAGTGTCCAGAATTAATTCCACCAGTGTAAAAAGGAAAGCCATTAGAATTTTATTAGATTGAAACATTTTAACACCATCAATACAAAGCTGAAATTATTAAAATCTTATTTTTCTATCATTTTTAGAAATTAAATTTAAAAGAAAAAAGAAACGAAACTCTAATTATAGTTCTGTCGCAATTTAATGGTATCTTCGGATCGCTCAAGCTCTCACTGATAACGTACGATCATAGATCGATAACTGAATCATTCGGGAAAAATAAAACGAGACCGGACGTGTAACCAGGAAGTTCCAAGTTCTAGAAAACGGTACAGCGAACAAAATGATTACTGACCTTCAAGAACACACCGAGAACTGCAAGGCCATCGGATGCTTTCGCGGCTTCGGCGAAGGTGTTGTATTTGCTTGTGTTCCAATGCACCAGATGCAGCTGCAACAGAAAAATAATAATCTTTAAAACGGGCAGATGGTCCATTACAAACTGTCTCTAGTGTACACTGACAGTTGCATTGAACTTGTCGCAGTGAAGTTGGCTACAAATTCACTAACGCATTCACGCCGCGTCGATGAGTGAATGCGTGGCCAACTTCACTGCGACAAGTTTAATGCAACTCACAATCAGTGTACCGCTTGTGTGATGTTATTTCGAAGCAGAGACCACTTGCTTATTTCGAGGCAATACTGTATTCCTTGTTTCGAGCGGAAACATATTAGCGGATGTTTTGGCAACCGCGCGATTTTTGAATATTGAGAAGGTCTCGAGAAACCGACGCGAACGGACTTACTGAATTGTGTTCTTAGAAATTGCCTTGTATTTGAAATATACAGTTTAGTTTGTTTGTTGTTGTTATAATTATTAAAATGGAAAGAACAAGTACCACTCCCAGGCGCAACAATATATTTAAATTTCTTTGTCGCATTAACAGCAAAGGTTTATAGGAAAGCAATTTGCAATTTTCTTACTCTTTCTCGTGATTAATCGTCGAAGGAAGAATAGAGTAATTGAATGATTAACCGATTGCATATCTATTCAATGTAATTCACTTGGTTATTCGATGAGCGGAATCTGCGTTTAATCTCAGCGCACGTTCTCCTTTGAAATGCACTTGAAGTGCATTACGAATGCACCCGGGGGAATGCACTTCTATGCATACAAAGAGTTCTGCGAGTTACATTAAGCTTGGAGCATCGTCTTTTCTTCTCGTTTCAATGTAATCGCTAATTTTTCTTTTACTTAATGTTCATCCGCTAATGCGTCACAATGATCTCACGGTTTTACAAATATTCGACGATATCTGTTATCGCGATACGTATCATCGCAGAGGAATTTGATGAATCAGAAGTTGGTGAAAACTGTGATAAGAATAATTTGAATGATGTACCTTTCCATAGTTATTATTGTGTGACAAATTTTTCACAGGAGAGAATTTCATTCAGATGAATCCGAAGCTTATGGAAATTTGAATTTACTTCAATCGAGTAATTTTCCATTCGTTAATATTCATTGAATACTGTCGAAGATGGACACGTAATAATGTAAATATGATATAATAACACGAGGAAATTTTTTGACGTTGAGAAATGTCGCTGTTCTTAAGAAAAGATTAATAAAAAAATCCTATTCACGTGATGAAATCGTAATAAATAACAGCTGCATCCTTCACACTTGCAAGTATACTCCCGATTAAGTTAGGCTTCTTTAGGGTAAATGGTGATATAGGAAAAGCAGGAATTCTAAAACCTGAATTTTAACGACATTAATGTTAAAAGTAATTTAGAGGAGAAATAAGACTATAAAAAATTTAGTATTGAACTACTCTACTAGGGAACCATGGATTTGAACCCTGGACAGTTAGATTACGAGTCAAGCGTTTTACCCCGGAGCTAATCATTTATACGTATTAGTTTGTCATGCTTCTCAACGTAAGGAGTAACTAACTGTAATTGTTAATATCTTTTAAACAATTAGCCGTCTGCGCCCAAAAGGGGTATAGGCGTGTTCAGGGCGACGAGCTCTACAAGGTGGCAAAGTTTCATTAATAAATGATCATAACACTTGGGTAGTTCCCCTCGTGAGAAATATCAATTTAAATTTCCCCGTGTAAACGTTTACACGGCAAATGGAGGTACGCCACATGGGGCCTCCACTCGGCGTACGGGGGGAAAATATTAAAAAGAATCGTCAGAGCACCTTAAAAAAGAAAAGGAAATTTTTCCATGAAAAATGTTATCTTCAAAACTTCCAACTTTAACTGGCTGTTACAGTTACGGTTTTTATTCAATTTTATTAACTTTTTTATTTTCAAGATTAATAGATATTTAGAAAGCAATATACATCTATATGAGAAAGTTGATTTTTTGGCTAAATGTCACTAAATTTCTCGATTTATACCACTGTGTGGCGCCCAGGAGGAAGGATGGGTGTCCAGGGAAGGACGGGAAGCCTTATTTGATCACGAGTGTAGTATTCAAGCTTCAAGTCCGACGATTTTGTTACATAATTCACTTACAATCTGCATGCAAGTTACAATGCCAATTACCATATTTCAGTAACTGAATACGTTGAAACATAGGCTGGTACATATATAAATACATAAATGACCTACACATTCTATAACTCATGGAATTATACAAGGTGTCAACGATCAAACGCGTATAGAAAAGAAATAAATAAATAAACGTTAAATAAGAAAATTGTAAAGTTCAGATATGATCGTGCGACAACGTTATTCAATTTTCTGTTCAATGAGAAAATGATTTTTCATCCGGTCTTTCTAGCAGTCATGGACAGTAAAGTGCACGCGTTCGAACAAGGTCGAAAGGCTTCGTACGAATGATTGTAACGCGAATCATGCTCCTCGAGAGTGAATTATTAACGATCCGCTTCGAAGCAGACACTGACTACGAATGCTAGACAGAGAATACTCGCTCGTTTATCTCGTGTGCGTGCATTGGTAATCGTTTAGAAACACGTTCTTCAAATTTCAGCGAATAGGATAAATATAGGAGATACTTCTTTGCGAATCAATTTGAAACTCTACTCGTTAGGTGACCCACTTTTTGTAATAAAATTTCTAAGTCCACAGCAGTTATGCGAATTAAATTAAAATACTGTTGTGCGTCTTCTATTTGAAGTACTCTTAATAAATTGTGGAAACAACCGAATTTGGACCCAAATAGATCTTTTTCTCTTTTTATTTAGTAATAACATTATTGTTGCTGCTATACGAGGTAGGCCTCTAATTGCACAAATTACTTTCGAAAATATCTCGAAAACTAAGGGCCAATTAAGGCCCTTTATAGCCACCGTCATAAAGTAATTTATGCAGTTCGTGCACGAAACTAAACTGGCGAGAAATCTTGCGACAAAGTTGCTTGCTAGTGTAAACGGTGTTGCAAGAATCACGGTGCAACAAGGATACTTCCGTAAAACTGTTTTATTGCGACAGACGTAGTGATCGTACCGTTGACTCTGACAAAATGCGCTCCTTTCCCAAATTCTGCATCTATTTATGTATTTCGAGAATGGCAGTGTGGAAGGGTCAAAGAAAGGAAAGGACAAAGGATGTAGGTGACTAACTGTAGAAGGCGAGGCAGGATGAGTACGAGGATGACTGATTGTTTATGGGAGATATAGGAGATAGGGAGTAAACGGAATGACTGTTGGTGTGATTTTTGCCCTTTGCAGAAGATAGGGAAGGTGGTATCCAACATATCTTCTGCAAGACTTCCTCGAGTTCTCTCGCACGTGGAAACACGGCTTAACTATTTTAACAGAGAAAGTTATTCGTTTAATCTCACCTCTCCTGCGAATGCTTGACCATTGACTGTGTGTTCTGACCCTCTGGAATCACTACAGCCCCAGTGACAATGATACTGTTCTAGTTTGTAGACATCGTCCATCAATGGACCACCGCTCAAAACTGTAACAAGAAAAATACAACTATGTTACGCGTTGACTTTAACATTTATTTTTCACTTATCATTTATTGTTAGTAAATGAAAGGCTTATAGGAGATAGTTCTACTGGAAAGTGGGGCTAAGGGTTAAGAAATTTTATCTATAAGGACCTAAGTCAACAAATTCTTGCCAATATCAGCAATTATTTCCTATGGAAATTCAAGCCTCATCCACGTATTCTATCTTAACAAATTTTTCATCGTTTATGGTGATTATGAAAATAACCGCGAGCATAAAATCGAAGAAATTGGATCGTTCGTTTGTGTGAGTTTCGTGTCGGTCGAGGAGGCTTTTACCTTTGCGAACAGCTCGAAACGAGGACGACCGTGTCGTGACGCATTATGCGTGTTCACACGTGGCGGCAACGAAATGTTCACACGATAGAAATAGAGCAGAATTTCAGGGAATCGATGGAACGATAAAGGACGCGATACCGTGGCCTGTTTCTTTTCTTTCCTTTTCGTCGCGATGACAAATAGTCGTGGTTCATTGGAACACCTGTACACCGTAGAAAGTTGTTTACCTTTCTGAACATCTTGGTCGTTCACCTTTTGCTACGTTCTAAGAATCTGCGATCAACGTATGCTTACTTTTCAATTGAAAATAAAGAATCTTTCTAAATAATAATTTAACATACATCGCGAGAAAAACATTCTAAATGGAAGGCTGAAACTTTTAACTAAGGACGACGAGTTTGATAAGATGCGCTCTTGGTATTCAGTTAATCCTTGAACAGCGAAGTCTGGGTCAATCAAGGCCCTTTGGGAAACATGTACAGGGATATTAGCTCAGAGTTAAATATATAATTTTTAAACGAAAGAGTTACATATATGTATATTGAAAAAGTAATTTTCAGAGTATTAGTGTGAAATTTAGATGGGGCATTCTCCATGGTCCGCCATCCGGAGGTGTTTTATTTTTAATAATTTTCACTCTGGCACTTAACATCTTAGAAAAACAACATTGTAAATGATAATCAAGAGTTCCATTCGAAGTAATAAAGCCAAGAATAAACTAATCAAATAAACAAAGTTAAATATATAATTTTTAATCGAAAGGATTACATACATGTATATTGAAAAAATAATTTTCAGAATATTAGTGTGAAATTTAGATGGGGCATTCTCCATGGTCCGCCATCGAAGGGTGTTTTTAATAATTTTCATTCTGGCACTTAACATCTTAGAAAAATAACATTGTAAATGATAATCAAGAGTTCCATTCGAAGTAATAAAGCCAAGAATAAACTAATAAAATAAACAAAGTTAAATATCCAATTTTTAATCGAAAGGATTACATACATGTATATTGAAAAAATAATTTTCAGAGTATTAGTGTAAAATTTAGATGGGGCATTCTCCATGGTCCGCCATCCGGAGGTGTTTTATTTTTAATAATTTTCACTCTGGCACTTAACATCTTAGAAAAACAACATTGTAAATGATAATCAAGAGTTCCATTCGAAGTAATAAAGCCAAGAATAAACTAATCAAATAAACAAAGTTAAATATATAATTTTTAATCGAAAGGATTACATACATGTATATTGAAAAAATAATTTTCAGAATATTAGTGTGAAATTTAGATGGGGCATTCTCCATGGTCCGCCATCGAAGGGTGTTTTTAATAATTTTCATTCTGGCACTTAACATCTTAGAAAAATAACATTGTAAATGATAATCAAGAGTTCCATTCGAAGTAATAAAGCCAAGAATAAACTAATAAAATAAACAAAGTTAAATATCCAATTTTTAATCGAAAGGATTACATACATGTATATTGAAAAAATAATTTTCAGAGTATTAGTGTAAAATTTAGATGGGGCATTCTCCATGGTCCGCCATCCGGAGGTGTTTTATTTTTAATAATTTTCACTCTGGCACTTAACATCTTAGAAAAACAACATTGTAAATGATAATCAAGAGTTCCATTCGAAGTAATAAAGCCAAGAATAAACTAATCAAATAAACAAAGTTAAATATATAATTTTTAATCGAAAGGATTACATACATGTATATTGAAAAAATAATTTTCAGAATATTAGTGTGAAATTTAGATGGGGCATTCTCCATGGTCCGCCATCGAAGGGTGTTTTTAATAATTTTCATTCTGGCACTTAACATCTTAGAAAAATAACATTGTAAATGATAATCAAGAGTTCCATTCGAAGTAATAAAGCCAAGAATAAACTAATAAAATAAACAAAGTTAAATATCCAATTTTTAATCGAAAGGATTACATACATGTATATTGAAAAAATAATTTTCAGAGTATTAGTGTAAAATTTAGATGGGGCATTCTCCATGGTCCGCCATCAGAGGGTGTTTTATTTTTAATAATTTTCACTCTGGCACTTAACATCTTAGATAAACAACATTGTAAATGTTAATCAAGAGTTCCATTCGAGGTAATAAAGCCAAGAATAAACTAATGAATGATTAATAATTCCTTTGAATCACGTTTGATCCGATAAGTCGGAATCCACTCGAGGTGCAATTCAAGCCTCTCTTACGTTGGATAAGCAGATAAAATGTACGATTAAAAGAGGATAAGCTGTTGCAGCGGGAAAATTCATGTTGTCGAGGAGTAGAAGCGAACACGAGCTTTCCCTGACGGGTTCCTGTTAGACTGTTAGACGAACCAACTGTTAGAATGTCGGAAACGACCGATTAGAGGCGCGTTTCGAGACTCGCGCATGCAACCAATTAGCTTTTGCTTCGCGGTTAACGCTGAAATCTACTTTGAACCGGTTGAAATTAAGTCCGCCACGAATATTTTCTCCGACGAATATTCGGGCCACGATGACGAAACAACGCTGCCGCGCCTTTTCCATCAACAACAACTGGAACATTCGAGCAGACAACAGATTTCAGATAGATTTAAGATTAATCCTTTGTTTCCGGGTTAATTAGAAGCTATCTTATACGTTATACAGTCTGATGGTTAAATAGACTCGGTAAAATCTTTGGCCAATCGATAGTCGATTCAACAGTTCGAGGACATATTTGCAATTCAATGCACCCGATCGAAATCGTTTCTCACGGTACACGGCTGTCGTACTTTCAGCTAACCGACGACTTCTTAGTTGTCGCATTTAAATGCACGAACCCTCGTTCTTGCACGACACGCGCCACCACCTCGTTCTTTAACCCCATAAGCTTTTTCCTTTCTTTTCCTTTCAATGTAAAATAGCGCAAAAGAAAAGTTTCAGTTGAAAAATGAAAATGGCCTTACATGTGCCCTCGCAATCGGTGTCCATCCTCCAGCAGTAACCAGGATTAACGAGCTTCCGGGAAGCGGTGGCCGGATATTTCCATTGCAGGGGTTTGCTACTCAGTGCCTCGTGATCCGATTCTACTCGATCCGTCTCGATGTTCACTGGACTCTGTCTCGATCCAGCTGCCATTGGAAATTTCGACACCCAGGTGCTCGGTCCTGAAACACAAAATTTTTCTTCTTAATTAAAATTAAAATTCAGAAGGTTCAGAAGAGAGCCCCTTAAAAATTAGGGCCCCAGGCTTAGCCCCTCCCCAAATCCGACCCTGCTCTGAAAATCTTGAGAATTATAATCAAAGCTTCACTAAATACTTTTTTTCCTTATACTGTATTTACAAAAGATAATTGTAATTATGAGTGTAATTATAACTGAGTAGTACACTGCTTAAGAGATTATTTATTATCTTTTAAGCCTTCTTTTAATAAAATTCTTAACTGGTATAATAAGGTGCTTAATAAAATCCAATGATATAAGATTCATTAAACTGTTTTTTACGTGGTGTTGATCCCTGTCATAATCTTACGATTAGTTGAAAAAAAAAGAGTTACAGTTAAATTAATCAAGAATAATCAAAAGTTAAAATTCAAAGATCATTTACCGACATATGTTAATAATAGAATAAAAACTTAATTGACACGTATCAGTTTTTTCGTTTATCGCTTTCGAGGAAAAAAACTTGGGACCAAGCGAGAGAAGAAGTAGGTATTAATAACCGAACTTACCACGCGCTGGTTTACATTCGCCGTTTCTCTTTTTGACAAATTCGCGTAAACAACGCTCTAGTTTTAACTCGACAAATATTTATGGATAATTGGCTTGTATTCACGGTTTTTAAAACGAGGTCAAACGCGATAACTAAATGTATTAATAAACCTTATAAATGTTTATTGTAACACAGGCTTCAATTTTCTAATTGAGTATGTATAGCCTGAACATAAAACAATCACAAATTAGCAAATAATTATTGCTTTTTCTTTTTTTAATTTAATATTCATTTTTAACTTCAATTATCAAAGTAATCATATTTTCGCCCCACTTTTCAAATACACATAAGCGCGAGAAAATATTCAAATTCAAATACACCAAATTTTTTCAAAATCTCATCTAGGAACAATAAATATTGAATTTTGCCTGCAAGCAAGAGATAAATTACTAAGCCCTTCTGTCCATAAAACCGTATCATTTTCAAACCTAAGATATCATGCAATTATAATTATCGTCAAAGGTACAAGGTCGTCGTTTCATCGAACGTCACAGCTCTCTAATCATACGTGTTAAAAATAAAGTTTCTTCGCTGTATCATTTGACAAGCTTAAAAAAAAACAAAAAAAAAAAAAAACAGAAAAATGCTTTCGTCGATTGGTCGTCATCGTAGTTATCGTCGTGTAAACGATCGCAACACCGACAATACCAAGCAAAGTGTAAAAGCATCGATTATGCAAGCGTAAAAACAGCCAGCTATTGGTCTCGATAATCGCGAGAAATGATCGGTTGCATTAAGAAACTTGTTATCGCGGGATACGTAGACACGTCACGTGCCGGTGCATAAATCCGTACGTTATCGTGACACGCGATTCCGATATTTGTATGCGATAACGTCGAATTACTTTGTTTTCCTTTTCAAATGCGATTCGTGTCTTTTGATTTCGTATCATACTTGAAACAGTCAGTCGTGTGAATTTACTATCGTTTATGTTTCGATAGAAGTTTAATCGTGCCATATACGAATACTACAAACCAATAAATTATCAAACCGGTAACATGTCTTGATAGTGTGAACGAAATAAGTGTTATGTAAATGATATAAAAAATGTAATAGTTGTATCTTGACGATACAAGAAAATTTCGGAATATTTGCAAAGTGAAAAATGAAATATTTGTATTTCAATGTTTAAGTTAACCCTTGAACAGTGGAAGCTGTGTTGTGAATCTAACACTGGGGCTCTCTCCCTGGTCCGCGCCGTCTGAGGCTTAATTACAATAAGTAGGATTTAGAAAATCGAATAGAGTTTGATCATTGTTAGCGGGTTTTTTTTCCCGCTCCTCGCTCAAATCTTCCAATAACTATTTACTACATTCATCTCGGTAACGCAAAAATAATTTTTGTTATTAACAACTTACGCGGGAGTCTTAGGGGAATACCAATATTAATTCTCAAATTAACTGTAAGAAGTGGTCAATGACATCTAAACACAAATAATCATTCTAAACGTTAGATATGACGATAATTAAATAGAGATTATTTTCAAAAATGGATAGGTCAAGGAGAATCTGTTTCGTGCGCTGGAGATCAAACGATATCGCTTCGCGATATTTTTATTTGCAAATGATTTTGCAACAGGAATATCGCACGAGTGTCCAAGTGGTGATAACGATAAATAGAAATAATCAATTCAGCCAGAATGAAACAAGATTATTTATACGAATCAGGAAAAATCACTCAAGTGTGTCAATAAGCGTGACAAATGAATGTTTGAAAAAATTAGATAAGCGAAAGAATTGCAAAATTATAAAACAATTAGTAAGAATCATCTGTTTACATTGAAAGCGTGAAAGAAATAAATACATATTGTGAGAAAGCCGGCTGATCAACAAGTGGACTATGACTCAGAAAATAAAATATCAATGAAATTGTTAATAATTAATCGACGAAAAAATGAATTAAAAGAGCCGCGTCGTTCGATCGAGTTTGCGGACGTCATCGAGTCTCTTTGCGAGGCAAATGTTTGCATTTGAAAAACTATTCAACGTTCTATTTGCTGATGTTAGAAGAAGAAATACAGCTGGTTCCGTGTAAATGTACTTTTATCACAAGATCCGCGTTTGATTCCCGCGTGGTTCACAGCTGCGAAGCAGCACGTGATGATGATATACAGCGGGTAATCAAATTATTAGAGCCACTCGCATAAATTGATGATTTTACATAAATATCATTAATTCTTAAATGAAAACAGAGTTAAACGGAGTTTTTGTTATTTTTTTTTCTGATGTATCGATACTTGTAAAATTATAATACACAGTTGAAAAAAGTGAAAGTCCTTGAATGGCCTAGAAATTCTTTGAAATTAATTTATTATAATATAAATTATTTATTAATTTATATTTATATTGTTAATTTTATTTATTTCCCTCTAAAAAAATTTATAAATGAATATATTTAAATTTAATTATTATATGAAAATATATAATTGTATATAAATAATTTTATTACTATTTAATATGTAATTAACTATAATTGATTGAACGTTTGATAGAAGTATGGGCTAGAAATAAAGCAATTAAAATGAATTGCAGCAAAAGGTGGCGTTACGAAATACTAACATACATACGTAAATATAATCTTTTAAATCTATTTGTTTATTTTTATAAGTATTTTTCTGTATATTATTAGTGGAGGATTATTGATTAAAAGTTACACAATGTAAAAACCTTAAAATTCTGGCTCTATTTCTACGCAAACACGAAAAATCCATGTTTCATACCATGGCTCAAATAATTTGATCACCCACTGTAATACGCGCGACGTAACTCACGATTATGCAATATTGTCGCATATAATTAATTTCCGAAGTGCTCTTCGACTCTGCTCGATCGATCTTATCTCGCCTTTCCTCCGAATCTTGGTTTTAATTATAGTCGGAGACGTCAAGCAAACAGATTGTAAGCTCGATCATTTTTGTAATAAAAGGAGTTTTAATACTCTGATAAATCCAACACTCGTAAATGACAAAAATTAGAAATTCGAGAATTCCTGCTTTCCTTATATCGCAATTTTTCTTAAAAAAGCCTGATTTGATCGTGAGTGCACAGCTAATAAATTACAGTCGTCTTTTACCAGGAGTATTTTACCAGAAAGAGCACTTTTGAAATAAAAAAAAAAAATCGAAGATAGTGGTGTAAAGGATGGTTCCAAAAAACCAGGTCCTTTCTAAACTCTAAAAACAAAGGTACGATATTTGGAAGATATCTGACTAGTGACTAATCCTCATCCATTTGAATGCGTATCTCGACCAGACTGGTTGTATTTATCCTGCTTATTGAAGATCCTATTGACGGCGATCACAGAGCACTCCACCAGAAAAAATACCGTCTCGAGGTCGTCGAGGTCTGTCCGAAGGTTCGTTCAACCTTGCCGAGCGAGCTACCAGGCTGTCGCAGCACCGCGCTCCTATTCGTCCTTTCAACGAGAATTTCAAACCTTGCACTTTGACCTTCGTGAATCGTTTTTCGCGAAGAAACTGAGAGAGATCAACCAGGTGACTCGCGACACGAAACGATTCGTGATGATACATCTATAGAAAAGACGGAGAATGGGAGTCGTACATGTGTTGCGATATTGATTTTGGATGATCCCTTCTAGCGGCAGAAGCGGAAGTGGCCTGTCATAATTGTTTAAATGATTTCTCTCGAAATAAACCTATAGTAATATAATATCGATTTGAGATCTTGATTATACCACTTACAAGGGACATTACCCAATCGACACACCCCGATTTTGATACCCTTTGAGTATGATATAGAACTCAAAAAATATTTGATACGTATTTTTTTGTATCGGCAATCGTCCATGCTGAAAGGGTGAAAAAAATTACAAAAATAGATTATTTTTCAATATATTTTTTAAACAAATAAATTTATCAAAAAGGTGGCTACATAGAAAAATTTGCTGTTCAAAAACACACAAATTCCATTTTGAATTTTTCGCCTACACCTAATAGTTCCTGAGATATTCAAGAAAATATGTTTTCCAAGCCCAACTTTGAGGGCTATTTTCACCCCTTCAGCATGAACGATTGCCGATAAAAAAAAATACGTGTCAAATATTTTTTTGAGTTCTATATCATATTCAAAGGGCATCAAAATCGGCGTGTGTCGATTGGGTAATGTCCCTTGTTAGATTAAAATTAGGGCTCTCTACATGGTCCGCCATCGCAGGGATAATTGCATCGGTATCACAGCATTAGATATAAAATGTGAAGGTAACGCGAGTGCAACAACGTCACACCTTTTACGTAAAACCGGATGAGAGGAGCAGACAAATCGCGTTTTCCTGTTTATTCTACGCTTTCTGCGAAGACTTTCAACTAAACGTGACTAGAGTTGAATAAAATCTTCTTAAATTCAATGAATCTTCTACTATGATAATTATGTATTTAAAATTGATGTTACGTCGTGAATTTAATAAGTTATATTGGTACTTCTGAATGAGACAAGGTATCGTGTATCAGAGAACACTCGATACGAAAACCAGCGAAATCGATATACAAGTCGAACAGAGTAGCCACTGTATATAATGCGTAAACCTTCTACCGCCAGTAGTTATTATCAATCATTCAACGTTTCATTTCTGGTGAAACGTTGCTGAAGAAAATTGTAATTCACCTACTTGTATGGGCTTACTATAATACCTAGAAATTTACATCAACGAATGATTAGATGTAATTTATATAAAAAGTGTTAGAAATCACACTGCTGGTGGTTATCGAACGGAACCGACGCTTTGCAAATGAAATGAGATTTCGAATCGCGAAATTCTAGTGACCCGAATTTCACGCAAAGTGTGACGGGGAAAAGAAAGATCGCCATTTCAACGAACGCTTAGGGCGGTATGAGCAGTGAAAAAAGTGATCGTATCGGACATTTCTTTCTCACCCGACAATGCAACACGTGTCCGCGATTAAAAACCTGGGGGTTGGAAAACTTTTCTTTCACCTTACGACTACACCGTCTTGAATATCTCTTTGAAATTCCGATTATCGCAAATGATCCTTAAAATGCTTCTGGATCCATTGAATAATTGCTAATTCTTCGGGTATTTAATTTGAAGAAAGCGATCGATTCTTAATTATGGAAGTGTGAATTTTCACGGTTACCCTTATGAGGGACAATGCATCGTGAGCTTAAACAATGACCGCAATGGCGTACTTCCGGTCGTGATCGAGTGTCCCCCGACGATGTAGTAAATACAGAGGAGCGATTGCCATTTCTCGGCCGAATCGCCGCGCCGGTACACGGTCAGAAAGCCAAACGACTTAATCGTCGATCAGCACGCCGGCCAGGAATTTATGCAAATCACGGTATCCGCCAGACTTCGCAATTGCACTCGCGCCGGTTCAAAGATAGCGCTGACAAATTGGCTTCAGATTAAGGGCATTTCGGAGAGGCATGCACGGTAACCGGGTAGGCGAAACGAAACTGGGTCTCCGACCTTTACACGCTTTCGTGTACGTTTCACTTTGCCTAGTCAGTCGTCTATTTTCACTCACACCAGTTGAAAAATTCGCATTCAAACATCAATTTTTAACTTTCATTCTTTTAAACAAATAACAGATTGTACAGTTATAAATTAACAATTCGTCAGGAAAGGGGAACATGATTTTTAAATCAGTACCTCATTTTGGTTGTAACTGGTCAATAGCTCAAATGAAAGAGCTTGATTCAGTGACAAGGGAACATTGGGGACTGATACACTCCGATTTTGATGAAACTTTGCATAAATATTTATTAGACCTGTTTATGAAGATAACTGTAATTCGTTGGTGCCCGTTTATCACTTTGAGGGAGATATCAACCCTTTTATCCGAACCGCCCGTTCTATATACGTGCTTCGTAAAGAACAAAAGATATCAAAAAATAGTTGAAATAAAACTTATACCGTTTCTTGAGGTCTATAAAACTGCGTAAAATTTTTCAAAACGGAGGGGGAGGGGGAATTCAATTTTGCAAAAAGGATGATTTAAAAAACAAACTTACACGCAGCTTTATAGACCTCAATAAACGGTATAACTTTTATTTCAACTATTTTTTTATATCTTTTGTTGTTTACGATTTATAAGCACGTATATAGAAAGGGCGGTTCGGATAAAAGGGTTGATATCTCCCTCAAAGTGAAAAACGGGCACCAACGAATTACAGTTATCTTCATAAACAGATCTAATAAATATTTATGCAAAGTTTCATCAAAATCGGAGTGTATCAGTCCCCGATGTTCCCTTGTGAGTGTTCTTAGACAAAAATTTACACCGTACCTCAATTAGAACTGGAGATAAGAAGCTTCGAGTGGGGAGAAATTCCAGAAAAATCACGTTTGAGGATATAACATAAGAGGGGCGAAAGGTAGATGTATTCCAATGCTTGTTGCGTTATCTATGCAAGAATACCTTTCATTTAAAAAAAAAATCATGCAAATCGGGCGAATAGAACTGCCGAACAAACTCGGAATAAAATTCATAAATTTGTTTAATATACAGATTTTGCAAAAAGGAATATAATGCAATTTTTCTTACGACTTCGAAAATCGCGAAAATTCCACCCCTCCAAAAAGAAGAATTCAAAGGTGCCTGATTAGGCACACCCCCGTTAAACGGTTCGATAATTCCCTTGGATTTAATTGGTCACAGCCATGGAGGGTTCGTTTCCTTGCGCAGTTTGTTTTTCGAAAAGAACTAGTTTTCTTTGGCACGATGCTACCAAGCGGAACGCGTCTGTTTGGATAAGAAACCCATCATGTGATTCATAGGAAATGTAAAATTAGAATACACATACGTTGCTTCCAGACGCTGTTTACCAGAGTATTTTTTAATAACTGCCAGTGTTTACCAGCCCCGAACTGCGTCGAAATTGTTTCACACCAATTTAGTGTATACTGGATCAAGTTACACCAGTGGACAGTTTATGATACCTAGGGTATAATATTAAATTATCTTGCAGCTGTTACAATGGGAGCAGTCAGATAGGATAGGATTCTGTTCAATTAACAGAATTTTAAATACGAACTCATCAAATTTCAAAATGCATTTTTATCAGGTTTCCTTTTTCTTATGGCGGTCTTTTCAAAAAAATTCGTTAGGTAAACGTTTAAATGCGAACGACCGGGCACAACTGGTGCGTGTTTGGATCTCGTTACCATCGCGCATACAACGTTACTTCCCTATTCTCACGTTATATTTACGTGCTGGTACAATGTACTATGCCTCGGTGTGTCCTATACACGTTTCAGGTTATCCCGCTCGTATCTACCTACATGTGCGAGTACGCGGCTCTCTAGAGCATGTAAGTACTCTGTACCTTTCGAGTAACGAGTGCAGAGGTAAAGAACGCGTACGGTTTACTGGGAGGAACAGGTGCATCGGCCTGAAGCAGAACGAGGAAAATTATTGATTTTCGTTTACCTACGGAGCCGGTGGTGTCCCGTGTTAGCATGGCGAATGCAACGCCGTCCCTTGGCACGACTAGGACGGCCTGCATTCGAAGACAATGGCCTTAGGTCAGTGAGCCTGGTGCCATCGTGACACCGTGCAAATCGAACGCGAAACGATCGTTATTTTTCCTTTCCGTTTCAAGTTCGAGGAAACCGGGTCACCCGGATATTTCGATTTGGAGCAACCGATCGATAATCGTGTTTTTTTTTTTTTTTAAAGAAGATTATCGCAATTGAAAATGAAATTTATTGCGTAAAATGTAATGATATTTTAAAAATACGACTGTGATATTTATCCGTGATAAAGCGCATACCGAACATTTCGAAATGATCGATTGATGATATCGATTATTGAAAAAATATTGAAACATCGAATGGCGGGCTTTTCTATACAATATCTGACGCGTACTGTCTCTAATCAAACTTCATTTGCAGCGTTATCGTCGAGTCTTTTTCTCGTTGAAATTAAATAAAATTATTAACAAATATCGGTGTATCTAATCTTTTTAATTTAAGAATAATTCGTATAGTATGCTGAGATTTTTAATTGACAAACACTATTATTGTTTCGAACCTTTGTATTATAATCTTTCTAAATGAGATAAGCAATGGAATATCGCATAATAGAAAAGTAATATATATATTATCGATTTCTGTATCATGATTAACTCTTTTCTTGAAAAAGTAGAAAATATAATGCGTTTCTTAAAGAAGAATTTTTAAAGGGACAGCGTAAAATTTGTGTCATACGACTCTCTTCATGCTCCGCCGTCCGAGGGTTAAGGAACGCATTATTACTTTTTTTTTTTTTTTAGGAAAAGGGTCAATCATTGTATAGGGATCCATTGTACACGTTTCCCTGTGTTGCTTAAACAAATTTTTTAAGAACAAAACAATTGATTGTACGTCGCGATTATGTCCGTTCCATGTCCTCGTTAATGTCCTTGCAGACTTCGAAAATACTATAAAAATGAGGAAAGAATCGGCATACCGTTACTAGTTTCTCGCAATACGTTTCTCTTATCTGTTTTTACTTGACGGAACTATTTTTACCAAGCGACAACCGACATTTTCCTTGGCGCATCGAAAAAAAAGAAATGCCTAGAAATTATGTTAGATACTTTCGTTAAGTGGAATGCGAGACTAAATTATGCGAAATCGAATATTTTTAGTTACCAACTGGATTAAGTTCAATAATAGATATGTTACATTGCAATCAATATAAATGTTCAATTTCTAATGAAGCGTAACACTTAACGGAAGTTACGGCGCAGGTCATTAATTTATTAGATAAAAAACAGATAAATAGATAAAAATTGAACAAATTACAACGTTTAAATCTCTCGAAAAGAGTAGTTTATCGATAAAGTAACAGCTACTTATTTAAGAAGCTAACCGACTTCCGGTCTGCAGTTAGACCAGTTGGTAAAAATCTGAATATTTTATTGTAGGATATAAATTATTCAGGAACCTTCTAATGCGCTGTCACTGTAACTTGTTTCTACCTCGTTTATAAAACGTTGATACATAACCAATAAAAACTCACCATTTTGGATGGAGTAGTCCCATTCGCTCTTGTCGGCCATTTCGGTAAACGATCAGAAATTGAGATCCACGGAAACTGTGATCCCAACGGAGCTCGTAGTCAATCGTTTTGTCTGTTTCTAGTCTTCTATTAAACGAAACACGTCACTGTTGCGTCCCTTTTCTTATTTTATCGTAGCCACGATTGCTCGTTACCGTAAATTTTCTCGATCAAATGCACTACCGATCGATTGGAAACGGAGAAACGGTTGACAGATCCGAGATCTTACAACTTTTGAGTTTTCTTTCTCTGTTTCCCCGTTTCAGCTTACGTTATATCGCGAACGAATCGACTATCCGATCGCACATCTATCCGATTTGTCAGGCGTCCTTAGTGAAACGATTTTAAAAATTATTTCTCTAATGTAAAATGAAAGTCGAAAGGTTATCCACCCTATTCACGATCGTCCACGAATGCGACGCCGGCCGGCCGATCGGCTGATTTTATACGCGCGTCGGTCACGTGACTGGCACTATGGAAAAGTGAGCGTCTGCGCATGCGCTAGTAAATGTTTACACGTGCATCGCGCATCCCCACCACTATCAGTTAGCACGTGCTTGCTTATGATCAACATTGATCAATTTTCGAGTCTAGATCGTTTCAATATTTAGAATAATTCACTCGAATAAATTATTTTCGAATGATTCTACTGTCCTCGTGATTCGTGTCCTCCTTTACGTTCCCAAACAGCTATAATAATAAAATTGATCACGGTCAACCGTCGATCCGCGTACACTCTACAAGGGGGGCAATAACTAGGCGTTCTAATACCTTAATGATTCATTTTATAATCTATTTCAAACGGAAACATTAATCCCAGTAAAATGATAAGGTAACGTATTACGCTCCAATTGTTCTATGCATCGCAACAAAAAGAAATCAAATATGAACGTCTCTTACCAGAAGAACTGGCTATAATACGATTTACCTCTACTTACGAAATGCTCTGTCATATGTATCTTGAAATTCAATATTTATTTGTCGCGCACGTGCTTCCGGTCTTATCTACTTCGAACAATGCGATCGAGTCTTATCTATGAAATCTTCTTCTTGATCGATGAAAGAAAGGAATAGAGATTAGATTAGTCGTCAAACTTGAATTCCATTCGAATGGAATTTTTAATTAAGTTTTTGTCTTCGTTTTTTTTTATCGTCCCCAATCGGTTAGCTAGTTTCTATTCGATGTACAAAATAGTGTGCCATCAATTTCTTCCGTTGCAGGTCATGACACTGATGCACGAGCGCCAGATATTATTTCAGTCGAGGCCGCAACACGTGTATTTCTATGCCGACGACACGAACGCGTTTATTAAGCTGACCAGAGGATCACGATCTGATAAAGAAGCTATTCGTCAACCGGTGAATCAGTGTTACCTTTTCCACCAGGTCACAGACCGAGATTGTATTTTCTCATTATACTTTTAGCATTTTAGTCGCTTGCTACGAAAGGATTGACCCAATGAAACGTTTTCTATATTCCACGTTTCATCGAAACGCACGCCTTATTTCCACATCCGCTCGTGGTGTAATATTGTAATAAGGACACTTCTATGACACACTAGAGATTTTATACCTGTTTCTACCAATTATAGAAACAGCGATTGCCATTTGTTTTGTTCGTTAAATAATTACTTGTAACCACAGTCATTACATTTTTTTTCTCTTTTCTTTCCCGTTATTTCATGAGTATAGGTTAGCCGAACCTGGGGGCAAGATCGCGGGCCCCCTTACCGACGGTGCATGAGGAATCCTGTATGGTATTACCTATAGGAAGTTGAGGAAAATTTATATTGGGTAGAAGAGGAGAAAAATTTTCAAAAAAACCCCCAAAACATGAGGAACATTGCCGAGGCAATAGGGGAGTTCAGGAGGACTTCTATGACACTAGAGATTTTATACCTGTTTCTACCAATTATAGAAACAGCGATTGCTATTTGTTTCGTCCGTTGAATAATTACTTGAAGCCAGTCATTACATCCTCGTGTCTTTTACTCCTCGGACGGCGGACCATGGAGAGAGACAGGCTCTCGAATGAAAGGATGGAATAAATAAAGATGCGGGATTTGAAATAAAAATTCGACGTTCGGTCTCCTTTTGTTTGCAAAGGAACGGCTATCGTGCAACTGGTTCGAGAATTTCCCGTCACTTAATTCCATCGAGCTCGGATATCATTGTCGCGTCGACGTTATGTCATGGAACGTGCCTGATTCTCGCGTGGTCGTTTCATTTTCAGCCTCTTACACTACGACGATCTTAATCAAAATTAATGAATTGCAGTAAATTCCATTGCAAAACGTCGATGGACGTCCGTTACGTCAAAAGATCCTCTCTTTCCCTCTAACCTTTCGTGATTTTCCTTATACAATTTTCCGTCCGTCCACCTACTTTTTTGTTCTTAGCTCGAAGACTCGTCATTAATCTTTCAGCGATTCATCTCTGATGAATAGTTCCTTTTCTTTTCATCATTTACAAGACATTTCAAAGTGACAAAGCAACTTACCCAGGATTTGCTACGATTTCAAGAGTCGAAGGACAGATACCTGGAGACAATTAATATCTTCTTTTATTATTTCAACAATTCGGTCGTGCGTGTCGATTAGCCAACGTTGCATGGCGCAAGATTTCGGCGTAAAATGCTGGCTCAATTTTAATTAAACGCAACGTGTCTAATTGTACAATAATTACAGAGCGAATTCATGGAAATGTGTTTCTTTGTAAAATATCCATCGTTACTTGCGACGCACCAGGTACGTCGTCTCTTCGTAAGCTTAACTGTAACATTTTCAAAAATAGTCGCCCGAAATCTATTTTGATTCGAAAGGTGAATAGTCAGAACGACGTTACGAAGTATGCTGGTTTTATCGAGCGTGTACGCGCGATTATTCATTCACCGAGAATCACGCGAGCGATCGCCTTAAATCGCTGCCTGTTTTGCATTTTAATTCCGAATGTCGGTGCACGACGTACGAGAAACGATGTTCCGTTCGAATTTCTGCGCGATCCTTACGTAATCGTCACTTTACTTGTCCTTCATGGTCGTTAAATTGTTCGCCGATCAACATCCACGTTAGACAATAATTCGTTCGACCAATTTGCAACATCTTGTTTTTTCTGACTTTGAAATAACAAGGAGCACCTGTTTCGGGCTGCAGGCTGGAATAATTTATGTTAATCGGGGATCATCGTTGGTTCAGATGGTCTGTTGATCCTTCACGGGGATCGTTAGTCATCGATTCTTCCATAAACGACGAGCAGACGTGTTAAAAATGTTAATAGGATAGGCTTCTTTCGACCATCTACAGTTTCCTTTGTTTTCCTAATGCAATTGTTGTTCGACACCTGCGTTCGAAGGTAAAGTATTTTTAATAACTTTGGTTATCCGAAATTGTCGAGTTGCGAATTAACTTTAGAATCTAAAGCAATCGTGTACGAATCTCGAAATTTATGCTGCTCCTCCTCGAAAGTGAAAGTGCAAGGTTTTTGGAAAGTTCAATTTTGTAATTCATTGAAATAAGAATTGTATGCATATTTTTATAAGGTACTGTAAATAGTGTTTAATGATTCATAAAGTGTCCAGAATTATCAAGAAATTTCCAAATTAATCAGCTTTCAATCAGCAAGTAATAGTTTCGTAATTCTTGCCTTTTGTTTCTTAATTCTTTGAACTTGTTATTAATTTCACGTCGCGTTCAGTTTACGATCTTTATCGCATTTACATGAAGAGGTCATAATGTGAAAATGTTAATCGATTTTTCATCTGCCAGACACGTAATTACACTAACAAGGCTCCTCGAAAAGAAAAACAATTTTCTACTATAACGACACGATGTCTTTTCTGGAAAAATAATCATCTCGAGCATCGATTATACAATCCTTGTTTAGTTTGACGCAAATTGTTTCGCGTTTTCCACGTTTTTATTACCATTTATTAACACTCGCGAAAGAAGCTCTTGCCTGCAGCGACGGTTTAAAGGGAGGTCTAAGTTCCGGGCTCCACTAATTCTATTTAGAATAAATTTCAGTTTCTGAATCAAGATTATCAATCAAAGTGGCCCTCTGAAGTTTGATAGCCTCGGGGACCCTAAAAATTTTAATCCGCTCCTGCGCGTGTGTTTTTCACCGTATCTGGAATAATACTAACAATAAGAAGTGTCGCGAAATTTATTTACCGTCGAGGTAATCGCTTGAGAATACACAAGGACGTATCTCTTCAATGTCGAACAGAGGAGGCCACCGTAGGATCTCTTTGTCAGGTCCAATCTAATTAATCCTCGTTAAGTCGTTGTCAATTGTTCACGTAAACGAGAGTAAGTACGTAGACAGACGCAAACATTCGTTCACGAAATGCCCACGTGAATCTTCTTCTGCATTGAACTGCAACGAAAAGGTGGAAAATATTTTCGTTAACCTCTTCAAATTGGCGTTACTCAGGGCTGAATGAAATTCCTTACAAATTACTAATATTTCATTTCTTCCAATTCTCAAATGTAAATTTTAAGTTTTTACATTTAGATTTCTTATTTTTCAATTTTAATTTAAAATGGAGTTGAAAATTACTCCTCAACGGGTTAGACACGACGCTAGGTCACTGAAAGTGGAACACCAACGCAAGGATCGAAGTAGAAAGGACAATGTCGCGAATTCACAAAGGAAGTGGAAGAAAAGTCCTTGAAAAATCTACCTTGCCACGAGCAAGGTACATCAGAGTAATATTTAATCTGAACATTAACATTTATCTGAACACAGACACATCAAGTTTAGAATCATTGGTGAAATTAGAGAATATTTTCTAGGGTGGACCCTTTTCTTGGAGATTCTGAAAATCTGAAATTTAAAAAATTTTTGTAATTGCAAAATTTATTAATCATAAAATGTTAGAGCGGTGAAGAAGCTACAAGCCCATCTTGGACCCTACCTATTTACGTCAATGCTTCGAATAATAGCAGCTCGTTGATCCACATTCGAATAAGTAATAAAACTTGGAAGAATTGTAAAATTTTAACTATCAAATTTTAATTTCATCTAAAAGTGGTTAGATTAAACTCAAATAAATGGAGTTCCGCTTTATTCCCAAAGCAATAACCTCGATCAAGACACGTGGCTCACGTGTCCAAGAACGACCCTAGGTTATCCTAAAATGGCTTTATTAACTCTTAACTTTACACGTGTTTAATATGTAGTACTCCTTACCCACAATCTGTGTACGTGTTTGTGTGTGTTATTACTTCAATGTATCCTCGTTCGTCGACGACACCACTCAAAAGGATGATTCGCTAATGTGACATAACCTCCTTGATCCCTTAAATAAAAATGATGGAAGAATTAACGTTTCTCTTTTAATTCGAGAACGAAAACGCGACGAGTTCCTTTCGTCCGGTCCCGTCGAGACGTCTCATCGGTCAAAAATAACTTGCAAATTCCCAGTCAAATACGTATTATTCTTAATATGTATATACCATTTTCTTTAAGTGTACAAGAAATTCCTTACACGCGATGGAACTATTTTTTCCTTTCGTTCTTTGGGGATCAATCGAACCTACACGATTACACACACTCTTCTCATAGTTTCGTTTGTTCCTTGCTTTTTCTTTCTCCTTTGTACAAAATACTTTCGAACCACTTTCAACCATGAAAAAAAAAAAAAAAAAAAAAAAAGAAGAAGAAACGAATATCCTTGGTTCGAAATCGACCCCCCTCATTCACGCGGCTTTAACACTTTACCACGTAGAGTGTATATATCTTATAAATATTGTACATAATTATCGCGTCCGTCGCATTAACACAATTGCAACGGACGAGAGCGATGATATGATTAGAAGCATGATATGAAGGGTGTTCTTGCTTATCGCAGGTCATCGGGGGTTCGAAACGAGCCTTAAATGGTATCACAGAACTCCACTTATTCGAATGAAATTAATTGGAATTGTTCCTGGAACGATTATTGAGAATTCACAATTTTTTGGTACAGTTAGGTGATTAGGGTAATAGGAGCGCGATGAAATCCACTTTTATACAAAGATTTTTCGAGGGAGAAATCAATCAGTCTTGTCGCTTGACAAATAAATGGAGTTCTATTTTGTATACCTCAATTCGTCAAGCTTTGGCCAGCTTAATAAATTTCTCCTCTATGGGAAAAGCCAGGACCGGATTAAGGGGAGGTTTTAGGGAAGCTACAGCCCCGGGCCCCCTTATAAACTTTCCTTTCGTGCCCTGTTCCCTTTAATTTCATTTAGAATGAATTTTAATTTTTAAACCAAGTTTATCAACCAAAGTGAGATCCTCGGTATCCTAGAAACCTTAATCCGGTCCTGGGGAAAGCATGAGAAATTTTCTTAAATATTCATTCAATTTCCTTGAACAGCGAACAACGCCAAACACGTGATACAAAAATAGAAAACACACCCGAGAGTTTCGTGTGATTATCGCTAACCATTCGAATATCAGTTTAATATCCCCTTTCTGTTTTTTTTTTTTTTTTTTTTTTTTTTTCTTAAAGCAACTTTTGTTTCGTACAAGACCTGCGATAAACAGGGCGCAATGAAAAAGGGATTCGAGCAGTCGCGTGTGTTAGTATACTTAAATCTTCTACTTTATAAAGACGTGAATTAATAGTAATATATAATATATATATATATATATATATTATATCGTAATTTTTAGCTTGCACACGAAACATCCGTTTATCATTCTACATATACAATTATCATCATCAGCAGTGGCATCATAATCATTCACACGTGATTCATTTAGTAGTTACCCCAAATTTGCGGATTCGTTAACGCTGTCCCTTTCTCGTCAAGGTGGATAAAGGGAGCCATCAAATTCGAGGTACGCGAAAAGGTATCATTTTCTTTTTTTTTTTCGTCGTCTCTCGTTCCTTTCCACTCTCGTGTCTTCCTCTTTTAAAAAATATCAGGAAAGCATCGAGGTGTCGAAGAAACAGCATTCGCGCCTGTGTACCCGCATCCCATATCTAAAAAAATCGTTTTCTTTATCATCGTTTCATTTTTTCTTTTTTTTTTCAAGAATTTTGCAACAGAGCAAAAGTTGAGGGACTTTATCCGAATCATCTTGATTTATAAAATGTACGCACCGCGCACAGGGTACGGGTGTCACGCTTTTGTATATATTAAAAGTAGATCTCGTTACTTTCTTCCTTATCCTTTCCATTGTTTTCCACTTTGCTTTAAATAGTTAGTACTTTTTGGCTTGGTAACTATGTAAAATCTAAATTAAATTACCTCCCGACGGGTTTAAAATCGTTAAGATACGTAAGGCTTGAATTTTCTCACCGTATAACCATGGATAGTAGAAAAATCTGAATCGGAGGGTTATAAAAATCAGAGGAATTGATTGTGCGTGAAATAAAATTAGAGAGAAAAATGAACAGTAAAGCTTCCTGTACAGTGTGCATTAATAATAGAAATTAGAAGGTAAATGCTATAACATGGATCTGGGGCATCGTTTTAAACAACGTCGACTTAAAATTACTGCAGCAGACTGTCTATCGAACGACAAATAGGTAATATACATATTTATATTATATATTTTGTATATATTATCATTAGTTATCCTTTTACTCTGCATGGCCTACAGCGCCAATGGAAGCATTTTGCTGTCACTTTGCAAATGGCATCGCGCGAACGGATATATTCGATTAAGTTACGGTTTAAAAAAATTCTCAGTTCTCTTCTTTTCATTTTTTAAGTCTGACAACTGATCGTCGGATGGGCCAGTTCGTGATTCCTTCGTTCATTCACGCCTTCCATAAACGTTTCCTTCATTTTATAAGACAACGTATAGAAAATAAAAAAAAAAAAAAAATATAAAAAAATGATCGAGTAATTAGCGGCGATGAAAACTGCCTCGCCCGACGACGAGCTCACGTTATATTCATCATGTGGCAGTGTTATACGATGTAAGTAGGTACGTTTGTACGATAAGAAGATTCGTTAAGTCGATAGTCCTTGATACTTGCGAGACCGTTCGAACAGTAAACTGCTGTTAAGTCTTTAGTAGAACCATTAAATAGTACATGTTTCTTTCTTTTCTTATTTTCGTTCACAGCATTCGATACTCTTATTGCTTAAAAAATGGCACTGATTACTGAAACATTAACGAGTATCGTTTGCTGTACACCGAACTTCGTTATATCGCCGAATAAAATTACTTCGCCCTAACGACGCTGGTTCTACAGTTTCGTAAACCTAAAACCTAAAATATCCGCAATATACCCGGTCGGAGTAAGTGAATCCTTCCTCTCTACAGTTTGAATTCGTTACGAAAGGCAACGCGTGATTTGTAATCCCGTACACTCCCTAGAAAAAGTTTCCCATGAAATATAAGACGGTTGATAAAAGTACATCGTGGATGAAGATTTAAAAAAAAAAAAAAAAAAAAGAAATATGAAACCGCGAGAACGAACAACACCCTCGCGGTTTAATTCCCCACAGACTTCATCTCTTAAATACGTTACACCGCGGATAAATAGCGACGAATGAGTATAATAATATGTATATTATTACAAAGTAAGTAAACATGGGCGCGATTTGGCGAACTCTCGCGAATCAATTCTTTTAGGTGTTTTTTTTTGTGTTTTTTTTTCTGTTTTTTTGTTTTTTTTACTTACGCGATATCGATTGAATCTCGGACCAACGGAAAGCCTTACTTAAGATTGCTGTATACGTTCAGAGATCCGCCACAATTGTCGACGTTGTTACCGACGTACTGTGGTTTCTTCTGATAGTTGGTTTGGTTTTGCGCGTGTATTGGGGAGTCTCCGAGCATCGCTAGCATATATTTGCGCGTGGGCGAATGAACTGTATTTTGTTAGGGAGGTACGTATGGGGGTGGTTTTCTGTACGTCGGGGTGGGCTTCGGACGATTTTGACGATTGGTATCGCGATTCGTGGCGAACGGTGGCGGCGGTTGATACGGTTCTTCAGAATTCTCCTTCGGCAGCATCGGTACGTCCGCGCCGTCCTCGGTTTTCTGATACTCCGGAGGTGGTAGCGGTGGTTTTTCTTCCTTCAGAATGACGGGTGATTTGTTACCTGTAACATAAATATTACACAATACACATAACAGGTTGCAGAAGCTATATTACATACAATGAGTTGCATTGAACTTGTCGCAGTGAAGTTAGCCACGCATTCACTCACCGACGCGGTGTGAATGCCTTACTGAATTTGTAGCTAACTTCACTGCGACAAGTTTAATGCAACTCAATGTACAGTGGCTCGCAAAAGTATTCGCACACCGTTTAAAACAAAATATCTCATTTGAAATTGGACCGAAAGACTTAAGGTTTCACAAGAAGTTATCAAAATTAATTTACTAACGAAGATATGTGGTTTTGCTTGTATCTTAGTAAATTAATTTTTATAGCTTCTCAAAAAGCCTCAAGTCATTTGGTCCAATTTTAAATGGGGTATTCTGTTTTCAACGGTGTGCGAATACTTTTGCGTCCCACTGTATTTACAAACGCAACGTATCCTTCTTACCTGGGTCTGGTTTCTCGTCGAGCTCGTCTTGGAATATAACCGGAATTCCTTTGCTACGAAAACTCTGTCTCTCGTCGTCTTGCTCGCTGACGCTCATCTTCCCGCTACGCCTTCGTCTGTACAGCACACAAGCGATTATACCAGCCAGAATGAGCATCACGGCGATTATTATAGCCGGCAGGACGAACGTGATGAGATAGTCATCGTGGAAGGTTCCGACCGGTGTGGAATCGTCCACCGGAGGAACGTAGTTGTCAGGCGAATGCATGTCTGTTAATTCACCGAGACAGATTCCCATCGGTATCACTGTGATCTGTTTCACGGGGAATTTCGAGCCCATCACTTCTAGGACTTCGTCCGTGACGGATCGACGATCGTTGTCGCTCTTGACGAGCACCGATCGCAATCTGCTCACTTCTTCGTGCGCGCAATATGAGGTAGGCAAGGTTCTATTGTGCCAAGTAATTACTGTGCTACCGTTTGATATACTGTGCAATGAGATCGCGTTAGTGTCTCTGTCCTCGTAGAGATCGCGTAACTTTTCGATGAAGTTCCGCTTCTGAAGGGCGGAATGCGCGAACGATTCGTAAGGTATATCCAATGTCATCGAGAACTCGACCGTGTGCTGCGTGAATGGAGCGGGATGAACGACAACGACTAGGCCATCAGTAGCACTTGCACCTGTAAATATATTTCGTCTGAAATTTTTCCGTTCAAATAATTTTTATTAAGAAATCACTGATCTCAATGCGTTACCCTCTTTATCAGTGATGACCAACTGATACTCTTTGCGCCCAACGTCGCTGCGCATTGGTACTCCATAGAATTCTTGGTTCTTGCTATCGAATTGTAACCATTCATGGGGAGGAATAGGCTTGCGTTCGATGGTCAATAGATTCATCTGCATGTTGCGAGCAGAACCATCTTCCGCATCGTAGAAAGTATCCTAAAGACGATCAACGTGTCGTAAATCCTGATATAGATATTATCAAATGAAACAAGTGTACACGTACCTCTGGCACTTTAAACACAAGCAACTGACCAACGGTGGCATTGACTAGATCCACCTGGTTCCTTGGCAATGGTGGGAAGTTTGATTTAGGCTCTTGAGTGGAAACTCTTGGTGTCTCTGGACGAGTCATGTCCTCGCACTGTCCAATACCTTGATAGACTACTCGTTTCACTCTGATTTCGGGCTGAAGGACTTCCCTCAACGAAGGGCTAGGATCACCGTTTCTATCGATCAGCACCTGATCAAAATTATATAACAATAGTTAGACTATTCAGAAGAAATTGTATCTTTAATAATAATAATAATCAGGTGCATTAGGTTCGTACATGTAGTAGATCATTAATGTATTCCTTAGGACACTCGCTGCTTCTAGGTAGACTATCATTGGTCCAAGTAAAGATTGCTTGATCGTGATCAACATCGATCGATCGAACGGTAATGTGCCTGGTGTCGCTATCTCCGTATAATTCGGCTAACCTTCGAATTACCTAGGATCATTAGAATATATTAAATAGCAGAGTAACACTAATAGATCCGAAGGAAACGTAAACAACAGTAGTACCTTTAGCTCCCAGTCAACTTCCGTTGGAAACTCGGAACGCTTGTCGATCCTCAGATAAATACTGAACTCGTGATTGACACTGCGACTAAGTTTGTGTTGCTGTACATGAACATCTAGTTGATCAGTCACGTTCGATCCCTCGCTATCGGTAGCTACCAGCTCGTACATCCAGGTAGATATATCATTCTCCAACGGTCTGTTAAACGATATCAGATTAGAAAGGATATAAAAGGAAATATCGCAAAGACAACGGATCGATACTTACAATCCATAAACCTCTTGTGTGCGTTGATTGAACTGAAGCCAGTGGGTGGTCTTCAGCGGTGCACCTTGCAAATACAAACTCAGCTTCAAGTTTCTCGTGTCACCATCCTCAGGATCGCTGAATGTATTCGGTGGTATGATGTAGCTTAACGGTTTACCAGCGGTCACCGGTATCTTCTTCAATCTCCTATCGCGCGTAGGTGGGAAGTTGTGAACACCATACTCTACGTTCTCCGTAATTATGGACCATTCGGTGGTGGTTGTTGTTGTGGTGGTGGTGGTCGTTGACGGAGAGGTAGGGGTCATGATAGTGGTTGTTGTTGGAGCCATGGTGGTTGTAGTGGTAGTGGTGGTCGGTGATGTTCTCATTTCTGTTGTAATGGGTGTGCTGGTAATTGGGGCGGATGTTGTGGTTGCGAACATGGTAGTAACGTTCGGACGTATGGTAGAAAATACTAGAATGGTGGGTTGTTTCGTCGAGGGCGACTGTTCCGTTGGCTGAAGGGAAAAATAATATATTTCAATAAAAACAGAAAGTTAACGGGATACCACGCGGAATCTCATCACGACGATTGCAAAATGCATCAAGAATCGTGCGCAATATTTGCGTCTCCTCTGACAACAAGTATCGGCAGGTCCAGGATTCTTCCCTCTCTCTTCCAGCAGCAACCACCATGAACGCTATAAGCAATGCTCAACCGTCCTGACATAGCGTGCAGCGAAAATAACTAACGAGAAAAGCGTAAGACACAAGGTCCGCACGATTCTTGAAGCATGTACCGGTTATTATTATAAGAAGGCAACAGCTTTGAACTGACACAATGACCTATCACAGTTTGCGGACTATAAAGCGAAAGACTATCGCATGAACTATCATACAAATGAGAGAAGCTCGAAGCATCGAAGCATTACCTCGGCCACGGTGACGTTAACAGTACCAACGGTGACGTCCGTTTCCGTTCGGTCGAAGATAATGTTGGTCCTGGACGTTGTTCCAGCGGTGCTAGAATGAGGAACGATTACCGAGGGAAGGGTGGTAATGAATTCTGGTATTGTGGTGGTAACGGATGACACGTTTAGAGATTCGTTCTCCGTGTATCTGGTGTTCTTCGTCGTTTCTTCGGTGATCTCCGGTTTCTCCGGTGATTCGGTCGACGGAGCGACAGTGGTCAGTGCATCGGCACTGATCGTCGTTGTATCTGCTGCTGCTGTTGTTGTCGTTGTTGTTGTGCTAGTTGTACTACTTGTGGCCGTTGACGGTGGTTGTTGGATTATTGTTGATGTTGTAGTCGGTGCTGTTGTTGTTGTTGTTGTTGTTGATGTCGAGCTAGTCGTCGCGGTGGTGGTGGTTGTAGTTGTTGATGGTGGTGGTGATGTAAGTTCAGTGGTTGTTGTCTGCGAAATCGTTAGTAAGATGCGATGTACGGGCACGAGAAACATGGTTAGTTACGTTACGAAGGTAGGCGAAGAAGATTGTGTGTACGCAAACAGTTAGAAAGAGAATCGGTCTCCAGGCTTTCGTTTTCCTTTAAGACAGATACAGCGCTTCTATACATCGATCGATAGGCCGCGTAAGCGGCACGAAAATGGCATTGTGTCGGCATCGAACACGCAAATACCCATAGCTAGACTAATAAAGTATCTGAAGCGCAACGATTCCCTTAAGCGATTGGCGTGGCGAATGAAGGACAGAAATAAGAATCTTCAACGAAAGCCGGTTATATAGCAAAACGTTCTTTCTTTTCTTCCTATTATCTGCTCATCTGTTTTATCACTTTTCTCTTGGGCAACCGCAACACACGCGGCTCCAAAATTGCTGATACTTACGTTTGACGACGTCTCCGCGGCAGTTTTGTTCTCTCCAAAGTTCTCTTCGTTTTCACCAGTGATTACATCCTTGTCTATCTGATCCGTCTAAGAAACACAACAGCCGTGACATTGAAATACACGTAAGGATCAAGTACCTTTTCATCAAAGTAACATGAAACTTACGTTCCAATCGATGGTTCCTTCACCGTGATGATGTCTACGAGGATGTACCGCCTCAACGTTTCCTCTGGCGAAGCTAGTTTCCGGCACGATGGTTGGTTGCACTTGCGAGTCCTCGCCATCCTCGCCGTACTCCTCGCCATCTTCGTATTCGTCCTCGTAATCATCGTCGTAACCATTGTAATCATCCGTATTACCATAGTTCCCTGAACCAGCCTCCCGCCGGTTTCTCAATAACAAACTAGCCTCGGTTTTCACGCGCCATAATAAAACAGGTAGCTGCATAACTTCTGCCAGAGTGCCATCCTTGGCTTGTTCCCGCAACCGTTTCACCAGGTCCGTCTGATGCTTCCACAAGTGACCGTCGCAGCCGACCTGTGCAAATTTTCATGTCGTCAAATCGTATTGATTTTTCCATTTTTTCTTTTTCAGCTATTCGATCGAGATCAGAATTAATGAAATCTCACCTGCCACTGAATCGCGGTTAGATGTTTCTCTTTGCGGTGTTTCACGTTTCCAGGCCCGCTGAGGATCACAGATGAGTCGGTGTTCGAGTTTTCCTTGCCGCTCTGCGGGTGCATCGTGAACGAGCTCTGAAATTCAAATTAACGCGAACGGATCAAGGAAACGAGCTCCCGCTTCTCTGAATAGCGTGTAGAAGGAAACGTAAGCAAGTTCCGGGGATATATCGGTGTTCCAGATTGGAACGAAGGTATTAATCACGCGGAAAATAGAGTTTCTTCTTTTCAGAGGAAAGGAAAAACAAATACCTCGTTATTCAGCGAGGTCGTAATTAAATCATCTCGACGGAGGGGATTAAATTTACGTAATCGAATCGATTATTCCGATGAAACGAGCCGTTAGACGGTGCAATTTCCTGGTGCTTCTGCTTCGAAACTTTCCATGATATTTTTAGTTGAACGTGCTTCTATTTATAGTTAAAGTTAAGATTAAGAAGCCATCGATAACTGTTAAATTGTATCCCTTGAAATAAAGTTTAGCCTTTCGTTTACTTCAACTGTTAATATAATTAATAATAAAGTAGAGAGGAGTTTAATCGAGGAAAATAGTAGAAACCGTCGAGGACTAGTGTTCTAATTTCGAGTGTGAGCAAAAGTAACGCTGAGTCGGAGAAGAAGATCTGATAAAGTTCGCCGAGCGAACGCGAGAGCTGCTCCTTTACGAGAGGGAACTTTATAACGTTAGAACGGGGCCGCTGGCATGGAATAGAAGATGCATCGCGAGCTCGACATAATACAGAAAATTTTTCATCTTTAATAGTATCCTGGACGAGGAAGAACTTCTCTACGTACCGGTGAGCATAAATTGGACGCCTTTGAGCGAGCCATTGTTCCTTTTTTCCTCTTTAACCCCCGACGCTCCAGAGAATTCTTAATTAATTTAATCGCAACGCCACGGGCAAAGCAACACGTTATTCTCCACGACGTTCATTATTTCACTTGTTGACGCGTCAGAATTTTTCATTTTATTTCTCATCGGGAACGCGGAGCACATGCTTACTTCGTCCGTTGATTTTTATTTTTTTTTAATCTGTCTTTTTCGTTTGTTTGAAAAACAAAATCAGAAATTTCATTCCTTGCATTGGGTGAAAGTACAATATGATAAAGGATTCTCTTAAAATATTCGATAAAATGATGAGTGTTTTTGATGTCGCGTCTTTAGTTAGGCCACTCTAGAATTTTGAAAAAATCGAAATTTTTTTTCTGCTTAAAAGGTGCCTTAATGTCTTAAAAATGATATGGAAAAAGATTATGGGTGGGAAAAATCTCTAAGTACTCGAATTTCGAATTCTGGGGCATTTTTGAAACTGGCCGGACTCATAAATCAAACAGACCATCACCAATCGATTTGAAAATTTAACAGTATATTCAAAACTAAATTCTCTACCGAACTACGTAGGATTTTTTTCATTACGTTGCATAGTTCTTTTGTTATAAATAATTTTCTGGCGATTTTTTCTTGAAATTTTACATTTTCTCTTAAAACACACGCCATTTTTGCAAAATCCTACGTAGTTCGGTAGTTGTTCTCATATATAATTGAAAATATTTTGGTGTTTTATCCTAAGTTAAAAATTGCAAGAGCTGCTGGTCCAGCCGTTTAGCCCTACAAGAAAGAGGCGTCATCGAAGAAATGCTGCAGAGTCCATATTTTCACTTGAATCACTATACAAAAATTAATTTTTAAAGTTTATTAGTTGTAAAATAATTTGGATTTATTCCATCATTTAAAAAAAAAAAAAATTCCCAAAATATGCCTATCTTTTCTTGCTCTAGAGTGGCCTAACCCTTTAAATGTTTCCTTATTTTTAGCAATGCAAAATGTTACAATGCCGTACCAAATGAAGTCCCAAAAACCCGGCAAGGTTATCGATGGTGTTGACTCTTATAGATGGCGAAAGGTTATCGAACTTCGTGTCCAGCAGTATGGTCAGCAGTGTTTGCTCTTCTCCTTCGTTGCAATGCGTCTGAAAATCAAACAGTCCTATTTCAATCAAACGAATAGTGTGCGAAACGCGAATTAAGGGTTGGCTGACGCACACGGTGACTATCAATTGGCATCAATCAACAGCGTCTAGCAAAGTAATTTCTTTATGAGATTTAAACGTGACACATATGTAAGTACCGCCCACTCGCCAAGAGATAGGTCGCGGTGTCAACATAAAATAATTTTTTACGTAGAATTTGGGTAATTTATCGCTTCGTCTGCCTCGATCGATTTCCAGCAGATGGAAATTCTTTAAATTGTTAAATCTTTCATATTCTTTTTCTTTTTTAATTTTTCGTTGCAGCCAGAAATGGTTTCACGAATCAGTCAGCCAGTTTCATCACAGTTGACGGAATGGTTTATCGCTAAATTCGCATGGCTAACCGAACCCGTTAATGAAGTGGTAAATCAATTAATTCATTAATTAATTTAATCGCGGGGTTTCTACCTGCGACACAATGCTCGAGTTGATCATTCGAATCGAATCGAGCCGATTTTCGGAAGGCTTGATAATTAATTAATCCACGCTCGTTAAATTGTTTCATGAAATTACAATCTCGTTTATCTTCTGCCACAACCAACGACAGGTTAATCGGTCACGTTACACTTAATGGACGTCAATTTTTCAGCTATTTAAATCAGCAACTTTCACCTGAAACAGTGGACTTGTCATTGAATAAAAATATAACAGTTTGCATTCTATTTGATGGAAAAGTATGAAAATTCGCCAACAGGTTACAACAAATCCCAACGATTAATCGTCGAGAAGGTAGACTTTGTTGTAAGTAACCTGTTGTTCGGGCCAGGAAATCCTTGAACCAGTGCCAACGGAGTGTTTCCATAGTTAACGATAAGTTTGGCAACGGAAACCGAGCCAGGTATATGTACAAGGAGCTCTCTCACCTTTCCATCTCTATGCTTCAATTCCTCGTGTTTCTCAGGAACCACTTGCACGATGAACAGGTCCTTCGCGGTGTCACCGTGTTTTCCGATCGCCTTCACGCTCAAGTGATGGCTACCCGCATCCTTCTTCGATGGGACACCCATCAGTGTCGAGGCCGCGTCGTCCCAGTACAACCACCGTGGCAGCTCGTTTCCATTCGCGTCGAATACCTGTTGTTCAAAAACATTTCAATCTTTATACGATAGTAGATCCACTATCATGAATCTTTGAAAATTTTATTTAAATAATATTGATTAACCCTTTAAGGGGCTATACCAGTGTAACACTTTTGAAAAATCGATTTTTTTTCTGCATATTTTGAAAGTCTATAGTTTCTAGGATATCATATTAAAATTTTAAGGTCGAATCTCAAATAGTTTAGGAATGGCAGCGTTCTAAAGAGCAACTGCTGGCATGTCAGAAACGGTATTTATCAAATTTGCTGTAGCTCTAACTCGAATACAAATTATTGCATCGACTCGAAACTTTTTTCAGCCTATTCAGTACATGTTTTATCATACCATGAACTAGGATCTTTTTGATTGGATGAAAAATGTCGATTTGGCATTATAAAAACTATTATTTTTTTAGGCTACATTCCAAACTTTTCTTCAAAACTTCGCCATTTTGTCAGATTTTGATATTTTTCAAAAATTCTAGTTCATGGTACGGAGAATACCTTCTAGTTTAACAGCGTTTTTATTATTTTTCATTTTAAGCACTTAGGCGACGGCAATCGCTTCAGCAGTGGAGTAACTTTTTTTTTGGAGCCCTGGGAAATAGCGCATAAGTCGCTTGTTTTTTATTATTTTTGTACCAAAAAATTATTATAGATATATGATTTGTAACTAAATACATCCCTGAAATTTAAAAACATTGGATGTAATATTTCTTTAAAAAAAAATTCCCGAAAATCACCTAATTTTAGAGCGGTCACACTGGTATAGCCCCTTAAGTGAGTTATTGCGGTTGATGTGTATACTCGTGTAAAATAAAAAATTACTATTGATTATAAAAACTTCACATTTCAATAAGAAGTAAGAAAAATGTCATTTGGTGGTATTTTTCCTTTATATTACCAATAAAACTGCTATGTATTTTATACAACAAAGTTTGATTATTCTCTTTCTTGTATTAAATATTCCCCGTATAATGCATTACTTTTTATAATTGAGTTATAATTATAATTATAACTTTTTATAATTATAATTTTATAATTAAGTTAATTATTTTTCCCAATGCATCTGATATTCTTCGAATTGTTTTTCTCGTTAATTTTCCTTGTTTATGAATTTTATTACTTTTTGACAATTTTTAAGTTTTCAATAAGAACAACCTTTTCAACCATGAATTGCTAATTTTTTATCGAATAAAAATGTAATCATTCCCCGTTTTACTTTACTTTCTTCGTAAAATCTATAACAGAAACATTTGCTCTGCGTTCGTCGTGTATACTCGTCATTACTTGATTTTAATTCTACACTCTGTTGGGAATTTTTAAAACTATTTTTAAGGACTGAAATATTAGATACAGTAATTAAAAACCTATTCGATTCTCGGCCATCCGGAAATTAGAATCGCAAAGTTAGCCAATACAAATACAGCGACGAATAACATTGTTGATCGTTAATTAACCGTGAATAAACGCAAAGACCGCGATGACTAATACCTACGGTCGTGATGGCCGAAATACAGTTGTAGAAACGAAAACGGAGCATACCGATTATTTATATCTCTCGCGCCAAAAACGATAAGCGTAATGTATCGCTATCGCGAGCGTGGCCTGGAATGTCAAATACGATTACGTAACGGGAAATTGCAGCCGCCATATAGAAATGAAAAATTGAGTCTCCGGATGGGGGGGGGATTGTTTAAAGCTTTGAAGACCAAACGAACGCTTTTAACGGCTTCGTGGATTTTTAACGCGACTGCGGTTTCAACAAAGTAACACTTCCCTTTAGCGATCTCACTTTCGCACGTTTCTAAAATCAGAAAACCTCGTCAGCAAATATGTAATCTTTATTTTCGTCGATCGTACCACTGGTTTTTTTATATTCAACGAATCACCGATATATTTTTATCGATCAGAGTTACTGCGATTACACGCGAATCTTTGAATTTTTATTACCCATCGCGCAGATGATTTACAGAAGAATTGTTTGAAAATTCGTTTAACGTTTCATCTAGCCGGCCTAATTTTTTTTTTACGTATCTCATTATTCAACGTGTAACAGGATCGAAATGGTTTTTACACGGCTTTACAATGGTTTATAGAGAGCTCGAGCTTTTTTTTTGAAGCTTCGTTAAACATCCCAGGTTCAGGCTCGTAAAACTGCAACCAGCTAGAAGACTGGGATGAAGTTTCTTGGAAGAGAATCTGCCGGCCATATGTGCTTCCGATTTGTGAAAACAATGCTACAAGCTGGACCCTCGAGAGTGAAAATAAAGAACGGTCGAAACTACGAACGTAATATTATCCTTCTCCCGTCAGAAATCTACTAAAGATGAAGAAAGAAAAGAAAAAAATCACGGTTCTCGTTTTGGTTGAAGAAAAATAAAATTATCCCGTCTCGCTGGAAAATCTCGTAGTCCCGATGCCAACAAGATCTATCGCGCCTAAATGAAAATAAAATTCGTTTGCCGGAGGCCGAGGCTCTGGGAAGAAACAAGAAGGCGGTTCCGTTGAACGAGGAAATAAATCCAAGAGCAGAGTCGAGTATACAGGGATCGGCGGAAGATCGTTGGACGGTCGCCAACAAGGATGAGGAGTAAATTGGTGGATGAGAAAAATAAAGAAAAGAAAGGAAGTGTAGGCGTTTAAGTGGAGGGGGGGACGAGGGTTCCGTCTCCCAGGACGCCTTTAGTTCGGGCCGGAGACCGCTAGGTGGCGGCGAGATGATCGGTGATCAGTGTTCTCGGTAGCGGTCGCATGCAGTTCGAATACAGAGGTGCCCAGTTAGGCGTCCACATTTTTGCCCACATAAGAGTTCGTGGTTGACCTTTACCAAAAGGTGGGACGCAAATCCGGATGTGTCACATGTCATTGGAAAGCCCTTGACGAAAGGAACACAATGGTGTGGGTGGGAGGTCTTAAATATGAGACCTTGACCCGCTAGAGGTCAAAAACTAAAATGCCTCAAAACATATAAATTCATTAACTTTTTTTTTTCTTATTTAACGAGGAGAAATCTTCGAAAAAGACACCCTAACTTAACCTAACCTAACCTAAATATGGCGGTGACGGCGCTGTATCTGCGGTGGTTTGTACGTTACACAGCAACATTCGCGTTTTTATCATAATCCAGCGTCAGGAGCGGGTCTATCTGGACGAAAACCTCTCCCACAACAAAATTAACGTAATTTTAGTTTTTAATCTCTAGCGGGTCAGAGTCTGATATTTATGACCTCCCACCCACACCATTGTGTTCCTCTCGTCAAGGGCTTTCCAATGATATATGACCCATCCGGATTTGCGTCCCACCTTTTGGTAAAGTCCAACCGAGTCCGTCGCTATCCTCACCAGTTCTTGGAAACAGAACCTTGGAATGACAAATGCCGCATTCGCATGAATAAGAATATCGGTATTCTACTCGCACTCATCTCCTCTCCTTTCTTCAGTTGAATTCGCAGAAGTCACCTCCCCACTGTGGACGCTTAAGTGGACACCTCTGTATATGTATAGAAGTTCCGAATTGCGGTATGATAGGTGTCTGGGGCAGGGGGTCTACAAAGGTGCCGTTCGGGGCCTTGCAGCCAGCCCCAGCGGTTTTATGTGCCAACCCCCGCTCCTCGTGGCGTGGTCCGGGCACCTGCTATTCCGGTGGCAAACGGGGCACTGGCTATGGGCGTGAAGCGCCTGGTGGGTGGTAGTTGCCTAACTCACTCAGGTTAGTTTGTTAAAATAAAATGAGTCAGGTGTTGGGCCTTCCGTACCCGCTGATGATCTGCCCGGCGTCACTTGGTTGGGAGGTGGATCTAATAGCGCAATCGCGTCCTTTAACACCGCCGGTATAAGTGAACATTTGGGAACGGTAGAGCGGTAGAGTGGTAGTTGCCTAACTCACTCAGGTTTGTTAAAGTAAAATGAGTCAGGTGTTGGGCCTTCCGTACCCGCTGATGATCTACCCGGCGCCACTTGGTTGGGAGGTGGATCTAATAGCGCAATCGCGTCCTTTAACACCGTCGGTATAAGTGAACATTTGGGAACGGTAGAGCGGGTAGAGTGGTAGTTGCCTAACTCACTCAGGTTAGTTTGTTAAAGTAAAATGAGTCAGGTGTTGGGCCTTCCGTACCCGCTGATGATCTACCCGGCGCCACTTGGTTGGGAGGTGGATCTAATAGCGCAATCGCGTCCTTTAACACCGCCGGTATAAATGAACATTTGGGAACGGTAGAGCGGGTTATAAGCCCCACAAGGCTCCTTTAAACACTGATCTGTTTGGGGCAGGGATCGTCTGTTGTCAGTCTCATTGGGGACGAGTCTGACAGACGATCCCGAGACAAAAACGCCTATTTTCTCCCCTCTCCTACAGAAGAAATCATGGTTTCTCTCACCTCGTAATAATCCACGGTACCGGTGAACGCTTGCCTCGGGATCCTTAGCTTGAGTACGTGGCCAACGGGCACGATGACATCGGGCACGCCCCATAACCTCTCGACCTGGTGCCTCTTCGAGTCGTATGGTCGTTTCTGTTCGTGCCAGCTAGTTCGTAGCTCCTCGTAACGGCGGCTGATCACGGTCGCAGGACTGCTGTTCTCTTCGCCGACATCGTCGAACACCAGGTCGTCCTCCTGCAGGCTCAACCCGAGCACCGCTGGCAGGAGCAGGAAGTACGCGAGGACGCAAGGATTCTTCATGTTTCAGGGGGTGGTTCCTTCGGCCGCTGCTATCATATCATGCTGACGTGGCTAGAAAAATAGAACGTTCAATGAACAGTTGCGTATCGGAGAATAAAAATAGTTATGATAACAAGGAGCGGTCTCCGCTATGATACAAGGAATTCATGTGGCATCACGGTGACGGTGCGTAGCATGTATGATTACTCATTAAATCTAGCGTCACGCGTGGTTAGATCATAACGAGACACGTGTGTGTTGAACGCACGGTGCACGTTGTCAAAAATAATCGCTCGTCGAATCGTGACCAGAGTAATAAGAATTTTCAAAAGCTGCAGGTATTTGATTGGAAATTCTCCGTTTGTTCAGCCAGTTTTATTAGTTAATTGAGACCGAATTCAGCCGATTCGTGAGTCACCGTTCTCCGTCAATCGATCGTGTTTACGGTTTATTGCGGGAACAATGGAACGTTTTCGTAGAGAGCCGAGTCGAATGCATCCAGTTGTCGGTCAATGATAGCCAATAAAAGCATTCATTGCATTTTTATTCGATCTTTCGTTCCTCGCCCCGTGCAGTTAATTGGCGAAGACCGAAAAGCCGATATAAGTTGAACAACTAAACGCTTCGATGGGGAACCAAACATCCGATTGTCATTCTTTTCTCGTTTTCAATTCAATCACGCGGCGTAAATACTTATTATCAATTAATAATATCATTATTCAGCAAGTGCCAAGTATTTGTAGAATAAAATATGTGAAGTGCTTGTAATACAAAGTTGACTCATCGAGAGTGCATAACTGCATCCACGTATCAAGAAATAATTAATTTTCTTTTCACCCGTCTATGTTGAATGATTGAATGATAAAATTTGGACGTTCAGCCATCACAGTTTCTCAATTTCTCATTACGTTCATAGTTAAAATATTTTCATGAAACGTTATGTACAATGCAGAGGATATATTCACAGATGAAATATGATAATTCGTGAAATGCGTAGGTATGATTGCGACACGTTGTAGTCTGTCAACACGATACCATGACCCATTTGCGAATCCACCTCTGACCCTCGCCACTTTACGACAAACGCGATACGACGATTCACGGTGCTTCGTAACAATGCACGGTATTGTGACACAGAAATGACCCCTGAGGACTTTTAAGATAAAGATTCTATTGTAATCCTTTCTGGTACTCGTGCGTATCTTGAGACACCGATGACCCATTTGAAATTCAACCCTCGGACGGCGGACCATGGAGAGAGGCCCAATTTTAATCTCTCCACACAGATTCCGCTGTTAATCCATCAGTCCCGGGATTTTTGGGATAATATTTATTATATTACGTCTAAAATTAAATCTTTACTTTCGTCGGTGATCATTTTTCTTAGGCGACAGAAGTGTGGGAGGAGGGTTCATTTCAACGATAGGGAAGAATTTAACGAGGCGTCGAACTGGCGAGGCTATACGTGAACAATAATTTATATGTCTTTAGTGGTGCGCTAGAATTCCGATTAAGGGACAGAGGCTCGATGATACGACCGATATAAATCGAGTTACTCGTTAATCGAAAGGAGGGCGACGCGATTTACTAGCCATTTCTAGGAATCGTTGAAGACGACTGGATGTCGTAGGTGGAGGCAATCGAGTTTACCTTCGTCTCTGACTTCTTTTATTTACCATAATCTCGTTTGACCATAGACGGTCATTAATTATCAGATTATAAACTTAGAAAATTAGAAAAATTAGAAAATTGGAAACTTAAAAAATTAAATCTTAGATGCTTTGAGTCACTTATCGCCAAAAATTTGCAACAAGTATGAAAATAACGTACAAGTATGTACTACTTGAATCGTCCACCTCTCGAATACATTTCAAAGGCCTGTAATAGTTCATTGATGAGATATTATCGAGACTCATTCTGCTCGAGCCGCAAAAGTGGAGGTTCTTACTGGCTGATAGTTGAACGGAAGAACGTTGCACGAGGTTCGCACCATTGTTAACGGGTTGCTTATTCCAGAACGCGATTCGCTTTGATTCACTGGCGACAAGAACATCCTAACTAAGAGCCACGATGCCATTCAAAGCGCTATTGTTTTCTCTCAAAGGTTATGTGGATTGATCGAACAACTCGACTTTGCTTACCGTATAAGCGTTGGCCAACGAGTTTCAAACGAGTCATACAAAATGAGTACAGCTCCTGGGAAAACCTTTCTATTTTCATTCTTACCTCGTATTAAAAGAATCAACCTTTGAATGACGGACAGCTCAGACAGAAATAATTCGAATTGAATTTTCATCTCCCTCCTTCTTCAAATATAAATTCTATTCGTAATTTGATGGTAGAAATGAAAGGAAATTTACATTACAAAAGGTAAAAGATCGTCAAAGTGTCAAATATTATTATGAGAGAAAAAAAAATTTCAAAGAATTTTATTAATTAGCTTTACTTTCCTCGAGTTTTTCTGTAAAATGAAAACGCTGAATTTAATTAAAGTGTAGGTGTACACAGACAGTGAAACCTAGGTCAAAAGCAAACGCAATAAGCAAAAAGGTACTTCTACAAACCTGGTATACTTTTCAATTACACAAAAAGGGCACTTGCGTTCACTTGAAAGTCCAAAAACACGATTCAGAGCTGAACTTTGCAAAGAATCAACTTATCCTTAACCAATTCCTTTCACAATAAGTACGGCGCATTTACACACTGATTAATTAAGAGAGGATAGTAATTCTGATGAAAATTCATAGGTTAGATATGGATTATATTAAAAAGAAAAGAAGGGTTCTGGCTGGGAAAAATACAAAGGATCGATCGAAGGTAACACGTGTTGCTTTGGTTGCGGCATCGAACGAGACGCGTGTTTGAAATACACCAAGCATTATACATAACGTTTTCCGATTGGCGGCGCCCTTCGGTCTACCAGACATCTAATTCTTCGCTCGATTCTGCACGCGTGCACCTGTACTACATTTGTGAGGTAAATACCGTTTCTCTTGTTTGTGAAACACCGCTCCATCACTTACCTCACATGCGAGCTGTGCGAAGCAATTGATTGAGAATAGAAATGGTTATTCTTCTCGCCGCGATGTTTTAAAAAGGTTTAAAAGATTCGACGCTCGCAAACAGACTGACGGATTTGCTCAACCAATCGACCGTTTTAATGACCGAGGAAAACTCGAGTCAGCCTATTTTCGGTTTTCACAATGGGATTACGTGACTAATCAGGGGCTAAGTCTAAAGGTGTGCAAAGATTTTTCAACCCGAGCCACGTCAACGACTTACGAGATTTCATTTCATGCTATTTGGTGAATAATGTAGAAACAAAAGAAAATTCGAGTTTCATTTTGAGAAACGTAAAGTTAATTTTCTGTAGAACAATATAGGGGGAAGTTACCACTTAAGATATTATGCATAATATGAAGCTCTGGTATGTCTGTTTGAGGATTTAGCTGAGCAATTTTATAAAATATCATTTAAATAACCTGTGGACAACGTTAACTGCATTTTGAAAACAGTTGTTATGTCACATGGATTAGTAAAAATATGATACAAAGGTACGATTTTGGCAACCGGTATCCTAAATCGTACTGATTGGTTTCCAATATCCTATCTCTGAGTTATAAATAATAAATTGATTTTATTTAACATTGAGGACAATAATAACATTTTGTGCTTTTGATACGCCTGCACAGGCCTCATGTACCCTTAAACATTGTATTATATTTTCAATGTTGAACTTCTTCATACAAACTGCAGAACCACTTCTCTTCATTAAGCGATACAGAAATATTTGCAGATGCACTAGTTGAAGACGTGTGTTTTATTATAGCCTTATTCATGTTATTTGCACTTCACTGTCCGTACTTTCTTTTTGACATAACTGTAACCTAAAAAAATATCTAAAATATTGATCAATTGTTTAACTCGTACTGGTACGATTTGGGAAACTACGCCGCAGTACCTTTTATAATTTTATTTTATTTAATATATAAGTAAGTTTTAACATGATTTGAAAATTGGCGCGTGCACATAAAAACGTAGGCTTATATTTGTGCAAAAATAAATATCATTAAATTATTTTTAAAAGAGACAGCGCAAGCGCAACGTGATTAAAATTTTACATTAGGCTGACCTGCTTTTTCAAATTTGTTAGAACAGCTACTGTAATTGATTTTGATACATTATTTAAGGTTTTATAGGAATATATATGTCTTAGCTTATAAAAGATGTTGCTAGCTGGTGCCGCCATTCAACATTAAGCAAAATTTGAATGTGATACGATTTAGGAGACTAGTACGATATCAGTAACGCCCCCTTTGCATTTGAAATTTCGCGGTTGGCCCGACATATGCAGGGAGCGTTCCGGCTTAATAGCACTAATCATCACTCTATCACTAAATTTTGCCCTACAGGGCACCGGCGGCGCTTTTTGGGGGCTTTTCTGCCCCCTTGTTGCCTAACGAACCCTATCGTCCACGCGCCTATGGGGATGGGGGTTGGCAGCACTGCCAACCCCAAACCCCGCGCATTTTTTGAATTTTTGCTTTGTCTTACATTTTCCGTACTTTTAATTCCGTGAGTTTATCACTCCATATACTACTTTTTACTTTTGTGTGTGTGTATGTGTGCGTGTGTGTGTATCGTTGCCAACAGCACACGGTAACCCATCTATTGGCGAAACCGTGCCCACTTAGCTTGACTTCGGTGATCTTACGGGTACGGTATGGCCTAAGTGGCTAAGGCCGTTTCGGCTTAATAGCAATTGCGCACCGTTATACTTTTTCTCTTTTGTTTTATTCCGTTAACTTTTAAACAATGCGATATTAACTTTTAAAGACTGCAATAACTCCTTGTGTTTCGTTTCACATCGTTTCCTATGTACAATTATAACAATAAACTTTTATATAAAACAACATGTTCAGTAATGAACTTGTTAAAGGGTTAATAGTACGAAGTCGTATTTAGAGACGGAAATCACCGTGGCGAGTGTTAATATCGATTTAATCAGAGCCAGACCTATGCGTCGCGACGCGTCGCGTCGTCTAACTATCGCGTTTTACCTCTTTTAATCG